TGATGGCGCACCTCTCCGGACACTGGGCGGGCTCGTGCAACAGCCAAGAAGCCGCCTGTGCCTGTCGACGCTTGTCCCCTGCCAGTGCCCGTAGGAATCAAGAACAGGAGGCTGTCAGTTGCATCTGCCTGGACGAGGCGGGCTATCGACGACAAAGGACGCCACAGAGACCATGTGCAGGGGCAGCCGGCTGCTTGGGTTTGTGACTAGCGATATGGCTTGAGCCCGGCCTTCGCATACTTGCCCAGCGGCTGGTCAGCCGCAGTACGCTGAGGCGCTGCTTGTACGGAGTACGAGCAACCTGTACATATCGTGGCGGTAGTCGGATGATGGATGCCATCACCTTCGCCCGCATTTGACTTTCTCGTCCATGGCCGGGCTGATCATTGGCCGCGAATGACATCTGCCGTCCCCTCGATACGAACCGCCAGGGATGGCTCGTCTTCACGTCCGTGTGGCCCAGGAGGGAAGCGGACACACGCATGGCTTGTTCATCCGAAGCACAGCCAACCACAAGCCGGGCTTGATGGCTTGCCTGCAAGTGCGTCGGCATGCCGCATCTGCTCCCACCCTCTGCCCGCCCTACTATGCACCCTTATGCACATCTCGTGCGCTAACGCAAGCATGTGTAAAGATGCATGCCATGGTGGGGACACACTCAAAACAGCTGCGTCTGTACGAGGGTCATGCGGCCCGCAGAGTTGCAATGCTCCATGCTCGATACTCCAGACTCCAGCCTCCCCTCGGCATCACCTTGCTGAGCACGCACATGTACTCGCAACTACAGTACGCGCATCTACACGGCGCGAGTCATTGATTCTAGAAACGTGAGCTTACATCGCGCTTGGCTTTCTTTTCTTTCCGTTCCTTTTCTTCGTCGTTCACTCAGCTCCCGAGTTTGCACCATATAGGCTCGCCCCTCTCAGCAGCCAGATGCCAACCGATACCATGATGCTCCGTACAGTTGCGGACACTTTGCGGCTGGCTTTACGCCTCCCTCTTTCTAACCGCCACGGCTCTGTCATGCCTTGTGGCCCAGGTGTGGGCCGTCCCAGGCGGGCCTCTCCGCATCCTGCCACGGTTCGTTGCCGTCAGTGTCAGAGAAAGGTTGAGGTGGCCCTCTTCTAGCTCGGACGCCTGAAAGAAACTGGCCTTTGCGGGATGCCTTGGACGGACGGGTTGTCCGGGTCTTGAACTGTCTCTTATCGTCTGATTACACACCCTTCCTTAGTTGCCTTGTTCACTAGTCTAGAGCCTCAGCAAGCGCAAGTCCTCGGAGGCTCAGACCGTTGCTGCATCCCTGTTAGCCTGACTCTTGCTTCCATGATCTCTGCCCTCTCTGCGTCCCACCACCTCACATCTGCAAGATCTGCCACTTTCAGACCAAGCCCTCCCTTGCTGAATCTCATGATCCCTGCCCACTCACCCCACCGCGATGCCGGCTCTGATGGCCAACCTTGTCCACCTGTCCCGGCTAGCTTTTGTGGTCATCCGCCCATCCAGGCCATTCACACGCCTCCCCCCCTTCCTCTATTGCGCGTTTCCTTCGCCTCCTAGGACGCTCTTGGCGGCGTCGTCAAGGGGTATCACCATGCAACCAGATGATGCGCCATCCTATCGTCTTCCAATCAGCAAAGGTCACAGTCACCTCGGGGTAGGTAATTATGACGTTGATTGGGATACTTCTGCGGCTCTTCCACGCAATACGTCGTTTCATCGCAGGTTCCTCTATCTCCGGCTCCAGGTCCTAATCTTCTCTCATCGATGTTTTGACGGCGGGACGGCTATACAACAACGTCCTAGCTAGTCTCTTGCTTCAACAAGCGGAGTAGGACTCTCCTGTTGAACATGGCGTTTTCAAACCAAGGTAGAGTCTCACGACGGAGACTAACCCTGCTGGCATGATTATCTTGCCAGCCTCGGTGTCAGACCTATAGGGGCCACTTGGTGCTCGTAACTTGCTACGGAGTGCCACCCCGAGCCGCTTGGAGTCCTGAGTTGACGTCTACTCGGCTTTGTCAGGACCAGCGCCACAATGAGCTTACCATGGGATCGCCGGCCCTTGATTGGAAGATCTGCGCAAGCCATGGTTACCAGTCTTGGGCAATTCCTCTGCATGTGACGGCAATATATTTCACGAGTGGACACATGCGCCCGTCTAGATCGAGTAACCCGCAGGCAGCACGGAAACTCTAATCCGTCTTGGCCTCAGCCTCTCGAGGCCAAGGGGGTGACATGGCCGTCAGTGTGCTGCAGGACGAACGTTCTTCCTGTTGGCCGGGCTCCCTTTGATCTAGTTGTCCGAGGCTCCTCGGCTGTTTACGCCCCCTTTTCGCTTAGTGATTCCTTGATCAGGTTTGGATCGTAGCTTCCCCCTTTTCTCTGATGTGAGATGTAGGAAATTGTCGTGAATAGTAGCGTTTATTTTTGAGTTTATGAAGTCTTTTATTATACGACCTGTTCCAGCCACAGAGGTGCTGTGACAGTTGTTCTCTTGTGAAGGGCCGATACTTGTGGCGAAAGGGTTCTTAAGGGGTGTTGGGATGTGCCACTTTTCAGTTGATCGGCGTGGCTTGTCTCTTTGGGATGGCATGTCTTGAACTTCATGGACGTTGGAGCGGTGGTAACGTTGTGTTACTGTCAGAGCCTCAGCATTGCTTACCTATAAATATGAAAACCGTATCCTGAGTCCTTGATATTCTGAAGAGCGCGTGGCGTACAAGATCTTTCGTGGGTTTTAGACATTGAGAGACGAAATTATTCGTCTGGTTAGAGCATAAGCTGCCTGAAGGGTTATACACAGCTGTAGTATCCTTTTGTTCATTAGTCGATTAGTATTGTCGTACACTATCCATGGAACCAAGTCCGTGGCAAGTTGTTGCACATTTCGACAACGGTTATCGTTCTGATGGTCAAGATGCAAACTCCCTTACTTATAAAACATAGCATGCCATGAGACTTGAGTCTTTGATCCCAATTATTAAGATTGCGCCATCTAGAAAGACTTTCACCGCCAAAGGCTGAGGCTTTACATGAAATGTTAGACGTTTGGCTCCAAAGTAAGATTTTCAATACCTACGGAGAGAAAGAAAAATCGCGTGTATGCCGCTATTTTCTAATCATGACATGATCTTCAGAAAGATTACTCTAGGACTTTGATATTGGCCTAGTGGTTCAGATAGAAAGGCGAGAGCTTTGGACACTCGCCGCTCGTTGGGTTATTCAGTCTAGAACGGTCTCTCTCCTAGGATCACTAAGCTCATCGTCAGAAGGTGCGTTGACGTATGTCTGTACCTAGGTAGTAGTCTGCAAAGGAACATCTCGCTAGGGATCTCAACTTATTCTACTATGCTGTATGTGAATTTCGGATCACGCTTGAATGCCTGGGAGACGGATTGGGAGAGGAGACTCCCTTGCATAGGGCTCATGAGATTGTGTACTAGAGCCGTGTTATCGATCATTACTAGCGATGCTTCATACACAGACGACTTGTGATAAAAGGCAGCGTTAGAATGTGAGAAGGTAGGATGTAGTATGCTTGCAAAGTAGTCATCATTCGTCAGCCTTTCTTGTTCCTGGAGGTCTTTGCCAAAAGATGGAGAAGAACCAGGAAGAACAAGCTAGTTTGAATATTTCCACTTGACTTCTTAGTGCTGCAGAAGGAGATGCCTATTTGTCATTGTATTGGTATGGATGTATCCAGCAACCCAATGTCCTTGACAATTTAGATGCAAAGACCGGAATACGAATCTTCTTGATATAATGCTATCCATGGGATCGAAAAGACGCATCGAGCTGGGACCTCTCTGCATCTCAAAATCTTAATCCTCCAGTTCCACGTTGTGTTCCTATCAAGTTAGAATCTGACATACAGAGAATTTCTCATGTTCCATCAGTATCAAGGATGCTCGTGATATCTATAGCTATAAATCTGCAACGAACAGAATGAACCCAGAAACAAGTTACACAACTTACTGCCTAACATACCTCAATCCACTCAAAGTCCTTTATGACCAAGACCCCCCTGAGCGCTATACAACTCGTCTAACCGAAACTGCCGCGCAAAAGAAGCCCAAAGAAATGACTTGCCAGTCACTGGCCATCGATATAGCCGACCTAGCGCTCGCGAGGCGTCTCTTGTAATCGCAAGGTAGGTCATATTCCGCGCCACTGAGGCGAACGCGCACCACAGTAATGTCCTGACTACGAAATCGAGAGCTGTTGTGCATAACAGCAAGAATCGATGAACCCCCCCGGAGCCTCCCATGCATAGCACGCAGCCCGGTAAGGCTTAAAATATATCGTTACACAAGAAATTAGGATGAAGGAAGATGATGATGCAGACAGCTTCCGGTACCGTACATTCCGCTTATATTTCTGCTTGTCGTTAATCTCCTGGGTGTTCTTTCGGCCATTGTTCTCACAGTCGGTGCTCTGGTTGAGGTAGCGGCGCGGGATAAAGTGGGAGACGTGCGGGCGAGGTTTGAGGATTGATGCTCTCGTAGCGGCGCATTTCGAGCTGAGCGGTACCAGGTGGCCGCGAAGAAGACACAGGACACGTTTCAGTAGCATCAAGGCAATCGTGGGCGTATGATCCGGTCGTGTGAATGAAGGGACAGTCTGTTGTCTTGTTGGATCAGCGTGAGCTGGCAATTGTAGCCGAACAAACGAAGAAGCCGGCTAAGCCAAGCACACGAACTGAGTTTGGAAGTTGGCAATCAGCGTTTGTCAGATGAGACAGGCAGTTTGCGTGTATTCTCAACTATCAAGATATATTAACCCATCTAATCCATTGGTACAGGCGTGGAGGTATCCTTAAGCTCTTCGACTCAGATAAAAAGGAAAGTAAACAGTTCAAAACATTTCGCTCTGTGTCATATTCGTAGTCCGTGAAAAACTGCACAAATTCACACAAATCAACTCGTCATCATCCTCCAGTGCAGTGCAGCCGTTCATTGCGCGGGCTCAACACGCCGCGCTCATGAAAAGTCTTTCAGCGCTTAGCAGCACGGAAAAATGCAGCAGTCGATGGGAATCGGGCAGGGTATGATGAAGCAGAATCGGCCGGGGCAGAGGCCGCCGTCGTCGCCTCCGCGCATGTTGACGTCGTCCGTCGTCGTCTCGGGCTGTGGCTGCTGAGCGTCTGTTTGCGCGGAAACATGTTAGCATCGAACCGTTCCTCGCAAATTGGCCAGAGCAAAAAAAGTCAATTCCGGCTAATTCCACACAGCGACTTACTCATGGCGGGAAGTGAGTTTGGCTGCGCATCGTAGACGCGCTCGGGCTCCGTCACGGTAATGGCGGGTGTGGGTGCGGGCTCGGACATGACGGCGGTGGAGTGGTGACGATATCAACAGATGCAGAAGCGGAGAAGACAGAGATAGCGAGCGACTCAACGATAATGCGGTGTTGTTTGCTGATGATTCGGGCTGTTGAGACACAATAAACAGAGTGAAATGGTTACCAAAGTCTGGAGGTATGCAGGAGAGGAAAGAGATGACAAGCCACATTAAGAAAAGCCAAGAGCTGTCAGTCTTACGAGCTTGATTCAGTTCGCTCTTGCCTCCTGATGATCAGGAACGGGCGGCTACGTCATCGACACGTTGCACCCGTTTCCACTTTCCACTTTCCACTCCCGCACTTGCTCCGCCATGGCATTTCTTGCGCTTGCGGGGAAAAACGATTGATCCGCAGCTGTGATTCCAGCATCTACATGTAATACCTTATCGAATGTTTCCTTCATCATCATCATCATCATCATCATCTATATTCCCTGTAAGGGCGTGAGAGCCTAGCACCGGCAGTATCTTGTGCCAATATGGGCTTCTCCGTAGCATTTGGCACGTGCACCATGTACCCTCATGCCATCGAACCATCGACTGCGCGTCTGACACTCGCCAAGCAACGAGGCTGTCAAACCCTTCGTGCAGCTGGACCCCGTATGAGGGTTAGGGGCATGCAATAAGCAACTGACTGAGCTGAGTCGTTGATGGGGGTGAGCATCAGCTTCAGCTTGCTTCGAACCATGATGACAGTTGCCGCTTTGCCGCCTGTGTCTTGTCGAAAAGATTCCAGCTTTGGCGACGGCGCGGGGGGGTCGAATAGCTGTTTGTAGATTCAAGGGGAGGCAGGGAGAAGCAGCACTGGTTTTGAACATTGTGCGTGTGCTTCGTAGCATAGCGTTGGCGTGATACGATTTGATCTTGTCTCGTTTTCGCAATGCATGCCCTGGGGGACCTATTGTTTCCACAGGGCTGGGATGGTGTGCCTGTAACCGTGTTTCTGCATGTGTGAATGCATGTGTGAATGACCAAGCCTAGAGGTGAAGCAGTCCATCTCAAGATTGCCACCCGCTGACATGACAGGCTACATCAATCCAGGGGTGCTCATCATGTTCTCGCCCAAGTGGCCGGTTCCTCGACGGCGAGACTGTACAAGTATACGCAGAAGGGGAGAGGCTTGGGGAAATCAAGAGCCCTTCGCAGTCCATTCTACACCATGTTCTACGTTGCAGGCTACTACATGTAAGGTACTATATATCCGTTGTGTCGTCGACAGTCGTCACCGCCAAGACGGCGAATCGGATGCGTGATGCATCCGATGAGGATCAGGACCAGGGTCCTGTCTATGGGGTCACGCACTTGTGCAGAGTCCGATTCACCGTCTTGGCACAACGTTTCCAGCAACATCGTGGGGTGCTGAATAAGATCAATCATTTTTTGCTTCTTTGAATGACTCTGTCGGCGAGGAATCTTGCAGGAAATTCATCGGCCTGAAATGAGATGTCGGGCAATTTGTCTACAAGTTCTGCACAGCTTGTCATCTATCCCAAAGATACCTTGCTCAATCTGGAGAGTCAGAAGAATACCAGTCATTGACTGTAGTTCACTTGTTTGCAACGGAGACAACCTTTTTTTTTTTTTTTCAGACGGTGGTGACAAACTTTGCTATCTGTGGCACGTCCCCTTTCCATGTCGGCCTCCTACTTTCTCTCTGTAATCCCGAGAAAAGATGTTCTGAGCAATAGTCTCAGCAATTCTGAAAGAGACAAGTCATCTTCTATCTGGCGTCATCGTTGAATCTGTCAATGACCCCTATTCCGTAGAATCCGAGTCAGCGAACTGGCTCAGCTCATCTCAGTCAACAACCCACAACCTTTGGCAACCACTATCCCTCTGTCCTATCTGCACTCTCTCTGTAATACACTGATTGTCTTAAAAAAAAAAAAAAGCTGAGACTTCTTCATTGTATGGGTGCAGCACAGTTGGTGTAATCTCCCTCGTGTCGTGGTGACTCACCGGCCTTGCAACGCCCCCACTATGACTCTGTCGCCGAACACCACGTCGATGCAAACCAAACCACCAAGAAAGGGGGTCGAAGCAACACCACGGGCCCGGGGAAAGAAAAGGAAATACTGAAGAAAATGAAAGAAGCATTTACCGATACTGTTACCGTAGTGAGGAAGATGACTGTGTAGTGTACATGTACTCCGTGCGGTAATGATGCCCTTTCTGCGGCGGGATGGAAGATGAGGCGAGGCTCCATGGAGCAACCGATGTGTCTTTGTCAACTGCGAGTGCCCATCTCCTCAATGTGACTTTGAGGATCCATGTTGTGTATCTCCTGCGGTGTCCGTGTAAGGGAGCTTGACTTCATTGATAGTATATTGGATCTTGTCGCATTTAAAGAATGGCTCTTCCCAGCTTGAGATTCATTCTTTTTCCAAGCATCAGCATGCAATCATATTTCCTTCTTTTTGAGTTCAGAACGAGCTTCTCAACCATGGGGGTCAGTTGTTACTGTACGCCAATGGCTGAAGTTCAGGGGTTTGAATAGAGCCTTCGCAGAGCTTCCTCCAGTGTTGTACCTCCTCGCCCCGGCAACTCGTATAAGTGAGAAAGAGAATCAGAGATGAACCTCTGTCACGATTCTTCAATCCGAGGCTTGAATGTTTCCAGTGAGTACCTTCACCTTTATTCTCTGCTCTTATCGTCCCGCGTACGTGTACGTGTATACACCCCCTTATATCCGACACGACATCGTCGGTCTGCCGTGATGAGGCGAAAGAAGTTGAACATTTCCATGATACATCTTGTTCATAAAAAGGAAGAGAATCGACATCGTCTGAGCAGCTACCAGAGTGTTTTTTGTTTGAGGGGAAATCGTCACTCCTTGATTTTTCAGTTCCGTCTATGGCTACTCATCTGTAAGGAATAGCATCGCTAACTTGAATATTACTATGGCGAACTCGAAAATCCCCTCAACTAAATCTCAGCAACTTAGGCGAGAGACCCAATCATAGCAATGACCAAACAATAATTGGAGGAATAACAGGTTGAAAACGAAATACAAGACTGTCGCGCCCTAACGACCAATTTCTCGCCCCTTTTCCTCTAAACACCATATCACGCATAGGCTATATAGTCCCAATGCCAAGAAAAGCAAATCCAAAGAAATACAGAAATTCTTCCGTGAAGCAAGTAAAATCGTGCTTTGTGTGCGTTATTGTAGTCGCATTGCGTAAGGCGATATACAGGGCTTGGCAGGCGTACGCGAATGTAAAGACAGAGGGATATCACCTCTTCCCCAGCACCTCCCGCAGAGCTTCGACTTCGGCTTCACGCCTCGCAAGCTTCAGCTTCAGCTCGTCACGCTCCCCCGCCATGTCGCTCAACGCACGCTCCAGGTCGGCGATCCGGTCGAGGCGCTTCTGGCGGTATTTCCGCGCCGCCATGGTGTTGCGCTGCCGCTTGATGGCGGCCTGCGCCTCGTCGTCACACTCGTCGCCGTCCGTCGACCGGGCGGAGCTGCGCTGTTTGGAATGCGAGCGGTCGCTGTGTGTGCTGGTGGGCGACTCCTGGCGGTAGTGATGCGGCGCTGCTGCTGCTGCTGTTGTCGTTGCTGTTGTTGTTGTTGATGATGGCGACAGGCCTGATGGCCCCGGCAGGGTGGACATTTTCGGCGTGGGCATCTGGAAGAAGGCGGCGTTGGGGCTTCCAGGGGCGTAGTAGCTGGGGCCTGGCATGCCCAGTCTGTCCTGTTGGTGGTGTGGCATGCGACTGTTGGCGGCATGGTGGAGGCTTGTGGCGAAGAGATTATGGTGGTTGTCGTTGTGGGTTGAGATGTAGGCTTCCGGAGAGCATATGTCCTCCATCAATGCCTGTTCCGGCCAGTACTTGAACACAAAGTCTCTATCATCAACCATCATTGGCGAGGAAGAACAAGACATGTGTAGGGGTGGTAGTATAGACTTGAAGGACAATCGGTTGCAGATGTGCAGATATATGGAAATCTCCTTGAGACGGTGTAAACGTATTGACTGAGGTGAGGCTTGAATGTAGATATAATACGAGAGGTGACGATGGTGTCCCGTCAAGCATATATACCTATGCGAAAAGAGCCGATTGAGATGTAAAGTGTGGGCATTTTGCGCAGAGGTAGCAATTGCATGGAGTATGGCATGATGACAGGGCCATGGCACGCCAAGTGAAAAGAAGCAATATAGAAAAATTTCGGAATCAACAAACAAGCACTGTCGACATACCGCCTGGATCCATGGTTGCAACTGAGCCCAGGAAGTTGAAGCCCTACACACAAAAAGGCGGAACGGGGAACCGATGGGGGAGAGTTGAGGTTGCAACAACCAGCAAATTAGCGACGGCAACAAGGGTATAGCTCGCCCAATCCTTCGGTGCCAGCGAGATTTCGCGCTGCGGCAGTGCTGTGTTTGCTCAAGGCAATTGCTGCTGTGTCCTTGAGGGTTCATAGGTCCAGCTGAAGGGGCTAGGCCGCGACAGGAAAGGGACATTGAGGACGGGGAGGAGGAGAAGGCTGGCGGGCCTCGTGTTTGACAGAGTTTCCCTTCTCCTTTTGGCCTCGCTTGTCCTTTTTCCTGTTCTCTTCCAGGGTCTTTCAGCTCATATGCTTCCATTCGATAGTCTGGCCTTGTGGTGGCCGGTGGATAGTGAGATTGCAGCTCGAGAGTGTGCGAAAAGGTGTGTGTGTGGGTGCCACGGCTGGCATATAAGCCACGTGCATATTGACATGTTGAGTGGGATGCAGGTGTTAAGCAAAGGAGGAGGGTGGCATTTGTGTAGACTTCCATGCCTAACTAATGTGATTGATGTGCCGATATGCCGTATGATTGTCCAAATGAGAGTGTAGTACTTTATGTACGGTACGTTAGGGGAGCAGAAGTACACGTCGTGACAGATAGTCTCGACGCAAGTTGTCTCGTCCTTGATTGAGTGAATAGTACGAGTGTAACACAGACTCAACCAAACACGCCGGCTTTGAGGTGTAAGCCATGCGCACGGCACCCTTCTTTGACGAGCTGACGGCTCCAATGCCACTCACCCGCCATCGGGCTTACAAGGGTCGTGGAATACGGCAACTGCCCTCCGCTCTTTAGAAAACCCAGATTTCGACTCGAATCGACCCAGGCGCATGGACACGGTCTGTGTGGCTGAGCCGCAAGTGGCCATGACTCTTCATATGATGTGCTCGTATCTTGAACCATCTTGCGTTTCGTGCTGGCTTGCCTCGCCTGGGGGGCCTATCGTGTTCGACCCCGTACAGGCGAGGTTTCCACTCGATGCTGACAAGCGCCGGGAGACGCGAGTTGACGCAAAGGCCCTATATGCGAGCGTGCTGGTTGTAGTATTGCGAACAGTTTTAATTGGCTCTTGCAAAAAAACTCCGCCGTGAAGAAAGCATGCTGTGCTGAAGTCTGCCGAGCGGTCAGCCTAACAATTGGGCTCATACGATGTGATTGCATTGGGGTTTGGGGGGAGCCCGACGATGGTAGGTCTGGCTTTCGATGTCATTTGGGTTGACGAAGAACAGCTTGTTGTAAGACTCGGGCATCACAGGTGAAAGTGCAGTGTGATAGTGCTTATGTTGGTTCCTTCCAGGTGATCCAATGGCTTTTCATTTGTGTTTACAATGTGTCCGCGACAAGACTGACCGGAGTATCCATACCATGACGGGTTGCTGTAAATCAGAGCTCGACAAGTCATCATGTGTCTGGCCCAGAGGCGCGCAGCAATATTCCTCTTGGTCTCACCACAACTTTCATCCAAGCAATTAGCATTCCGTTTTTCTGATCGCCACCTTGCCGTCTGGCCATCATCCACCCCGCTCCCCGGTTCGCAGCTTTGAGGTGCTTATGGCTTGCCGTGCCGCCGTGCGGGAACTAGACAGGGCAAGGAGAATAGGTAGGACATGCCGGCGATTACAAGTACGCGATGATTCTTAGTATATGCCGAAGAGAGAAAGACGTTACTCCATCAATACAAATATGGGGAATGGATGGACTCAATCTACAACCAACAGCATGACGACAACTACCTTACATGCAAAACCTTGTGGTAGTTGTGCTCGGATTCATAGTCTCAGCATCCCACCTGATGTGCTCAACTGCGCAGCGTACCTGTACCTCTACTCGGCGCCAACCGCCTCCCCACGCTCCGCCTCCATCTAGAGCCACGCCCCGGCAGCCGTGGGACAACATGAGCCCGTACATGTAGCGCCTGCTGGTAGGGCTGGCTGCTAGACTAGTGGCCTCGTGTCAGAGAGGGGGCTACCTTACCTTATGTCAAAGCACGAGTTCCGTAGGACCAGCGACTGCCGGGCTCGACTACTACTACTAGGACGTTACATGCCGACAGCCTGAGAGTTGTTGGCTACATGTGTTAAGATGGAAGTCAGGCAACCGGATACCATCTTATGTTCGTGCGTATTCTTTCTCTCTTACATCTCATTGTTGCTAGACAACAGCGGCCAGCGAATTGAGTAGCTTCGACCCGTCTTATAGGGGGGGGTTGACTGCCTTATCCCGCTCTCCTTCCACTGTTGAACCCGAAATATGGTAAAGGTAATGAATTCAATCATTAAGAAGAGGTTTGAAACATTTGAATTCAATTTATCAAGGAAAACCGAGCGGGATAAATCGCATCAGCACCTGTGCGCCCCGAGATCGGTCATACGCTCCTCGCGGAGAGCTTTCCGCGCCGAGACCACGGGGACGGTTCCTTTTGGTCTCCTAGCCTATGGGGGGGACTCTATCCGTCTATATACAGATAGGCTTGATATATCGACATGTGCTAAAATTACAGAATATCTCGGAAGGGTTGACAAGTGTGTCTAGATCCGTATACCGCTTCATAGTCACAATTGATTTTATATATGCTCCTCTTTACACCAATCGCATGCCTACGTGCGTCTCCCCACAAGTGTATATTAGATAGCCTTCTTCTTTCATCCGCAATGCAACAAGGCTGCATATGCATAGCTTCTCTCCCTGATAATACTAGCAGTAGTATTACAACGCAAAGCACAGCTTCGGTAACATCGTTTACAAGTAAGCTGACAACTCCAGACGAGGCCTGACAGCATAGCAAAGTATTACAACTAATTGATCGACTTTCATACAAATAAGGAGGCGCGGATTTCAAGCCATCATCTCGACCATATAATTACTTCTAATCTAAACAGCACAACAAGACAACCTCACAAAAAAAAAACCAGCTTTTGCTTACCGGCCCGTGAGTCGTATCTCGGCGTACCGCAACGGCACGTAGAGCAACGAGCTCACAGCAAACGCCATCTCGAACCCAATGTCGCCCGTCGTCTTCGCAATGGGCCCCTGCCACCACACCTGGTCCATGCAGGGGATGACCAGCCCAAAGGAGAGAACCCCGCTGGCCAGGGCCGCGACGCCGAGAGGGAGCTTCTTCGCGTCGCTCCAGATGGCGTGGTCGTACGAGGCGTAGTTCTGGCGGCGGAACACGACGTGCTCGACGATGACGATGCCGACAAAGGCCGCGGACCAGTAGCCGATGAGGGAGACAAAGTTCTCCAGGCTCTCGAAGAAGTCGCCGACGGCGGTGATGGCCACGGCAATGATGATGCCGGTGATGACGATGGAGAAGAGGTATCGAGGCACCTTGAACAGCCACGGGGCCAGGGTCTGGAAGTTGAGCGTGATGGCGTAAAACGTCCCGCACGTGTTGCCCAGCAGGGAGAGCGCCAGGATCACGACGACGAACTTGCCAAAGTTGCCCGCGGGCGAGAGCATCGCCGCCATGACGCCGCCGGCCGAGTACAGGTCGAAGGCCTCTTGCCACTCGGGGTTGTTGGGCATCGCTCCCGCAACCGCGGCGCCGAGCACCATGAGCAGCACGGTCGGGATGAGCAGGCCCCAGTAAGTGTATTGGAAGACCCGCCAGCTGCCTGTTGTTAGACTCTGGATGTTGCATAGGTTCCAAAAGGACATGGCATATAAAGGGCTTAGCCACTTACGATGGAACTTTGGGATCGAAATAGGTGGTAAAGTCGCTCGCTAGAGGGGCAAAGGGGATCTGGTAGCTGGCAATGATCATGCCAAAGTTGAGGATGCCGGAAGCCGTGGCCGGTGCCTCGGGGGCGGCCTGCTTCTTGAGGCCTGAACCGGCACAGCCAGTAGCAATGACGACGCTGATAATGGCCGGAATGGGCGCATACGTCTCGTAGATGTGCAGGACCCTGAAGCCGCAGAAAGAAACGAGCAGGGACAGCACCGCAATGATGACAATGCCGAGGTCTTCATTGATGGACCCGTTGGAGATGGCCGAGAGACACTGCCCGCCCGTGATGCAGATGATGACAGTGAAGCCCGTCATGCTCGCCAGGTTCAGCAAGACGGGGATGGATACAATGTATCGGCTGGAGATGCAATTGGCCGTCGTTAGTGAATCTGGATCTTTGGTGCAGAAAGAGATGTTTCTTACCCAAAGCTGTACCGGGCCTGGATCATCTGCCTCATGCCCGTCTTGGGGCCCAGGATGGCGAGATACGCCGGCGGGATGGTTGACAGCATGCAGAAGAACAAGATGACGAGGGACGAGTCCCTCAGGCTGAGGCCATAGGACAGGGGACCCAGCATGCCAAAGGTGATGCTGCGGGAGAGAGTCAGCAGGATGCTCGTATAAGGTAAGGTACTTTGCTGAGAAGCCAGCTTACCCCAGAATGTTGGTGTTGATGGAGAACCAGAGGGTAAAGATGTTGAAGAAGCGGGTGGCGGTGCGCTCCTCGACGGGCACGGGCAGGATGCCGCGCTCCTCGACACGGCCAGCTCGCAGGACCTTGTGGAGCAGCGACTCCTCGTCGCTGTGGTTGCCATCCTTTTCTCTCACGGGCACCTCGGATGCCTCTACCGTATCCACCAGCATCTGTGCGGCTCGTTTGGGTGGGAACGGCTGCTTGAGCGGGAGTTTGTCTGAAGTCTGTCTGCAGTCTGCAGTCTGGGGGGCGTCTATAAGCCCGATTCTCCAATGCCTTTCCGCTCGGGGATTCTCAACCTCGGTGTTGACCAAAGTAACAGACAACTAGACCAGATGCAAATGAAAGACAAGACGTCAAAGGTCACCGCATAACATGACGCTTCAGCAGGTATTACCGCCCTTGTGAAATCTCAGAAGAAGCAGACCGAGGGAAACTCGATGAAGTAATACATAATAAGTGAGTCAAAATTTCGCCTCCCGACACTGGGCGAGCGGCCTTCCGGTTCCGCCCCTCCGCCTCCTCCTCCTCCTCCTTCCAGACCCAGAAAGAAGCCCCGGCCAGGGAACAAAAAATTCTTTTCGCAGCCAGAAGTGGACTAGAAGGCCGTCGCTGTCCAATCACAGGGGCCACGGCGATCGACGGGCTTCGATCAGCGACCGGCCCGAGCGACGAGATGAAGAGAGATCAAATTGCCTGCAGCCACTCCGCCGCTTGGACAGGAACAGGGTTAGTCTTGGCTTGGCTTGTGATAAGGTGGTTGAGGGTTGAGGTGGGATTAGGTAATCATGGCCTCGATATGCTACTACCTACCTTACCTATCACGACATGGCATACAAATACTACCTCATGGATTGAATGGTCATGTATAGGTGCATCTGATCAATTGGAGACGAAGATTGTTTAGGACCTTTAAACACTGTAGGAACTATTCATGTTGTTGCGGTTAAAGTCGCAATCCGGTACTGTGAAGCAGTTTGTATTCTTTCCTCCGTCATGCTCTGGATGAGAGACATGCACAAGTTGAAATAACCACGGAACAAAGGAACAATGTCATCTTGAGTTCAGGCAAAGTCAGACAGTCTGGGTAGAATAGAAGGCAAATCACCTATATATCGCCCCCTAAGCACACAGACTGATCCTCAGCTCTGCAACTTCACTTGATTCCACGCGTAGTCTTACCCTACAAGTACCGAGATGTCGTCAACAATCCAGCCACTCTCCCAAAAAGAACCATGTTTGACAGGCAGGGTATACTTGTACATTATGAATCCTCATCAGCATATGGTTTACACATCTACGGACCACTGCCCGCTTGCGACTTCTTGCGAAAAAAGCCCCCCAGTGCCCCCATCAACGCTCCAAGTCCCTTCTCGTGACTGTCCTTCTCCAGCCCGTCTCGAATCCATCCTGGCAGCTTCCCTCGGATCCGATCCGTGCCATACCGTCTATCGACCAATATAATCGCCGCATAGTCCCCGCGGTGCCGGATAGCCCGACCAATACTCTGGTTGACCGCCCGCATGCAGGCGATTTCGTAAAAGTCCCGCGCCGCCTGCTTGGATTGAGCCGTTGCCTCGCCGCGGCCTTGCCCTTGTTTGATGAGCCGAGCTTCGGTCGTAGACTCGATGTATTCGAGCTTTGCCTTCCAGTCGGGCGAGGCAATGTTCGGATACGGCAGTCCAATGACCATCACACACCGTCCCAGGCGGTCCGAGAAGTTGATTCCTTCGGACATCTTGCCGCCGACAACACTCAAGAGTAACGCTCCGGTGCGCTTATCCCCAGCTGGCCGGGCCCCGAGGATCGCTTGGGAGTAATCCCGCAGCACATCTTCGCTTGTTTCCCCCTTGGAGTCTCTGAAAACCGATTTTCGGGCTTGAAGCCGATCCCATGTGGTCTGGGAGCTCTCCCCCTGGCGTTGCTGCCACACCTTCACAATCTCGTCAAGGTAGCCATAGCTAGGAAAGAAAACGACCACTCCGTCAGGCACAATGTTACAAACGTTCAAGATCGCCAGTCCCAACTGGGTCATCATCTCTCTGTTCCCTCGCTGCTTGAAACTGAACTCGAACGGAGGCGCCGCGGGATTGCTCGAAGCGAGAGTCCAGACGCACAGGTTCTCTGGCGGAATAACATGCCCGCAGCTAAGTGATGTCACCTTCTCGGGTTCAAGGGTAGGAAACAATTGGTCCTTGTAGTCTTGGAAGGGCGACATGGTTCCGCCCGCCAAGATGACCGCCCTGGCGCTTGAGGCAACCGACGAGAAGGCGTGAGTTGGCGACAGAAGGAGGTAGCTGAGTTTCACGTCCGTCGTGGTCCCGTGAGTTTTTTGGTAGAATATCCGGCCCTCGGAGCTGAGATTCGTAAGGGCGATGAGGAATGAGACTAGAGTATGGAGGACGGGAGTGGCGGCTTTGGCAGGTCCAGGCGTGCTGCCGTCTGCCCCGTTCTCAACGTGAGCCACGTAGCTCTCAATCTTATAGGCCAATTTCGATTCCTGTATGTACTGGATGAGTTCGTAGATGTTCATCTGGTCAATGCCTTTGCGCCTCGTGAGGTCATTTGGGTCGACAATCCCATGTTCGTCCTAGATGGAATTAGCCAGGCAATCGCCAAGACAGCACTGTTCCCGGCCGTACCTTGAGTTTCAGGGCCCCTTCAAGCCATTCTGAAAGCCCGTCAATGATCCTCCCAACCCTCCCTACGTTGACTCGATTTATTCCCTTCAACTTCTTGCCAAACCGTTTGACGTAGACTCCGAGCATCTGGCGACCCCTGCGCAGATCGCTCAACTGAATCTCTGCGGCGTGCACGTTGGATATTGCATCGAGAATGTTATGCGCCTCGTCGATTATCACCACGTTTCCCTCCAGCTTGATGCCCAAAGCCTCGCGAGCACTCTGCTGCAGCAGAAGCGGGTATGGTAGTGTGATGATTTCAGCTCCGGGCAAGGCCGTGCGGGAGGCATAGTAGGGGCATATTGACAAGGACTTTCCGAGGAGATGCAAGTCTTCGATATCGGGGAGTGTCGCCAGAGCAGAGTCTCGAAACTGGTGTGTTTGGCTGAGTAGCTCCTCCTTGGGCACAAAGGAGCATTTCTTGCCAGATTTTGCTTGTTGGAGCTCCGCGCAGCGGTCATTGATGGCTTGAACAGACCCAAGGCGAGCAACAGATGGATTGATGCAGAGCTTTTGCCGCGATGATAACGGCAACAGCTTCACGGGCTCCATTGGGGAGACATCTGACGCTTTTGCAACAGACGGTGGCAGCGAGGGCGGGAACACTGGGCGGCGCAGCTCTGATATGAACTGTGACAATTGCGAATGAGTTCTGGATGTATAGTAGATCTATCGCAAGAGGTTACTATAAGGTGCGCTGAGATCAGGGTCGATGTTCGCACCTTGACTTTCTCCTCGAGTATGTCATCCTCATCCGCCTTATTCTTCACGCGCCCCCCCAGGCCGATCTTTTCGAGAATCTCCCGTGATTCCGTACTTAGGCCGGACAAGGCATCTCGTTCGCTTACTTCATCATCATCAGCATCCAGCAGCCATTCGGCATCTTCGTCCGCTGTGGTTTCAGGAGCTGCAGAAACGTCATCCACACGACGTCTCTTTCGACCTCTTTCCTCCTGCGCCTTTTCCTTCAGCCGGATAGACGCGAGGCGCTTCTCTCTGTCTTCCCACTGCCGTAGCAGTTCATTCCGTTTCCGGGATAGAAGCTGCTCAACGATCCAGGCTGGTTCATCTTTGTACGACTCTCCTGCTTCCCGCAGCGCTGCCTCTTGCCTGGTGGCCTTGTGATTCCGAAGCCATGTCAGAGATGCGCAGATGAGCGAGAGAGATTTACCCTGAGATGGTCATCAGTATGTATCCCCGCGCTTGTGGCAACGACACTCTCTTCAAAGTCCAAGGCTACTCAAAGAGATGCTATTCAAGGTTGAGGTTGCCCTGACCTGTTCCCTGAGGGAGGGTGGTTAACCTACAGTTCCAGTCGGGCTTTCCAGAATCCCTACTTGCCCGTTCCCAGTCTCTAGGACCCGATACACCGTCTGCATAAACTGGTTCTGGACATCATACGGGGTATATGGATGGTGGAAATCAAGGCTCGACAGCTCGTGCGCGAGGCCGTCAACTTGCTCTGTCATGGCCATCCTGTCACTTGACTCATTGTGCTAGTACTGGTTATGTCTTCATCACGTGTCTTGCTTGCTCAACGATGCGAAGAGCGTCATCGCATCGCTTTTGCTGGTGTCGAAACGCGTCTGATGGCGTCGCGCGGGCGGTGAGAGTAGCATTGGATTCTCTCAACAGCAGTGCGCAGGATGGCAATTGGCTCATATTACCCCACATTGCGATAAGGGCGATAACAGTCTATCACGGTCCTGCCGCGAAACCACGTGGGGCACCTTTGCCTTCTGCACGTGATTGCAAATCGCCAATTTTAGTCCAGGCGCGGCCGCGCACATCACAATCGGGCTTAGGGCTGTGCTGCCCTCTCGCCTAACAATTTTCCGGGGCCGCAGCAAGTGCCAAAGCCGCTGGCCGCAAAAACATCACCACCCACTTTCAAGTCCTTCGACGCAACACATCGGAGAAGCGACAACACCACAACCGTCGCCATGCCTACCCGAACTTCAAAGACCCGCAAGCAGTACGTTGATGAGCCCGCCTGGATGAATGGAATGACCCTGGATTGGACCTTTTGTCGGCTGTCGAAGTCTTGAGGGCGCTGCCTTTTGCGGTGACTCTCTGGAACGGCGCGCGATGAAGGACGACGAGGAGAAGATGGAGATTTTTTGCAGGTTGCAATGGAAGGCTAACATATTGCTTTTTTCTCGCCATATAGCCGCGGTCACGTCTCCGCCGGAAAGGGTCGTGTCGGCAAGCACCGCAAGCATCCCGGTGGTCGTGGTCTGGCCGGTGGTCAGCACCACCACCGTACCAACATGGACAAGGTTCGAACCGACTTTACAACGACGAGGAGAGGCGCCGAAACAGATTGACTGACCCGTTACGACAGTACCACCCCGGTTACTTCGGTAAGGTTGGTATGCGGTACTTCCACAAGCAGCAGAACCACTTCTGGAAGCCCATCATCAACCTCGACAAGGTACTTTGCCATCCTTTTCCGCGCGACGAGTACCCTCTCTCTTTCTGGTTTTTCTCGGGACAATAGGGGGAGCTTTGGGGGGGAGTTTCATGAGATGTCAGAAAGAGAAGGGGGTATATCGGGCGTGTTTCGTGGAAGCAACGAATTGGCTAACGAGAGGAAATCTAGCTGTGGTCGCTCGTCCCCACCGAGACCCGTGATGCCTACATCTCCGGCGAGAAGAAGGACACCGTCCCCGTCCTCGACCTCCTGCCCCTGGGCTACTCCAAGCTGCTCGGCAAGGGCCGCATTCCCGAAATCCCCCTGGTTGTCCGCGCACGATGGGTCAGCAAGCTCGCTGAGCAGAAGATCAAGGAGGCTGGTGGTGTCGTCGAGCTGGTTGCGTAAATTGGCATTAAAAAATCAAACATGCTGGTGTGTGCTGGAGTAAGGCTTGTGGATTTGGAACCGGGCACTTTTTCTCAAAGGTGGAAAATAGAAATCCCTTCGCCTTTCACCCCAAATGTATACCGAGACAAGTGGTCTTCTTTTTTGGGGAACAAGAAGGGATTGGGTTGGTCGGCTACGAGCATTGCATCAGGGACTCTTGAACGGAGTTTGTTAACGAATGAAAAATTAAAAAATTCGCCCATTGGTCCCGTCAACCTCGCCTTGCGTGCAAGATGAGGTAGACCCTGTTTCAACACTTTGTGTCCGAGGGATGGCATTCACAATCGGTTACACGAAACTGGACGGATCCAGATTCATGATTCAGCCATTGTCTACTCTACCTATGTAGCAGCGGCCAAGAGTTGATATAGTAGTAATGCTCCAAAACGCCGACATCAATCCAAACACCGTCATACCATAGATGGTCATCTGTGTAGTACATCTTGGTCCATCCCCTACCAAAAGGCCGATGGTCCCCCATTGTTCGTTTCATCATGCATGTCCAAATCCAGCTAATGCGTAACGGTCGTCATTATGTATTATGCTAGTAGTTCCTACAGAGAGAGGGTCTCTTGATTCATGCTGGCAGCATGTCGACCTCGTCTTCGTCAGCAGTTTCCTGGGACGCCATCCCAATGTTCAAAAACTCATGCTCCAGGGCCTCTTGCGCCGTGATGCGTCGGCTCGGGTCCAGCTCCATGCACCGCTCCAGAAATCGAATCGCCAGCTTCTCGTCGGGCGTCAACGGCTTGTCTTCCGTCCTGCACGTGCTCCACAGGATAATCTTCTCCATGGTGAAGCCCTGCTGGCCAATGGTGGGTATCGTCGTCTCGAAGACGCAGCCGTGCAGCAGTCCGGCCGCCTTCATCCGCTTGGTCCCGAATATCGTTGCAATTTCAATCATTGCCTCGACGTCGTCGGCGGAGTTGAAGAAGGGGAACCGCTTGGACAGAATGGTGAGGAGTATCACGCCAGCCGACCAGATGTCGATGGCCGTGGTCTGCTCCGTGCACTTGAAGAGCACCTCAGGGGCGCGGAAGCCTCGAGTTCCCGCGCGATTGGCGCGGCGGGAGGGTCGCGTGTCGGATTTTGGATAGCCCGGCTGGGTGGTCATGGAGGTCTGCGCCCAGACGGAGGAGGCCTGGCGATGTTTCCGGATTTCCCGCGTCTCGTGGCAGAGACATTGCTTGCTGTCAGTGCCTTCTCGCTCGGCCAAGCCAAAGTCGACGAGGACGCCGTGCTGGGTCGTGGGATCGTAGAGGAAGTTGGTGGGCTTGATGTCTCGGTGGAGTATCTTGTGCTCGTGTACGCTCTTGAGAGCAGTGAAGAGCGAGCGGAGGTAGATGGCGATGTCAGGGATCGTCATCTCTCGAAAGTAGGCTCGGAAGTCGCCGTGTCGGAAGTAGGGGAGGATGGCAACGACTTGATCGGTATGGCGGAAGGCGGTGATGAGAGGGCAGACTGAAGGGCATTGTCGTAGGTCGTGGAGGAGCTCCAGCTCGTTGAGGATGCGAGCCGGGCTGGATGTGACGTAGATCTTCTTTATAGCAACATAGCGCGCTCGCTTACGAGGAGAGCGGGACCGACTCGAGCGGCCCTTGAGAGGAGGAGGTGTCCATTTTGACAAGTCGTTCTCGTGGTCCCAGCTGTTGTCGTATCGGTCGTAGTGGACGTCCTCGGCCTTGAAGACGGTGGAAAACGTACCTAAAGAAACAGACAGTAAGCACTTGGCTAGGGGGATTCGAGCAATAGGAGATCAACACACCTTCTCCAATCCGCTTGATCAGCCGATACCGATCTCGAAAGCCGGGGAAATCTTGCTGCAGTCTGTCCATGTCGGCCTGCACGCTGCTTTCGACCTGCTCCTCGTCCGAGCTCTCCTCCTCCTCCTCCTCTTCTTCCTCTTCCTCGGGCTCCTCCTCCGCCTCGGGCTCGCCAATCGTGGCAGCGTCCTGGCCGTCTACATCGTCCTCGTCCACCATGACCTCCGTCTCCTCTGTCCTCGCATCCTCGTGGATATCGAAGGCGTCCTCCACTGGCCGCAGCATAGCCGTCGCCATGGCTGCCGGCTTCCCTTCAAAGAATTGGGACGTGGAAGCACTGCAAAACTGTATCCCGGCCAAGCTCAACGGCGTTTATCTTCCAAGAAAAACAGCAAAAGAGTCAATACTGAGAGTCAATTGGCCTTCACCGTGATTCAGCAATCAAAACAAAAAGGCCATGTACAAGCTCTATCAAGCTGAGATCATGCAACAGTAAATCAGATCAATTCAATGCAGGTCCCAGCCCAGCGAGGTGCTGGGTTCTTCTAGGGCCTATGGAGGGGCGTTTTTGGCGGCTTCGGGCAGCTGCAGCGGCTGCTCAGTGGCTGGACACGCGCCCGGGCAGCGCATGGCGGGGCGTCCAGGGCAAGCGGAAGCCTTGTCGCGTCCAAAGAAAATAAACAGATTGGTTGCCAAGGGCCCCGAGATGCATCCCCCGCCATTTGCCGCAAAAACAACCTTGCAACATCCATCTGCTGCCAAAGCGGTGGCAACAGTACCCAACCCATATAAACGGCAAACCCACGACGCAGGGCGAGGCTGCAGCGCTGCACCAGAGTCTCAGCTGAGCGAACCACGAACCGACCTGCCTACAGCCGACCTCACAGAGCCTCATCTTCTGGCTGTCTCTCATCATCTGCATATTCATCGATACCGAGCGCGAAGCCCCGCCAACTTTGGGCGCAGAAACCGCCCATCATGGGGACCATCAGCTTCGACATCAACGATGCGCTGAAGCATTACATGTCCGATCCCGCAACGATTCCCACTCCCGAAGCGGATGCCGCGCTGTTCGACTGCGAGAATGACCCCGAGGCGCTCACGAACCAGGTCATCAACCCTGTGTTGAATCCCATCATCGACGCGGTTGCGGACAATCCAGATGCCATCCTGCGGGCCGTCAACATCGACTCATTACAATTTCTTCTCAAGTACGAATTACAGGATACCCTTGGCGAAGACAACAGGGCGGGTAGCGGGGAGCGAGGGAGGAAAAGTGTGAATGCGCAGCTAACTGGTGGCTCAACGACAGATATACCCCCTATATACCAGCTCACATCCTCAGCAAAGTGTTCGACTTGGTAATGAGCGGGCTGAGCGCCGAGGCGGATGCGGTGCACAACGACATCGAATCGCCCGATGAGCAGGACTCCGTGGCGCATCACAAGCAACTGCTCGAGATCTACGGATTTCTGCTTCAGTGGACCATTGCCGCCGTCGAGACCAAAGCAGCAGAAAAGTCGTCCGCGGCGCCAGTGGCGAGAGGGCGAGGGAAGCCCAAGAAGACAGCCTCGCAAAGAGACGATGTCTGGGACTCCGCATCACAACTCCAGGGCGCATTGGAAATCATGTGCAAGACCCTCAAGCTCAAGCTGTCTAGAATATTCTTGACCACGAGTGAGCGGGATACATTCGTTGGTTTACTAACGCGCCCGGTCTACATGATTCTCGAAAACGAGCAACGCGTTAAGACAACGACTCTTAAGATGCATTGCTTCAAGGTGCTGTGCATCGCTGTCAAGCATCACGGCCATGGCTACGGTATGTTATTCCCAGTCTCTTGTTCAAGATTCCTCGACATCCAACTGACGATAACTACAGCCGCACAAATCAACGTTATCCAGAACTTGACATATTTCGAGCATCTCTCAGAACCAATGGCAGAGTTTCTTCACATCCTGGCCGAAACATACGATTATCCGCAGCTCACGGACGAAGTATTGCGCGAAATCAGCAACAAGGAGTTCAACTCCAACGATACTCGAGGACCAAAGTCGGTCTCTACATTCATCGCCAAGCTATCGGAGCTTGCTCCGAGGCTGGTAATCAAGCAGATGACAATGCTAGCCAAGCAGCTCGATAGCGAGGTAATTATATCCAAAAGTCGTCCAAAGTGCAACAATGGCAACTAACCGCCGTCTAGTCATATACCCTCCGATGCGCGTTGATTGAGGTCTGCGGCAACATGATTGCCTATCTAAGCAGGCAAGAAGAGCGAAGCGAAAACCACAAGTCCCAGCTCAACGCCTTCTTTGACGTCCTTGAAGAGCGCTTCCTCGACATCAACCCGTACGCAAGATGCCGCGTCCTGCAGGTATATGTGAAGCTCTGTGAGCTTGAGCAAAAATTCCCCAAGCGACGACAAAAGGCCGCCGAGCTCGCCTGCAGAAGCCTCGAAGACAAGAGCAGCAATGTGAGGCGTAACGCTATCAAATTGTTGGCAACGCTCATCAAGACGCATCCGTTCACTGTGATGCACGGCGCTCAACTATCACGGAAAGAGTGGCAGGCTCGCCTTGACAAGGTTGACGAAGAGCTTAACGCGCTCAAGCCTCCTCCTGGTATCCCTGGCTTGGCAGACGCGACAGTCGACCACAGTCTCCTCGACGAGGCCACCCAAGTCGCATCCCCAGAGAAGCCTCGGCAAATGACGGATAAGGAGGTGTTTGAAGCGGTTCAAAAGGCACAGGCGGAAGCGGCTACAAGCGAGGCGATCGAAAAGCTCACTCTCACTAGGCGATACTACAACGAGGCCCTCAAGTTCATCGACGTGCTGCACGACGCAACGGAGCTCATATGCCAGCTTCTCGGGTCTCGGAACAAGAGCGAGGTCATCGAGGCCATCGACTACTTTGAAGTTGGAGACGCTTATAACATTGAGCGGAATAAGGTCGGCATCCGGCGTATGCTGAGGCTGATCTGGACCAAGGGCAACAGCGATGAGGGCAAAGGAGTGCAGACACATCTCATCGAGTGCTACAGGAGATTGTTTTTCGAGGCGCCAGATTCATTCAGCCCCAACGATGCCGCCAACTACATTGCGCGCAACATGATCAGCTTGACCTTTGGCGCGACGCCTGCCGAACTCACTTCGCTTGAGCAGCTGCTTGCCACCATGATGAAGGGCGGTGTCATTCATGAAATCGTCGTGGCGAAGCTGTGGCAGGTGTACGGCGTCCAGAAACGAGAGATTTCCAAGACACAGAGACGAGGCGCCATCATCGTGCTGGGAATGCTTGCGTCAGCTATCCCTGAGATTGCAGTGGGTGAAATCGAGACGATGCTCCGGACCGGACTGGGGGCCCACGGGCGGAACGACCTGCAGCTGGCCAAGTATACCTGCATTGCCCTGAGACGGATCAACCCCACGGGAAGACAGGCCAAGGAGTCGAGTTCCAAATTCTCACGGCTTCCGAACGACCATGCGGTCTGTTCACGACTAGCGGCCATAACGGACGTGCCCTCGGACAGCAAAGAATGGTACGGTGTGGCAGAGCAGGCAATCAACGCCATCTACGCTCTCTCCAAGCATCCCGACATTCTCTGCTCGGCCATCATCCGGCGCAGGGCCAAGCAGGTCTTTGGCCGCGCCAGTTCGAGACCGACTTCGCGAGATCAGCACACGACGCCCGAGTTTGCGGACCCCAGGTCGCCGGGTGCCATGCCAGCGTCGCCGGAGAAGCCGACGAAGCGCGATGATGCCATTGCTCTCTCTCAGCTCCTCTTCATCGTTGGGCAGGTCGCAATCAAGCAGATTGTACATCTCGAGCTCTGTGAGTTGGACTTCAAGCGCAGAAAACAGGAGAAGGAGAAGCAGACGCCTGGCAAGACGGACAAGGACAAGGAGGACGCGGACGAGCTGGATCTTATCGGCGGCACGACAGAGGATGACTTTACAGAGGCCATGGCGCACATTCGGGAGCGGGAGCTTCTTTACGGTCCAACGTCACTCCTCGCAACGTTTGGCCCTCTTGTGTCAGAGATTTGTGCAAACAATACCACATACGCAGACGAGGGCTTGCAGGCGGCAGCCACGCTGTGTCTCGCGAAGCTCATGTGCGTGTCTTCAGAGTACTGCGAGACCAACCTTCCACTCCTCATCACAATCATGGAGCGGTCTCCTGATGCCACGGTCCGGTCGAATGCCGTCATTGCGCTGGGTGACATGGCCGTCTGCTTTAACCACCTGATTGACGAAAACACAGACTTCCTGTACCGGCGCCTAGCAGATACGGATGTATCGGTGAAGCGAACTTGCCTGATGACGCTGACGTTCTTGATCCTGGCTGGTCAAGTCAAGGTCAAGGGGCAGCTGGGCGAGATGGCCAAGTGTATGGAGGACGAGGACAGGCGGATTGCAGATCTTGCCAAGATGTTCTTTACGGAGCTCAGCACCAAGGACAATGCGGTGTACAACCACTTTGTCGACATGTTTAGCTTGCTCAGCGCAGGTGATATGGAGGAGGAGGCCTTCAGGCGCATCATCCGCTTCCTTCTCGGATTTGTTGAAAAGGTAAGACACCTGGTAACATTGACAGAGTACGCAGACACTAACGGGGCCGACTTGTGTAGGACAAACACGCCAAACAGCTGTCGGAGAAGCTCGCAGCCAGGCTTGCGCGCTGCGAGACGGAGCGGCAGTGGAACGATGTCGCCTTTGCTCTGGGCTTGCTGCAGCACAAGAACGAGGAGATTACAAAGCTCATTTCTGAGGGATTCAAGATTGTGCAGGCCGCTGCTTGATTGTCTGTTGTTTTTATGAAGCGCGGGGTGTCTGTGTGGGAGTACTTATTTCTTGTATATAGATGAGCCAGAATGTTGCTCGTGCCAAAACATGTACCTATGGATGCAATACGATATAATATTCAAACACAGGTTAAGAGTTGATTACTTTTCTTAGACCTTTCTAAGTAAGCCATAGTGTGAAAATCAATTTAGATATCAAATGAGACCGCGCGAAAATGCCAGTTTTGTCGGTCTTCTTCAAAAGCATAGCTTGTATCCATATTGCAACTCGGACGAGGTTATTGGAACAAGATAAGCAGTCTCGTTCAATGATTTTTAGCTTCACAAATTGATCAGATCGTAATCATATGCACATAATCGAAATCAGGCACTTGATCCCGCCATCCCAAGGTATGGCACGCTCAAGCTGCTGATGTAGGAATCATCTGTAGAACCTTCAACTACCCTAAAATCAAGACACTCGGGGCGGTGTTTCGGAGCATTTCTGAGTCTCTCGGCACTTGCCGCAGCCATGACCGCCTTTTCCCGTTTGAGTCTAGCGCCATATCTATCCAAACAAAGAAAGTCAGTTCCCAAATCGATAACGCAATGCGACCACGTGACCCACGCTGACTCTAGCCCAATACAGAAACAGGCTGCTTCAGGTGGGGCGCGTGCTCCAAGAGAAACTGCAAGTGACTTTGGTACATAAGGTACTTGTGTACCGAGCTTTTCAGCTTGCTTCTCAATTGAAACTGAACGCTTGCGGGCAGCTGCTGCGTCACGTCACCCTCACCAGCACCAGAAACTTGGACCTCTAACCATCTCCCGCCATAACAGACAGCTGCTGCTCTCGGGCAAAACATAATCGGAACATTATCATCTCTTCGCCGCCGTCGTGCTACAGCTCTCGAGCATCTCTTGTCTTCGCGATAACAGCATCCGCGTCCCCGGCATTTGCCACTGCGCCTCGCCGCGAGCTCCCTGTTCTGCCGCCTACCTGCGAACCCTCCCTCTCCTCGAATCTCGCGCCTGTGAGGGCCATGGGCTTGGCTATTGTTGCTGCCGATATCAGGATTGCGCACGGGGAAGCGTTTTAGTATTGCTTTGGAGCCAGCAATTGACACTTCCATTGCTCTTGCGGCTGTTCGTCGCCATCGCCCGCGCCACCCAGGAGCCCGTGGAGCTTTGCCGAGCTTCGTAGGAAGAGAAAAGAGGAGGCACGACAACGCGCAAAGCCCAAGATAACCTCGAGTCGCGCAGCTGAAAAGATGTACGACAAGGTTGTCTCTCTGGGCTCGCGCCTGCACTATCCCATCGTCATCACCAAGCTCCTCAAGAAGCCGGGCGAGCCGATCAAGAAGCAGGAGACGATCATAGAATACAAGTTCCACTGGCGACGCAAGATTGGCGACGATGAGTGGGTGGACGAGACTACGTATACCGAGTTCGACAGCCCGGCCGAGGGCACGCTGAAGGAGTGGCGCATCGAGGAGGGCCAGACGATAGCGGCCGACATGCCGTGCATGACCGTCGAGGAAGCCTGCGGGCACGAGGTGCAGATCCAGGGCCTCTGCAGCCTTTGCGGCGCAGACATGACGGAGATCAACTGGGCCAGCGAAGAGAAGGACACGGATCGGGCCATGATTAACATGGTGCACGACCAGACGGGACTGATGGTGAGCCAGAACGTGGCCAAGCGGGCGGAACACGACACGCAGAAGCGCCTGTTGCGCCAGCGGAAGCTGAGTCTGGTGGTCGACCTGGACCAGACCATTATCCACGCGTGCATAGAGCCGACTATCGGGGAGTGGCAGCGCGATCCGACGAATCCCAACCACGAGGCCGTCAAGGACGTCAAGAGCTTCCAGCTCAACGACGACGGGCCCAGAGGCCTGGCCAGCGGGTGTACCTACTACATCAAGCTGCGGCCGGGCCTGAAAGAGTTCTTGGAAGCCGTCTCTACAAAGTATGAGCTACACGTGTATACCATGGGAACCCGCGCGTACGCCCTCAACATTGCGCGCATTGTGGACCCCGACAAGAAGCTCTTTGGAAATCGCGTCATCAGCCGCGATGAGAATGGAAGCATCACGGCAAAGAGCTTGCAGAGATTGTTCCCGGTCAGTACCGACATGGTCGTCATTATTGACGATCGCGCCGACGTCTGGCCCATGAACCGGCCGAACCTGATCAAGGTCGCACCGTACGACTTCTTCAAAGGCATAGGGGATATCAACTCTAGCTTTCTGCCCAAGAGGCAGGACATCCTGCCGTCTCCAACAAAACCGAACGGTCTGATGCCAAACCCCGAAAATGCCGTGCCAGGAGAAAAGGTCTCACCACTAGATGAGCTCGCTCGCATGGGAGGCGGCGACGAGGCCAGTCTCAAGGTTCAGACGCAGGAACAGGAGAAGACATTGGAGAAGCAGCTGACCGACCGCCCATTGCTGCATATGCAAGAGGAGCTGGATAAGGAGGATTCGGAAGCTGACGGATCATCAACATTACACCACAGAGCGCATCTTTTGAATGACGATGACGAAGAGCTCGTTACCCTGCAAGACCACTTGACTGATCTCCATGCTGCGTTCTACGACATGTACGACCGGAGACGGGCAGAGAGGAAAATGTCGGAGGGGACACATCCGCCCGGGCATATGAAGGCGCGGAGGAAATCTCAGCCTGATGATGGGGTGGATCTGTCGCTTGTCCCAGACGTGGGCGATATCCTGGACGAGCTCAAGTCCAGCGTTCTGTCGGGCCTCGTCATTTGTTTGTCAGGACTCGTGCCGTTGGGAGTGAACATCGAAGAGTCTGAAATTGGAATGCAGGCGCAAAGCTTTGGAGCCCAGGTCGTTGATACCATCTCGCCCAGGGTCACGCATCTTGTGGTTTCTCTGGCGCGGCCGCGCACGAAAAAGGTGCAGCAGGCGGCTAAGATCCCTAGTATCAAGATTGTGAACCAGAGTTGGCTGGCAGATTGCCTTAGCCAATGGCGTAGGCTGGACGAAAGCCCGTATTACATGCCCATCCTTGATGCGGACCGCGAGAGGTCAGAGGACGACACTGCGGAAACCAGCGCGGCGGAAATGGAAGACGCCGGCATCTCCTCTATGAACATGGGCGATTTTGATGAGGAGCTCAAGGAGTTTCTGGGCTTAGACGATGACGATGACGACGACGACGATAACGACACCGAGAACGATGATGGCAATGACGAAGGAGATGAAGAAGCGGATGAGGACGAGGATGGGGAGAACGACAGCGAGACCACAGATGGCGAGGGCGACGACTCCGACGACCCGGAGAAACGGGGCACAAAGCGCAAGGACAGAGAATCAACCATGGAGTCTGAGGAAGACGCGTCAAATCCAGTGGGCGAGAGTGCGCTGGCGAAGAAGCAGCGGGTATCACGAAATCGGGGGGCCTCCTCGTTGCGAGCTGTACAAACGCCGAACGGCGAGGCTGCTGGCCCCAGTAGCGATGCAGCTCCCCCGCCTCCAAGCACAGAGGTAGACAGCTTGGCGGAGTTTGATGAGCTGGAGCGGGAACTGCTGCTGGGTCTCGAGGCCGCGGGCAGTTAGAAGTTGGCATAGGGATTTACGCGGTGCGGGCGTTGGGGGATGAAGCCGATCTAAAGAAGAAGATGAAGAAGAAGAAGAAGAAACATCTGGCCGGCGCACTTTATTTTTGAACGTTTTGTGTTAAGAGTAGTGATTGGGAAACTGGGGTAACAATGGTGTTTATTTGATTGGCTCCGATTCTGTTTGGCCATGCTCTCTTCTCACATCCATCCACGTCTTGGTCCGTTGTCTTGTAATGAATGCTTTGCCCCCGTTCTTCGGCCGGAAGGGGAGAGCGTCGTGACTCGTTTTGCATCAAGAAGGAAGTGAAGCTTCAAGGCCTTCGGATACCCGTGACAATGCAAAGACCTGCAAAGAAGCAGGGATACTCCCTCTCAGTTGACAGCCTGATGATCAAGGTATGATAGATGCTACGGGGCAGCACCAATCCGGTAAAGACAGACAGACGGACGCTTATGACAACCTTTCGATGCTTCAACATCATCGAACCTGGCCCTGTGTGTTTGTTTGACCAAGAAACGGAGTCTCAGCGTCCAATAATCATGCCGTACTAACGCCCAAGCAGGGATGATTTTTGATAGTAGTGCTGCTCCGCCGGTCTGAAATCCCTCCGGTGACCCACGCTCGGTCAACTCCGTAAACTGTCCAATGAGGTTTGGGGATTTGGGGATCTTCAAGATAGAAAGCTTGAAAAGAAAGAGGAAGGAAGAAGGGATTCTTTTGGTTGCAGTACGGCTTTATGGAGAGATTTGATTACTCCGAGTTTGACTATGACCTAAGGGGCTGGAAGAATGGTATAAGTTGGGGAGGGTTTATGAAAAAAAAATTGGGAGTCCTGGAGAGTTGAAGCCTTTCACTTGAGGCATTGGTAGACATCATGCTCAACCTTCCATTGTCGTATATCGCCAATGGGCCTCACATACAACCCCGACACGGACGTGCCCAACCTCGTTTTTATCTGTACGTTAGACAGCTGTGAACATTCGATGGTGGCCTGGATCTGTAAGTTTAGAACTGCACGAAGAGGATATTCGCCGCGCTCTTTCTTAGATTCGGTCTCTTCAATTTGCATCCATAAAGTCGGGTTTGACGACAAGTGGACACATCCTCATAAGCATATATACAAAACTCCAATCCGTTCAAGCGCATCTTTCGTCCCTCGCATGCTTCTTGGTTCTGGTTTATTTCGAAGGAGCCGGAGCCACGGCAAATGTCGGCCGCACAAACCTAAACCCTCCATGTTAGCCAAACCACCATTCGAGAACGCCCAACAGAGCACCACTTCTTCGGAGACGCACCTGTCGCTGTTGTAGACCTTTGTGTTCTCGCCCAGCAGTTCCTTCTCACGCTTCTGGTCGGCCAGGTATCGTCGCACCTGGTCGCGGTCCTCTTCGGCCTGCAGGAGGGGGATCAAGTGGATTCGCGCCCACATCTTTTCGCGGGCGAGCTCACTGAAGGTTGACACAATGTTAGTTTTGCTTGCAGGGCCCTTTCTTCGGGTTTGTAGGCTCAGATAGGATCCGGAGGTTGGTTGGGGAGGATGCGGACGTACTTGGCCTCTCGGATGCCGCCAATCAGCTTGTACCAGCCGTAGCCCATGACGGCGCCCATGCCGAGGAGCATGATTCCCGGTCGGAAGCCCTTGGCGGGGAGATTTCGCTAGATGGAGACTGTCAGCCTTGGCCATTGCTTCGAGGGTGGCGGAGGTTGTCGAGCCATCTATGTATGTATCTCTCGTTTGATGGATGCAGTTCTCGCCGTTGCTCCTCCAATTGCGCAGTCTCTCGCACCCAGACCAAGATCACACCAGAGATAAAAGACGCAGCATCAACGTACTGCCACCAGCATCAATCGATCCCAACGCAACGCACCTTGTACTGGACGGGCTCGTACCCGCCCCGAGGGGGCATATCTTGAGGCATGATGGGCGGTACGGCTGCGGTCGAGGCGGGAGTGAAGGCAAAGAAGGCGTCAATCGCGGTATGCGCAGAAGAAACGGAGAGTCGGTCGCCTCGTCAATCGATGGGTCGAGATCCTTGTGCTGCGCGCCGTCTGCTGGGGAGATGCGAAGTCGTTCTGGCGTCGGAAAGCTATTGCTGGTGAGGGCCATTTTCCGTGAGAGCCTCGCCAGAGGTTGGAGGTGCTGATTACATAATGCAATTTCATGGTGGGGCATTGCTTCGAGTTGGTTGAGTGCCTTAGTATTACATACATACAAAAGGCAGGAAGGTCTGGCTGCCGCCTGCCTGCTTAGCAATGAGGTGATTGATGCTCTGCTTTATCTACCTACCTTACGTACCTAATCTGAGGATGGATTGCTTCTCTCCTCATCATCACCATCATCTGTATTGGCAGAGGCGTATCGTTTTGTTGGTGAATCAATCATCTGCGACTCTGCTCGCCTCATTCATGGAGGCTTCGAACCATGACAAAGCATCTGGACTCTCATCCTCCCGCTCCCCTCATGAATGGCTCGGCAAACCGACAGACGCACGAGGGACATGATGGACGGGACGAGAAGCGGCAAGACATGGACAACGACTGGACAGATGCAGATGCAATGCCGCTGACCCTTCATGCGCCTGTGCCTAGTTTCCAGGCGAATGACACGGCATCGATGTGTGCTTCTTACTCCGAGAATCAAGTATCATCTGCACGACCATCAACCCAGCCCCGGTCCTCCCTTTAGGCATCACCATCCTTGGCCATGTTCCGGCAGACGGTTGAGTTGAGACAAGCCAGAAGGTGCGCCGCAGCAGCCACATTCTCCTAGCCGGTCTCGGTCGGCCACTCGAATCGGAGCGTGCATCGGGATTCTGTTGCTCATTGCCCTGCGTAATGCAATGGTGGGCATACATAGGCTATCGGGGCCGTCCGTCTTATCTGCTACCTGATGGCCCGAACCTGAAGCCTCCCGCAGGTGAAACTCTCCCGAGACCCTCGCGAGCCATCAAGATGGTGCATGGGCCTGTTGATTGAGCTTGCACGTACATATTACTCCGCGCGTCTGCCCGACGACGGAGAGGTGTGGAGTCTCTCTTCTCGGATCCCCCCGTTTTTCAACGCCCACAGGCTGACTCTGCCGGCATTCACCAGCGGGCTTGCGTGCTTGGCTGGTTTGTCCTCTGTCCACCTTCTCGCGGCCATGTAACGCAACATCCGATGAGAGCAAGACTCCATGCCCTTGTATCCCAGCCTCATCTCGTTCGGGTATCCACTGGACCACAGGGCTTCACGATGGCTGGATGGCCTGCCGTGCCGGGCCCCGCTCTCTCGACTAATATCGCGACTTTGCCACAGCTCAAATGTCTGGCCAAGCCATTTCCGCTTGCAACCCGATCGTACCCGTTGTTCGCCGCTTTCTGCCTGCGGCTTTAGCTTGGACTGCCCTGCGCCGCAGATCGACGCAACGCATGATAGGGGAACCCTCTTCACGTCTCCCCGGATTGGGGGACCCTGGCTGATGCTACCCTTTGCTTTGTTTCCTGGCCAAGAAGGTCTGCCTTGTTTGCCTGCCACCGGCGATGCGCGTTGTTGGACAGCTGAGGGTCGGGATGGGCTGATGGGCGTGGCGCCCTGATGCCCGTCGACAAAAAAGACGCAGGCCCCGTCTTTGCTTGAAATATCTGATTCATTCCCGGCACCGGTTTGAATCAGTCGACCATCTTTGTGGCTCTCTCTTCATCCTTCCTCCTTCCCGCGTCAATCCCTCCGTCAGGACTCGCCACTGATACGCATGTGCTCTTGGGCGCTGGGTCCTTTCTTGGTCCATCCTCCTTTCATGGACCATCATCCCAACTACTGCTAGGAGAAGCAGCTTCAATACTCAAGGAAGACGAAGAAGAGAAAGAGAAAGACAAAGACAAAAGCATCATGTACGGCAACTTTCATCGAATTCCTTATCCCATCCACAAGAGCCCCATGGACGGGGACACAGCCCACCGCGACCTCGACTGGGTATACGCCTCCCAAACCGACCGGATCTACGTCCTCCGCGTCGGCGAGTTCGGCGTCACCCGCCAGCAGAAGCTCGACCTGCTGCAAAATGTCTTCTGGCCCGCCCTCGTCCGCTGGGTCATCTCGAGGCAGCAGATCCTGCCCGGCGGCACCATACTCGGCGGCTGGTGGCGCGCCGACATGCAGGGCATCATGGACTGGTATCGCGAGTGTCTTCACATGACGGCTCGCTGGGAGGACGCCATCATCGCTCACACGGACGGCATCTGGAGGACCGCGCTGGAGACGTCGCCCTGGAGGGACTGGCCCGAGTTCTTCCTCCTCCTGAACGAACCCGTCGTGGATGAGAATGGGCAGGTTGTCAGGGATGCCCAGGGCCGCATCTTGTACAAGGATAGGGACCCGACAGTCGACGGCATGGAGGATGCGTTCCTGGACCTGTGGGAGACTATTGCAAATTCCCGTCCGCTGGCGAATTTTGTGAGCCAAGATGCTCGCAAGGACGGCAATTTGCTTGTTTCGCGCACACGGGCCACCACGGATTTGTGTGTTTAAGTGGATTGATTGAGCGGCAAACTTTATGTTTCACTGGGATTTCCACTCTCTGCTCTTTGTTGAAGCCGGCGCTTGGGACAGGATTTTGGGTACTTTTCTTCATTGTTCAATTTGGATCGGGCTGCGTTATGATGGCACTTGATACACTCACAAGGCGTTTTTCCATGAATACCAAATTCTGATCGGTTCATTGACCGGACTTCTTTATGCATTCCTTTGTTCAGACGACCATTCATGTTGCTTCATTGTACGGGCTGGATACGGGGCCATACGACTTGCATTCTTTCGTTCTATAACGCAGTATCATCTATTTCCAAACATGGAATCAAAGTTCGTTCTCGCCCAACAAAGTATCCAGAATATCCCAGCACCTCTCATCGCACGTAATCCAATGCGTAAAGCAAGGAAGCTGGATGAAAAAGAACGACAAAAGAAACACGCGTTATTAAAAAAACACCAGTCTAGGGTTCTTGGTGAAAAAAGAAAACGGAGGAGAAAGAAATGAATAGGGAAAAACTCTTGCTTGCCCTCCAACCATCCAAAACCCGCCCCCGTATAGAGCCATGACTTCGTTAGTTTTCTTTCACAAGAAAACGGTAAAGAAGAAGAAAGAACGGTAAACAAGGAAGGAAAGAAAAAAGGAAAAAAAAAAAAAAAGGCGGAAAAAAGAAAAGAAAAAAGAAAGGAGTTCATCTCAATCAAGCCTTGACCGACGCCTTGCTATTGTTACCCAATGCAACGCCATCCAATCCCTCGCTCAACTTGGTCGTAATCACATCCGGATCCGGTTCGTCGCCCCGGACAAACGTCCAGCTTTCTTCCGTGTCCTCGTCTTCTTCGGCTTCCAGATGCCCGTCTGTATGCTTGATCAGGCTCTTTGCGTAGTCCATGTCTCGGTAAATCGACTGAATCGCAGTTTCCACGCCGGTTTCCTGGAAAATCTGTTAGCATAATCGTGATAACTTGATTGGGGAAGAGATTCAAGGAAAGATAGTGTGCCCACCTTGCGAATCTGCTCTCCCAAGAGCCGGGCCTTGATAATCATTCGCTCGTTACGCGTAACCTCCCAAAGAGCCCGGCCAAAGGATTTTGTCCCCCACTTTTTGACCCAAACACCAACGCCCAAATCTTCCACTCGGCTTGCAAAGAAGAACTGGTCTCCAAAGAATGGCCGGATAATGGTCGGGATGCCGGCCCTCAGGCTGGCGCCAGTGGTGCCAGATCCGCCGTGATGCGCTGCCGCATCGATCTGTCGGAACAACCAGTCGTGGGGAGCAGACTTGATGACGTGAATCTCCGGCGGCATCACTGGCTCTTCAGCGGCGGGCCTCGCGGGTTCGTTTTGTCCAGTGATGCGGTCAGACCATCCCTTGGACAGGATGCATCGGACATCGGCCTTAAGGATGGCATCGATGACTTCCTGGGTCATCTTGACCGGGTCGTTGACAATGATGGAGCCAAAACCGACATACACAATCTTCTTGCCATCATCCCTCGCTTTCTTGATAAAGTCCCGAAGTTCTTGGGGAGGCTCGTAGTCGCTGCCCTCGTCCAAGAACCAGTAGCCGGTGACCCTGACCCAGTCGGAAAAGTCCAGCGGAGGCGCGACAACACTCGGGCTAAAGTTGTACAGGAAGGGCACCTTGTTGGGCTGCATCTTTTCCAAGCTGGTGTTTGGCAAACCAAGCGTCTTGTTCCTCCATCGGTTGACCTGATGAGCAGTAGCTTTCCAAAAGATGTTGTCGAACATGACGTAGGTCATGTAATTGTAGGCACCGCCCATCTTGTTTTCCGGCGTGACAAAAGCGTGGGGATAAGCCCTCGTCCTCGTCCATGGCATGGTGAAGGCTCTGAAGTAGGGGATGCCAAGCTTCTCTGCAATGTGAATTCCTGCCATGGCTGACGGTGACTCGATGAGGAGCTCGGATCCCTCGCACGCCTTGTACGCGGAGTCGAGGAGGTCGTCAAGCCAGCCTCGAAACGTCGCATTGGCTTCTCGCAGGAATGACAGAGTAAAAGTTCCATTCTCAATGCAGAGGCGCATGAGCTCTCCAGGGTCACCCTCGACACACGCAAATTCGATACCGTGGGACTCGATCCATCCTTGGAACTCAGCATGGGTCGCGATCCGTGGCTTGTGGCCTTCTGCGAGCAATCCCTTGCACAGGGCGATGTATGGCTGAACATCCCCTCTGGAGCCAATCGTTAGACATGTGATTCTCATAGGATGCGGCGCCTTGAAGTGAATCACTGATGCTTCCATGTCGTCCCCGGCCGAGACGTTGGGGACTTGAGGCAGGGTAGTCGATTGCGCGAGGTGAAGGTCGCCATCCGCAAACGCAGCCCCTCTCGCTGAACTCAAAGCGTCTCGCTCCGCAATGGCAGCGTTTGCATCATCTGTATAATGCTGCTCCAAGATTCCGGATTCCTGAAGATGGCGATTGGTCTCGAGGCCTTGCAAGAGCGTCACCGCGCAGTCATCACGGACCTCGGCCGTTCGAAACTCAAAGAAGAGCTCTTCATGCCCCCGGATCACGACAACCAAGCCAGAATATCCAAAACGGAAGCCCTTCTCCTTGTGGGCGTTCTCGATGTCCTTTAAAGGTAAGATCAACTTGGTGCGAGTGCCCGGGAGCAGACTTCGGAAGCAGAAATATCGACCACTGAGGTAGATTTTGCCATACAGCGGCAGGACACGCATGATGTAGCCAAAGTAGGTGGCCTGCAGCCTCTCTGTGTCGGGGAGTGCAAAGTGCGCTCGGAACCGCTCATTCGAGGTTTGTATCTGACCATCATCGTTCTCTTCCAGCTCGTCCTGGTCGGGCCGTAGACCGGCTGGTTCGTCGTAGTGCTTGCGTTCGCCCTTCCACATGCCCGAAACCTTCTCGACATAGCCCATAGATTCTGTGGCAAAGAGAGTACTCATTCTTTTGCCCGTCTTGTTCAGATACTCGGCGATGGCGCCGGCCCGCTGAAGGGGATAAGTCCCAATCTTGGTAATGCTCTGCAGCGTGGGTGTCGACGTTCGCGGAGGTTCGATAACACCGGTGTAGCTCGAGGCATCATTTTGACTTGCCGCCGCCGAAGAGTGCTGCCCTTGTTTTGACTCTGCATCTTTGCCTCTCGACTCCTCGTAATCGCGACTTGAGGTTTGCGAGTGTCTCATCGTGGGACTCTGGAAAACATCGCTGCCTCGAAGGATCTGGCTCGCAGAGGGGTCTTCGAACGCAGACTGCGTTAGGCTGGCGAAGCTTGGCTCCTCGATGGAGGAATACAAGTTGGACTCTGACGATTCCAGCAGCCGTGAGTCCCTCCTTTCTCCAGCGTGATCTGACGTCCTGTTGTCGCTCGAACTCCTACCCCGAGAACTCTTCAAGCTCAGCACGCCTTCGTCGGCACTTGGACTTGTTGAATCAGCCCATGCGGGAGAACCGTCTCCTCTGGCAGTGCCGGGAGGCTTCGTCGTGAGTGCGCTGTCTACGCGAGCTAGGTTCCGAAATGCGGTCCCAGAAATGCGAGGCGACGACTGATTTGAAGACTCTTCCTCGTGAGCTGCAATAACCTTGCCGGCAGTTGGCGCCTCGGCGGATGCGTTTTCTACCAACACCTTGATGACACTTATGGCCTCTTTGCCGGAGTTGAAGAATGAGAAAAAGTACTGTACACGTCAGTCTTGCCATTCCACAAGGGGCCGAGAGCACCCCCCCATCCTAACTCACCTCGTCGATCGCAAAGGTCTCATCGCTATCAATGACCCGAATCTTGCACGTGTCTGAGAACTCCATCATCTGAGTATCCTCAACGTCAAGGATGTTGTCAATGGGCAGAGAGATTTTGACGCTATCACCATCGTTGTGGCTTCGGAAGATGACCCTTTGTAGGCTCTTTACCCACTCCTTTGCGCTTGGCGCACTCTCTGCCTTGAAGTTGTAGGTACGGTGGCTTGTCACTACGGAGAAGTGCACGCCCTCCTTGTCTTCGTCGGTAATGCTAGCAGAGATGCCGAAACTGAGGTCGATGTGGCCGTGAGGGAAGTACAAGTTTGTGGGATCCTGGTAGTAGGACAAGACGTCGCCTTTCAGGCGGAACCAGTAGCGGTTGTATTTTGGGTTGCGTTTGCCGCTTTTCAGCATGAAACCAGACTTGGTAACGGTGTGCTATTGTGCCGATTAGTTCGGGTCGAGTAGTCTTGATGCAGTATGCGGAAATTGGCCTTACCGTCTTCTTCGGGAGGTGTGCGTAGAAGCAAATGTGCTTGGAAGTGATGTATAAGAAGCCCTGGAGCAAGACGCTCTGCAATAGCCAGCAGGGATACTCTGTATATGGCTGCCTGTCAGTTGCAATCTCCACGTAAGGGGGTTCATCCAGCGCAGACGAACCTTCAATGACTCGCTCGGGTTCGTCAAACTTGAATATCTCCATCAGCTTCTTGGCCAGCTCTGTGACGTGCTCCCCTTCGCTGTCTTCATCGTCCTCTTCTTCCTCATCGTCCTCTTCTTCCTCATCGTCCTCTTCCTCTTGCTCTTCCTGGTCCTCCTCGTCGCCCGCTCTCTCTCCTTCGTCTGTACGCTCCGGACCGGAAGAGTCTCTTTCGGTATCATAGCTAGACCGGCTGGCCATTTCAGCCTTGGCCTCCAGCATCCTGCTCATGACGGGCGCTATCCGGAGGTCGTCCTCAGGCTGCTGTAGAGAGATCTTGGGAGATGGCGCTTCGCTACTCTCGCTCTGCTCGTCGACTTCCTGTGTAGGCTCCCATAACCGGCTGGAGCCCTTTCCGGATCTACTTGTCCTCTTGGGTAATGAGGCAAAGGATTTGAGCATCCGGTGTCCAGACGGCTGCTTCTTTCCAAGCCTTTTGTCCTTGGGCGGTAGTGATCCGAGTATGGCGGTTTGTGAAAGATCGCGGTGTCGTGGACGTAAAGGCTTTAGGCTGCCCCCCTCGTCCTCGTCGCTGCTGCCGTCGTCGAAGCGCGTGTTGAAGTCGACACGGGAGCCCGCGGCGGCAATCAAACCAAAGATGCTCTGGTTCAGGTTCACAGCCATGTGGCCGGGGTTCGCGGGTCCGACATTCTCGCTCGTCTCGTCGTCGCTGCCTTGGAGAGGTTCGGGGAGCTCAGCAGTTGGGGTTCGGTCGTCGCTGTTGGGAGGCGAGGGCGCAGGCGCAGGCGCAGTAACCGCATCGCCTTGGCCGTCTGGGCTGCTATAACGGGGCGTGGGCGTTGTGGCCATGATGGCCCGAAGAGAAGTGGCTGCAGCAAGCTTGAGTTTTAGAGTTGGCAAGCGCGGGAAGAGACCGGGAGGAGACGCCTCCTGGCGATGCGGAGGCCGGCTCGAGACGAAGCTGGACGGGGTCAGCAGGCAGAGGATGGCCGCGCGAGGATGACGGCAGACGTGCAGCTGCTGGTATGGTCAAACAGCCAGGCAACCGCCCGCTCCGCCAACCGCCTGATGGCCGGGGGAGGCAGCAGCTCCGCGGAAGCACAAGCACAGCGAAGCACAGCACAGCAAAGCACAGCGCGAAGAGGCGTCTGGGATGTCCGCGTCTGCCGGGTGGACGAAGAGGGTTTGGGCGAGTGTTTGCGGGCTTGTTTGGCGGAGGATTGATGGAGGTGGACGTTGGGAGTTTGGCTGCAGATAAGGTCAGGTCAGGTCAGGTTCGCGGACTGGCGTGCTGCCGTTGGATGGTGTCTTAGGGTACCTCCCGGTAGGCGGTACTTGGCTGTACCTGCTGGGTTCTTGCTACTTGGTACACCGCTTGCTGGGACGGCCGCGAGGATCAGCGCTGGGTGGCTGGATCTGTGTATAGTAATGCCCGGTGAGTCGGTAAAGAAGGGCAAAGTCTCGACAGACGGGCAGCCGTTTTGTGTATACCTAGGTACTGAGGTATATGTCGTTTGATGGTACCGGAACTGCGTGCGTCGAGTGCAAGTTGGTGTTGGAACCAGGCTGGACGGCAGTGACATGCTCATCCAATGGCCCCAATCCCGTCCGATCCACTGCGATGTCGCCAAGGGAGCACTTATCGATAAAGCCGCAGCGCCAACGGGATGCAAGGGAGATTGACGCCTCGACTCTGTAGTTGTACCTTATCTTTTGATGCTCGTACCAGTAATACATGTACATACAGCTGGAGAAGATTCAGGAAATGCTCGTAATTTCACTTGATTGTTCCCCTCAAGCCAATGGCGCCCGCGCCGTTTATCGTCTGCACATGCACAGCAGCGGCGGCGGCCACCACAAGTCCAAGTCACACACGCCGGCTTGTTAGTCGTGCCTCCACCCCACGTCTCCCATGTGACATGATCACCAAGAGGCTTGGGCATTCTGCAGGTTCAGGACGATGACGCGCGCTGTGCCAGTACATGCCAGGTGACGAGGTAGTACATAAGGTACTTGATTCTATCATGACTGAGTTACTCGATTCAACTGCAGGTCTCTCCGTGTCCGATATTTAGCTTGAGTATCTCAGCTTACTACTACTATCCTGAGAGAGACAGGAGTTAACAGTCTGTCGCAGTTATAAGTTACGAGTACGAACCCAAAGGCCCGGTGCCACCAAGGTGCACAGGGGTAAAGCAAAGAGCGTGCGCAATCCAGCATGCAGCCGCTTCTGGCGCCGCCGTGCGTGTTATGACTACTTCTGGTCTTCCCTTGTCTTTGACTCAAAGGTCGTTTTCGTTTTCGCTTTTCCTCCCATCCTTGTACTCTTCTCCTGTTCATCAATACAAAATTGGAATTGTACCTTCAAGTGACTACTTAAGTCCATGATTCTCACCAAAGACGCTGCTCAGCTGATCCATCATTTCATTCACCTTGACCATGAGCCGAGCCGTCCCGGACATTGTATCCGGGGCTGACTCAGCCAGAACTAAGTGGTTGCTTCGCCACATGCCGTTGGCTTGCCAAAAGGGAAGCAAAATAGCGACAGATCGATTCCGGAGAAAGAAAACAAAAGCCTTAACAATCTATACATTCAGCATTCGTTGAATCGGAACAATCGGGTGGCTTTTCTGGAGAAGCTGACAGTCTTGCCGCGTCTTTAATGTTCTAGTTCCCGTGTGTTCAAGTAATAAGCTCTCGGTCAGGCTGGGCATTTGTTCGATAAGCTACATGTATGATGGCCTGCCGGCTATCGCCTTGCCGTCTAGGGACTGTGCAGTTTTGCATACGGTTTCATTCCTCTTTTACCATTCTCTTCATCACTGGCTTGATATTCCTCCCTTGTTTCCATCCATCTTGATATGGCTGTGTCTGCTTTCTCGATTAAACGATTGTAGCTTCTTCCGCGGCTAATCGGCAAAGTGAATGGCCTCTCTCAGCAGAGCATCTAGCGTACTGTACCTAGATAGACATTCACCATGTAACGTCACAGCTTAATCTGAACAATAGCTCACTTACACATAACCCCAAGCCATCTCTACCTTTTCCCACAACATCATCAACTGTAGACACTCGTATGAGCTCACCTCCTCTCATAATAAACTGCAAAATTCCACAAGCCCTTCCCCCCTCTCATCGTCAGTCATTGACAACAACACCCTCCAACTCACAATGTCCTCTCCAACAAGCCCCTCCATATTCCCCGCATCCCTCCTATCAAGCGACGCAGCCGCAGCCCTTCCCACCGGCTTCACCATCCGACCCCTTGAAAGAGGAGATTACGCAAAGGGATTCTTGGAATGTCTCCGTGACTTGACCTGGATGGACAATGTCACGGAACAGGACTTCAACGAGCGGTACGATGACATGGACACGGGCGGCAAAGGCCCCTATTACTATCTCGTGATTGAGCATGAGGGCAGGATTGTGGGCACCGGCGCCGTAATTGTTGAGAAGAAGTTGTAAGTCTTTCTACCTTTCCACACTACCTATATATATATACAGCTTTTCTTTTTATTGATATCAAGTGAAAAAAAAAAAAAAGCATACAAAACCGCACTACGGTCGGCCACATTGAAGAAATCTGCATCTCCAAGGAGCACCAAGGAAAGAGGCTGGGCTTCCACATGCTCGCCGCTCTCAACTCTGTGGCCAAGAACGTGGGGTGTCGGAAAACCATTCTGAACTGCAGCGAGCACAATATTCCCTTTTACCAGAAATGCGGCTTCAACGTCTGTGGCACGGAGATGGAAACGGTCTTTCAGTGAGGAGCCAAGGCGGATCATGAAGGAGTTGTTCAAATTGTTGAGCAAACAAGGGCATGGTATAGTCTATGAATCATGCCTGCCTCGCTATTAGAGAAGAAAGAACGGACGAAGTATATAAGGTAGAAGAAAGAAAGCATGAAATGTATACATTGAGCAAGATTCTAATGCCCCTTCCATCTGTTGCCAGCCATGTGCAGATCTAGAAATCCAAGTCGCGCACTGTTCGTTCATAGCAGCTATGCTTCGCCGTTGTCGACCATATAATCCTTGGTCAACTATTTCATCGTCAATATTATAAGAAGAAGAGCATGTGAGCCATCTTTCCTTATGCGCACAAACATACGCCTACTGCCACAGACAAAGTTTGCCGCTGGCTGTGCCTCCAGCTACCCAATCCATGCTGGGATGGAAGTGAGCCACTGCTGGCACAGCAGAGATGCCCTCTCCACCCAGTTGAGCCAACTGACTCCCGTCCGAAGCATATACATCGACGAAGCGGTTCATGTTGCCGATTGTAAACCTCTGGATGCCGTCTTTGGGATTCTTCTGCCATTGGGGCTTCAGGATGGTAACCCATCGGCCTGTCTGATTGTTATGACGAATTGTATGCGCTGGCTCCATGGTTTTCGCATCAATGTTTTGGCCCGGTTTCCACTTGGAGGCTTCTGAAAAGTCATATATCTTGATCGTGTCGTCGTATGAAGATGTCGCGACATGTCCACCGGCACTCCAAGAAGCATGCGACACAGACAAGCGCGACTCGTGCTCCCCGAGTAGCGTCGGATGTTTCAGTTCCCCCTTGCCGCTCATCTTTCGGAGATCCCATACTTTCATGGTTCTATCCAGAGAAGCCGTCGCCAATAGATAAGGGTGTAATGGGTGCATCGAGAAGCCTCCAATCTTTTGCTCGGATAAAGACCACAGCTCCAAGCTATCGGGCGCCCTGGTGTCATAACGTCCCACTGAACCATCGAGTGTGGAGAAAAAGAGCAAGTTTGGCTCTGCTGCAGGAATCTCGAGCGCTGAGATAGGGAGGTCTTCGTGGGCATTCTCCGGCGCAAACACCTGCACAGACACGCCCTTTTCCAGGTCCAACTTTCGTATTGATGAATCGTACGAGGAGGAAAATACGGCGTTGGCATCGATGGGCGAAAAGACGAATGCAGTGATTGTCCTCGCGTGGACCTTAAAGGCAGAGATGACGGGATCGGGCAGATCCTCGTCATCATCTACTTCGGGAACCGTCTGAGACGCATCAAAGACGCCCATGGCGCCCTCTTTGTCGCCTGCAAACACAATGGGCTTGTCTTCAGTCGGGTGGAAACCAAGAGCATACACTCTCTGCGGCGTGATCTTGATGTCTGCAGGCGTTGGTTAGTAGCATGCAACTACGGGATGGTCCATTCACGATACTCACCATTGGGTATCCAAGGCTCATAGAGCTTAAGGCCATTCATTCGCAGTCGGAGGTCCTTCAGGTCATCATCTGTCGCTTCTTTGGGATCGTAATCGAATGTCCGAACTCCGGGCTGCGCACCACGGAAAATGCCTTGCAACCCGTCCATGCTGCCTACGTATTTTTTGCCATCTACGACAATATCGCCGAGTTTCATATCATCGGCAATCCGTAGTCTCTTGGCCTTAACCTGCTCGGCCTGGTGCTCGGCCTCTACTTCGAGTTTGCGCTTCAGAGCTTCGTCGTCAGCAGCCACACCGGCGAGACGGGAACTCATGCGCGTCCCTCGTCGTGGCTCTCGAACGACTGGTTCTGCCTTTACTCGTCTTCGTGGAGCCGACGGCTTCGACGCTGGTTTTTCTGGTATGATCTTCTTGGCAGTCACTGAGATCTCGGACAAGAGTGCCTTGTTTGCGGCCATGTTCTCCAGACGCCGCCTCTCGAAGGCACTGAGGCCGTCGCCCTCGTTCTTGGGAGCCATGTTGAGTGTGTCGACACAAAGCAGCTGATTGGAGAGGAGAGTAGAAAAAGTAGAATCGAAGAAGAGTCGAGCTGCGTGTGAAACTGGAGGTACCCAAAGACGAGAAGAAAGGCGGTTGCTGGTAGTATACCCAAGAGCAGCAAAAGGTGAGCGACGGGTGAGGCGAGTCGAGTCCGGAGCTGAATCTGGTGGGATCGCGTAGCACCGCGTCTCTGTTAATTGTTCTGGCGCGAAGTCACGCGCAGCCCTTTAGTGCTGGAAGAGACTTTGAGTGGGACCTGCCGGTACATAATCAAAAGGCGAGAACTGCCGACTATTAGCCGTGCAAAATACTAGCATACTGGAAGGTAATTACTGAATATCCAGCAGAGTCGCCTCCAAGAATCGAAACTGTTGCTGCTGAAAAGTTGGATTGTGAGACATCAGTCTTTCCTCCTGTCTTTGTTGCTGACAATGTCTCTCACCATGCTGCCGTTCTTGTATCAGACACAAACTCTTCGGCTGGCGGCCAGAGGTCCCTCGTTTGCGCTGAGCTTTGCCCGGCTGAGACACACTGCAAGACGGACCAAGAGGCCTGCAGACAATGCGATTCCCTTCCAGTGGGAGGCCGAGGACCGAGAGCTGGCCGGCAGCGACGCAGACCGGGTTTCAACCATCACGCCATCCGAAGCCCAGATCTTCAGGGGCATCTTCCATGAGATTGCCGAGGGCAAAATGCCCGCCTCAAAGCGACGAAGCCCGATGCGGCATCTGCAGGGCAGGTTCCAGGCTGGGAGCGATGCGCCTGCGAGCAGCAGCGACAAGGACAGCAGCCGGAGCTCGGCTCGCTCCTCTGCAGAAAAGGCCCGCATCTCCGAGTTCCGGGACAAGTTTCTCAGTCGGTATCCCAGGTCGCTGCAAAACGCCGCGCAGGTTGCCCTGGGTCTGCATGAAGTCAGGCCGCGGGACGCAGAGGCAGAGCAGGATGCTGCCCAGATGATGGAGCTGGAGGGTGACGATGAGGCGGCAAGGGTTGAGCGTGAGCTTCTTGAGCTTGAGCGAAGCAAAGAGTGCGAGAGGGTGGAAGCTTTAATGAAGGCATGCAAAACCGATGCAGAGCTGTGGAGCGTCATGGAAAGAGAAGTTTTCTCGCTGCCTGAAAAGCTGCATATTGCCCAGGCAAAGCAGTCAGGCACCAGTCCGCGTGGCCCAAAGGGCAGAAAGAAGGCAAAGGCGGAGGAAACCAATCAGTCTGCCCTTTCGGAGGTTGACGAGGATCAGGAGCAGGCGGCATCAGAAGTGGCTTCGCAGGATGAAGAGCGTGTCATGAACATCCACGGCCCGCTGTACTCGCGATTCCTCACCACGGCGCTCGACCTCTTCGACTCGGCGTTTGCTCGTCCCTCTCCATACATCTTCCAGATCCTTCCCCGAATCAAGGAACTCGGCTTGCCGTCGTTTGTCCTCGGCGTCTCGACGCCATTCTACGCCAAGCTGGCGGATATCTACTGGCGCCGCTTCGGAGATGCGAGCTCTGCGCTGGACATGCTGCACGAGATGAACTCGGCCGGCCTGTTTGCGAATGCAGAGGTCAACGGCCTCATCTCGCAGCTGCGCAATGAACTTCATGCATGCGCCTGGGGCGGCCAGGGGCCTTTTGTCATGGCCATGATGGAGTCCCCTCCGTATGACGGCGCGTTGATGCAGAGGCTCGAGGAGGTGGTTGAGATGATTGGGCAGTCGTCGCAGGACCGCCTGAAGGATCATTCTTTCTAAGCGATCTGCACGTGGGGATGAGAGACGGCTGTCTTGTGTTGCGGAATTGTCTTGTGTTGCTCTCCAGATTTATGCAGGTTCACAGGCACACACGTACACACACACACTTACACATATCTTCAACCTCGGAAGCTGTTGCCGAGGTATCAGATCACTTGTATCATTATTCCATGACCTCCCTACCTATCCGAGATCACGATCTACACCCACACGACTTTTCATATTCATTCAATCTTCTTGTACAAAGAAAATACGCATAGACATAGACAGGCCGGATGAATTGCTCCTTCTTCTATATGATCATCAGACACGAGCTCAGCAACTATTGCAAAGTTGCAGCGGTGGTACTACCTCGCCTATGCGATGGACGAGGCCATGCACATGTATGTTTCACTCGATTCTTCCCCGATTGCCAGGTGGGAAGCTATGATTGGGCCCGATACAACGAGGGGCGAAAAAAGCAACTTCTTTCAGGCCATTTTGCTTTCAGCTCAGCCAGATCATTGCCTGGATGTCAGCCTCGCACTGTGTGCATCGTCACCTTGCCTCTCGGCTTGCGTCCTCCTACTGCAGGCGATGCATGCAATCACACCCTCTCAGGCACGAGTTGCCAGGAAGCATTGCCTAGATCTTTCATTTTGGGCTATTTATTGCTATGTGTCCCGTGGTGGTGGTAAGATGCCGTCTTGGCCTCACCATACTGTTGCTCTTCGGCAGTGTTGATATGCTGCCTTTTATAAAGAGTTGAAGCAAGCCTCACAACTAGAAAAATCATTCCCCGCGGTATCACTGTCACAATGTTTCAGCAACTCCCGGTCTCTGTCAAGAGACCACGCCAACATCCTCCCACAATGGTCTCATCCCAGCGAGGAAGCCCTCCGTCATACCCAAGATTGCATCTGCTGAAAATGCCACTCGAGGTCCGCCTCAAGATCTTCCACGAGCTGTGGGAAGACCGAGACTTTGACCTGCTCATGGTCATCAAGGACTACGAAGACAGACACAGCAACAACAACCCCATCACCCTCGCATCCATCCACTTTATCCACTTCAACAGGCGCCCCAAAGTCCACTGGCACAACAAGAAGATTCCCTGGGACAGATACGCCGCGTGCCTCAGCAGCATTGAGCTCCTCTGGTTCAACCGGCGGCTACACGGAGGCACGCGCAGCAACCGCAACTACTTCACCGTCTTCAATCTGATGATATCCTGCAGACAGCTCTGGGAAGAAGGGAGCCTAGCCTACTGGCGCCAGAAGCGCCTCCAGATCGCCATCACGAAGGAGTTTGGCGAGATTCCCCGTGGAGACGAAGACATCTTTGCCATGGCTCAGTCTACAGACAGCGTCCTGTTTGGCGGGAGCATTGGAAAGAGTGTCAGGATCTTGACGCTGAGGTTTGACGACAAGGTGTTGAATTGCCGGGTCACGCGTTGCGATACTGTGCCCGGGGTGACGACCTGTGCTCAACACTCTGATGAGACGTTTATGCCGAAGCTGCAATGGGCTCATGATACAATCATGAAGGCTCTCGGGCTGTTCACAAGCGTGACGTGCCTGGAACTGCTCATCGAAAACGAGCGCGTCTACAAACTATACGACGGCATGGGCACGTTCGGCGAGATACTCAAGTACGTCAAAGGAGAGCGGCCGCTGATCAAGGTGGTTCGCATCAAGGGCGGCCCATGCGCAGAGCTGGTCAAGCAATGGAATCTCGAGCTCGACGCATCCGTTTCTGGGGTTGCCTGGTCGATGAACCCCTGTGTTCCGACTTGCAAGGACAAGAAGTATAGTGGTCATGCTGACAAGTTTGATGCGACGCCGCGGGAAGTCGATCAGCGGCCTGATTTTGCTTGAGTTTGTCTTTTTCGGAAGCGACGAGGTACTGTGTTGGCTTGTTAATGGGGGCCGACTTTGCCCGTGAGGAGGGGAGAGTCTGTCCAGACGGTCTTGAACTGGACGTGGATGATGACGGCCAACATGAAGATAGGATTCGATGGTGCTAAGTCTGCAGCCCGCTGGACTTGGCCTGATCACGCTGATGGTTTGGAGACTTTCTATACATGTAAGTTCTATCACAGCCTGAAGATTCAACCAAGGAGATGTCATACATAGAATGTTTGTTAAAGAGAATCGTTGAATTATGAACCACTACACTCGACGATTTTGTCCTTTGGCCATGCCCACTCTGTTCGTTTTGAGATGACTTGTCCATTTTCTGCCGACCGCTCGAGCAGTACATGGACTCGGTAACCACGTTATTTTCACATCGACACGGTTATATTGGGATGAATCAAAGTCGGAATCCATGATTACGGTGCTTCGTTTTTCTTTCATTCCTAGACGCTGCATAGTAAAGGTAGCTCTTCGTACAATTGCTTCAGGGCTGTAATTCGTGACGCACCGACGCCACACCAAAGACGAGGGTCCGAGTCCTCGAGAGGCCATGTTCTCATGTCAGATCCCATTGTGAATCGTCCAACCTTGAAAGTCAACAATTCCAAAAACAAGAAGCCAGAATTGCGGCTCTCAGCTTCACACATGAGGAAATGCCCGGTTCATACCAAGCTGTCCCACTGTTGCATCCAAGCATTGACCGGCAGCCCGTGTTGAGCATGGGTCACTAAGGCTATCTAGTAGGTAATATCCCTGTAGAATCATGGAGTTAATTGCTTTGCCGGACGATTTCACAGCTCTCCCATTGGAAGAAGCTGTAAGTGGTAGTCACTCACCAGGACTGAGCATATCACTCCTTGCTTGACCCCGTAAAGCTTCCACAATCGTTGCGAGCCAAGTTCGCTTCATAAGATTTTCTACACAACCCTTCAAAGCTCCGACAACTGCCTCACTACATCTGTCAGGTCCACCTCGCCCATCGTCCATGGTGCTCTCAATGCCGGATGCCTGCCGGTTTGCCCAACTCCACCACTCCTTGCCGTAAGCGGTTTCATCACGCACCCCAGACCTCAGCCTCACCACGACTAGCCGAAGAAAAATAAGAAGGAGGAAAGGAAGAAGAGAAAGTAACAAGGATTGTAGAACACTCCGGCAGAGCTAAGCAGCATCTTGCCGGGATATCAGAAGCTCTTGAGTACAGCATGCATCTCAGCTCTCAAGCCACAGCTGCCGCCCAGACCACCTTATTATTCACTGCGGAACTGCCTACTGGGCGATTGCTCTCCTGTTCCAATATCTCAGCCAATAGAACATGGGTTCCATGCAGATATGTGGCTCTATCTCGCGGCCCGGCTTCGATTTAGCGTCGAGGCCAAACGTGGACTTCTCATTGCTAGCCAAAAACTACTCCAAAGACCCTGATCAACAACGAAAGCCGGCCGACTAAAAATATCAACCTTGGCTGAGAGAGCCACGCGCGAGATGCTTCTGTGACAGGCCAGTCCACGCCGTGAGCCGTCACCCTTGATGGCTTCACTGCAATTTCCTCATGCAAGCCTCCATTCCTTCTAGAGCCAAGCCGTGGCGCCAAATGTGAGTCAAGCCGGAAAAAGCAAACATCGGGCTACTCGTATGAGGTACTCTCACGGTTCGCCCAGGCAAACATCCTCGCAAATGCCGTCAGTACGTACTTACAGGCAGGGTTTCCAAGGCAGCTCGTGACTCTGCGCGAGCTTCCTTTTGGCTGCCCGGCTCAAGCGAGAACCTGTGACTTGTCGAATGGCGGAAATACGACTGCCGGGGGGACACGCTATGTTCGGCATCGGCCTATGATTGTGTAGTATGCGAGTCGGGTTGATGTATCGTCTCCATCAAACTTATCGTACCAGCGACACGATAATCTTTCCTGCAAGATGGCCCCTGTTTCTTCTCATACTGGCTCTATAAGCTTAAATATGCTATTAGCTCATTGTCCTTGTTGGATGATGAAGACGAAGCTTGCTCAAGTCCATCGCCCTTTTCGACCTCTCCATGCCTGCAGCTTCACACTTACGGCCCTTAACACCCAAGAACCTAGCCCGGGCAGAGCTATCTATTCCAAGCCCAACTGCCATGAGACGCCGCTGAGATTAGCCTACAGGGCTGAACAGAAGTCGTCTCCACGCTAGAATGCAAATGTGTCTGAGCGTAGGTGCTGTCTACTCTAGGCGGACCGTGAAGAGAGCCAATGGCCATGATCGAGGTCTCGCGCGTGGGCCTGGACAAGCTTTGTCCTGTCAGAAGCAAGCTCAAACAGCCACTGGCAGCCTCCGTCGGCGGGATTGAACGGCAATCTTACGGCTGAGTTTTACACCCCTTAGATTAGCATCACGGGTCGTCGGTCTGCCTTGTGGGGGACTGCTCATCTTGTGGCTGCATGTCAAGTGTCGAATGATGGAATAAAAGGAATGAGTGGCTTTTGAGCTAGTACCTCTGCTTTGAATCGTTTGTCTGTATATATTTCGCTAATAAAAGCTATCAGTCGCTTTGTTCTTCGGTTCTCTTGCTTTCACCCATCTTCACGCTCTCTAATCTTGCTGCCTTCTCTTGTCCACTCTTTTAGTCACTCATTCACATCTTCTAAACCTCCTCTTTTGATACCCAAACCCCATAACCACCGCAATGTCTGCTTCTGCTGAGACCCCCGTTGCCCCCGTTGCGGCCCCTGCTCCGGCCTCCGTCCAATCCTCCACGACGCCTCCCAAAGGCGGCCCTATCGACGACAACGATGTGAACCACTGGAAGGATCGCTTCAACGATGTGCTGTCTCGACCTGGCGAGCACGTCAACTCGAAATCTCCTGCCGGCGCTCTCAGCTGGGCTACCCACCTGTTTGACTGCTTCAACCCCATTGATCTTTGCCTCATCACTTGCTGTGTTCCTTGCGTCACCTTTGGCAAGACGCACCACCGCGTCAACAAGAATGGCAACATGGACGGCTATGAGCCTGTCAACACCTCCGTATGTCCTTATACTGTTACACGCTTCCACGCGAGAATAGCGCCCTGACATGCTTCTGCCTCTACAGTGCCTCCTCTTCTGCGGCTCTACCTGCTGCGCTCTTCACTGGATCCCCGCCAGCATGCAGCGTGCCGCGATTCGCGAAAAGTACAATCTCGAGGGCAACTGCATCGAGGACATTCTCAAGTCCTTGTGCTGCGCGTGCTGCAACCTGATTCAGCTCGAGAAGGAGACGGAGCATCGTGAGGCTCTCCTGAGGAACGGCAGCTCGGAGCAGTACAAGTCCAACAACAGCATGGTGTATCCTGGAGCCAACTAGACCTGAATTCTCCTTTGCCTATGATTCTATCAAGTTTATACGGAAAAGTAATGATGTGGATTATGGCTCAAGACTGTAATCTATGGGGGACGGACTGGCGTGTTCATGGGCTGATGGGAATGTGCCGATGGATACCCAAGCTTCTGGCTCAGTTATTCTTTAATTTTGCCTTTGTTATCTGCAATTCCATGGAACAAGATGCTTTCAACTCGTTTATCGTGCCAGGGCTTTCATTTGACCTTGACTTCCTGGAACTGCTCTTCTAAGTTCGTGTATCTTTGTGCTCCCCGCCGGCTTACGTGCAAGCTCCCCGTCGACATCAGCTTGATGTCATTTAGTGACCTCCGACTACCTCCGACTTATTGGCATTTGGCCATTTGTGATCATGGATAGTGTTAGCCATTGCTTATTTATGTTTTCTCAACTGTGATTTACAGAAAAATAAACTCCATGATACATGTACAAGAGTCGCGGCGTTCCTCGAGATGGCACAAACAGACGGTCTTGCGTTCAATATCGGGGCCTTCACATCAACCCTGTTCCTGCTCGAGTTCGGTGCTGACAAGTTCATCACTCATACCGCCGCCGTCGCAAGCCGCATCGGCGTGTCCGAGTTGATCATCAGCCTCCTCACAGCAGGCGCAGAATGGGAAGAGGTAACAACTGGCCTACATCGACATCTCTTTGTCCGCAATGAAAACTAATGTCACCAGCTTGCTGTCGTCGTCGCGTCTCTGGCGCAGGGCCGCTCTTCATTGGCAATGGGGAACGTGATTGGCGCTGCCATTTCCAACATCCTCGGCGCTTTCTCTCTCGGTCTGTTATGTTGTGAGAAGGGGAAAACGGTCGAGTTCGACAGGAGCTCTCAGATCTATTCTCTCTTGACTCTCGCCTTGACAACGGCAGTGGCTCCGGCCATCTACTTCTCGACGAGAATCACCTGGTTAGTTTGCGGGCCACTTTTGGTGGTGGCGTTCGGCTTCTATTTCGTACTCATCGCTGTGGCCATTGGTCGAGGGGTCCTCACGGCGCCAGAGGACTCGGACGCCAGCGATGAAGATGGAGATGAAGATGAAGCTGAAGATGACGACGCGAGATCTATGGCGAGTTCGAGAGGCTTGCTCGCCAACAGCCCTGGCACATCCGTGAGGGCACACCCACACCGCGATCGTCACCGGCTCGCGTATCATAGCCTTTATCTGGCTTTTGGGTTCCTTGCCATATGCCTTGCCGGCTACGTAATTTCCCAAGCAGCAATGAACATCATTGACCGGCTCGGCATCTCCGACATTCTCTTCAGCGTCATCATCATTGCCATCGCCACAACGCTGCCTGAGAAGTTCGTCGCTGTTGTGAGTGGCTACCGCGGCCACCCAGGGATTCTTGTAGCCAACTGTGCCGGGAGCAACATTTTTCTTTTATCACTTTGTTGCGGCATCATCATGATCGACACAAAGGGTGACTTGGATGGAGGCAATGTGGCCGTCTCGGAGTTGGTTGTCTTGTGGGCTTCAACGGCTGCGTTTACAGCGACGGTTTGGTTCGGGGCGGGCTTCCCCCGCTGGATCGGAGGATTCATGATTGTTTGCTACATTGCATTTATCGTGTTGGAGTTTACCGTCATTCACGGAGTGGCAGATTAGCATGTGGAGGATCGAGAGGAGCTCATCATGCAATGCTCGATATATCCGAGGTATGGCAACCTGTATGTGCAATGACCATTTGATAGGTACCGCTTCTCGTGGCTCAGCCCGATATAGTCAATGCGGTTCTGACCATGCTACAATTTTTGCATAGCGGAACTCTTCCTTATTATTTGTACGTAAGGATCAGAGCACCATTTACTCTGAACGACATCAATGTGATACGAAAGGATATCCCGAATTTAAACCTTACAGGGAAGCTGGTTGTTTGCGGCTGAGATCTAGTGCTCCAATCGCCATGCTTGGTTGACAGCGCATATCCCTGGCCTCGCTGTTACTTGATCATCTTGACCAGCCTATACCTTACATGTATACTATGCGACTCGTAAAGTCAACCAGTGAAAGCCTTCGACGGCTATAGCCCTCGTATCGAAGACGTAGGATGCTAGCCGAGACGTCCGTACTGACTTGATGCACGGCCTGACATGGTATGATCTCGGTTCCGCGGCAGTTAAGACACTCAGCTGTGTTTACGACTCGCGAGTTACGTGGGGGATCGTCCATGCGTTAATGCGACCTGGAATCACAAGCCAGCCCAAGTTATAGTGAAGCTATTTCGCTGTTAAAAGCCCTGAGCGGGGGTGCAGCATGCTACATGTAACATGGGTGGACACAACTTGGTGAGACGTATAGGCCAAGGCTGAAGAGTGACTGCTTTCGAGGGTTTGTTTCAACTGTGGCCATATGCTTGAGTCTATTCGCCAAGATATATAGTATATAGTCTAATTGGTATAAGCTTCAATGGCTGCAGCGAACAACCAAGGACAAGATTCAATTACCCGGGGCATGGGAGTCTACATTCACAGAGGTTGACGAAGACTAAGCACCATTAAAGTTCCTATTATTCTGACAGAATCCTAAGTGTTTCTTTAGATGCTGTAAACACGACAATTGGCATTTTGAGTTCCTCACCGCAGCCCGCAATACCCAAATCGGGCCCATTTCGCGGTGTAGGAGTTGCACCCTGGTAGTCATCACAAGCTCGCCCTAGGCCAATGCAACATAACTTGTGTCAGCTGTCAAGCCACGAACGCGAATCCTCTTGACAGCAGGCAGAGAAACGTGAGGACGCATCAATTCCGCTTTTTACGAGGCACTTGATACATCAGTCGGGCCGAATTACGAGCGGCAACAAACGGCATCCTAAGTTGCTGAAAAGGGAAGATGAAACAGACTCGAGTCGAATCAAGATGCTTGTTCTCGGGCTGTCGCTGGTTGTCCTGGGCGGAAGAGCACGGCATCCAGCCTCTAGCGTCTGACGAGTGCCGAAAGACAGCTACAGACCTGAATTAGACCATATTCAGCACGGAGGACTACGTTCCGTTTGCCTGATTGAAGATGGACGGAGGATCGCTGACCGAGCTGGCAAGCGCTCTTACGTGGGGATGGACGACAGCCTCAACTTGTACTTTGTATCGAATGGAAGCGACATGCGTCGTCGAGCCTAGTCGTGTTGAATCTGTATGTGTGAAATAAAAGGCTTGTTATTGACAGAGAATACTATGATTGATAGAGAAAACTATAAGAAGATGGTCTTGTCGCTCCTTTCAGGATGTTTGGAATCTTCAGGACACTCAAAAACAGTCCAGAGCCTCATTCCTCGTCGAAACACTCTCTGCGATAACAGGCCATCATGAAGTTGAACATTGCGGCCTACGCTCTGGCCGCCTCTGGTCTCGCGACCGCTTCAAACTCCTTTGCGGGATCTAGCCTGTATTTTCTCCCAGGTCTTTCGGCGACCGACCAAGCCTACTACATCGACACTCTCGCCAGCTACGGAGCCAAGGTTGTTCGCATCTGGATCAACGAGATCGACACCGGCTGCGTCAAAGGCAGCAATGTCGTCACAAGCGTTCAGGATTTCGAAACAACCATCGGCCAGTACAATTGGGACTCTCTGGCCAAGGTCGACAAAGTTCTCGCGCAACTGGCGGCAAAGGGGATGAAGGCCATCATCTCTCCCCACGACGGGAACGTGATCCACGATCAAAACACCAAGGGTAACGGCTGCGATGTTTATTGCAATACGTACTGGACCTCATTCTATGACAACTCCGATGCTCAGAAGCAATACGACGCCCGTATCAAGGCCATCTTGACGTACACGTCTCCCAGCAGCGGCTTGCAGTGGGGGAACTGGTCCGAGGCTATCCTGGCGTTTGATCTCCAGAACGAGCCTTTCCAGTTTACCTCTGATGGGGCCAACGGTGATCCTTCGAACTGGCTCTGCAACCGAGCAACGAACTTTAAGAAGTACATCACGGACTCTAACATCAAGGTTGCCACCGGAGGTATTGGAGGTGATCAGTCACACGGTTACAACTTGCTCAAGAAGGCCTTGACTTGCTCGGACATTGATATCATGAGCATCCATGCCTATGTTGGCCAAGCGAATACCTGGGGTGCTCTTTTGCCAGGCTTTGAGTCTACTGCTGCGTCCAACAACAAGCTGCTCCACGTCGAAGAATGGGGGGTTCAGACTGACTATGCCTCTGACTTCAACGATCAAGCTGCCTCTCTCAATGCGCAAGGAATTCCATGGGTGTGTACAATTCCACTACTAGAACGCCAATCTTACATATTCTTTCATATTGTACCCCTATCTAACAACCAACTGGGAAGACATACTGGCAAATGATCCCGGGATCAGACGGTACCCAGTCCTGCAGCAGTGGCTGCTGCGAATACTACGACGGCTTCGAGGTCGGCTTCAACAGCGGCAAGGGAAACCTACAATATGCCATTTCCCAAGCAAACAGTGAGACGACTAAACAGGACTGGAGCTTCGTTGGCGCGCCCCCGAATGGAGGAGGTTCTAACCCACCTCCTCCTCCTCCGCCTCCGACCAACGATTACCCCTGTGACAGCTGTACCTGGGGGTAAGTTTTCCATGCATCATTTTGCGTCATGTTTGTTGTCCGTGTGAGAAGAACAAAAACTGACAATGGGGTTTTCTTGTAGCTGTGAGGGCTGGAGCTGTAGCAGTTCGTCTCCTTGCCAGTCGGCTTACTCTTGCGTGGGAGGATACTGCAAGGACTGCACCTGGGGGTGTGGTGGTTGGGACTGCAGCGCATCCCAGCCGTGTAATGCGGATTACACGTGTGTTGACGGCGTCTGCCACCACGCTGGGCCAGCAACTGGGAAGTGTTAGAAGTACTGGGTGACCGTTGGTTTCCTGGTGGACTTGATGATGCTGTTCTCTGTATGGCCTAAGTTTACCTTTGGCAACCTAACCAGTTCGTATGAGGGGAGAGGACTTGTTCTAGTACCTTATGTCAAAGTGATCTGGTAGAAATTCACCAAAAATGATCTTAATGGTGGAACTTTCAAACTGTGTCATTCTGAATCCTGTATACCTGATGAGTCATACTCTAGTATCAATACGAAATGGCACCCTTTATTGTCAACAGCTCGTCTTCTTTAGCATGTGTGCAGCTCAGAGACGAACATAATATTCAAGGACATCGATGACAATAGGAAAGCCTACTCACCATGATGAGAAACAACGTTATAAACAGATTGAATGCCTGTTCCAACCAGGAGCTCGATGGATATTTCCGCCGTTATTGCTGGTCCCAGCTTAGGGGAAAGGCACTTATACCCCATGGTTTAGAGGAGGACGTTTCTAACAAAGACCTCTACATACTGGTCTACTTGGGCCAGACACGAAGTTTTGGATATATTAATTTTAGCTTGCAAACTGAGAAAGACGCATGTTGAGGCCTGATTAGTAGAAATACTAATACATCAGTTTATTACAGACGTTCCTTACGGCTTCTCGACATTTAACAATCGAGTTCCCAGCGACGTGGTGGGCGCCGACAAAACGGCTGCGTAAGGAATATAAAGAGTATATGCGCCTCGAAAGTCAACTTCAAGCCCTTATAGCTCAGTGGTAGAGCGTTGCACTTGTAATGCAAAGGTCCATAGTTCAATCCTGTGTGGGGGCACGAGACTATAAGTTTCAACTTTTTGCTTTTTTTTGACTGTAAATTTTGTCCTCAAATATCTTATTCCGCTGACCTCACTCAGTACTTATCGTCATTCCATTTCACATCATTTCCTGTTCTTGGTTTCTTTTTGAGGCACTACCTGATGATATTGCAGCCACCACGCCCACCAGAGCACAGACGTTCGACTCGAGCAATGGAGGGGCGATGCCAATAATGCCGGGGAGAAGAATCGGAAATCGTGTCAAGTAGTATCCGGCAGCCATTGCGTCTGACGTGCTGTGAGACTGCTGGAAATCCTTCCATCTCTGCTTATCTACTTTGACGAAATTCGAGGGAAAGGCGCCTTACCCGATATTTTGAGGGTTTTGCTGCACAGTTGGTGGAGTACAAGAACTTCCAACTGACTAAGCGTAATCAATGAGACTTTATAAGCCGCAAATTGTGGCGATTTCCCAAGAGGGTTACGCTAGCGCGATTCCCCATAAAAGTGCCCTTGTAGCTCAGGGGTAGAGCGTTGCACTTGTAATGCAAAGGTCCATAGTTCAAATCTGTGCGGGGGCATTTCTTTTTGTCTTTCTGGTAAACATCGTGTAAGAAACCCTTGAGCATCACGATCGTGATATCCAGACTTTTCAATCCTCATGTACGTGCATCTTTTTGTCTTCTGATCTAATCGTCGCTGCTAACACACTAATCATGCTAGAAAAGAAATCGTTGTCCATAATCACTCCGGAATGACATGTTCTGTGGCATCACCACTCATGGCTGCATCACCTGGATGAGCACTGGCTGCCAGATGCCAGTCACCCGTCAGTCAACCAGTCTGGGTAGAACCAAAGCCGTGAAGCCGCAGCCTCGCATCTCACCGCTTTTGAGCTCCCTCTGCTCCTCTCCGAGGTGAAGCACGATGCTTCCTCTACCTCTTCCCCCCTCACGCAAACCACGGGGTCATCCACCAGAAACCGCAACATCACCATCACCACAACGCTGCAGCCATAACCCCCCAAAAGAACATGGAGATGGTCTCCCTGCGCCCGCAGGACATCAACGAGCTCATCAACGACGTCATGTCCAGAACGTACCGCGACCTCCGCCGGCGCGCGCCCTCCATCGCCGACGCGAACCGCATCCAGGAAATCACCTCGTCCACGCCGCAGCGCACCGTCGTCAAGCGCTCGGCCTCGCCGCCCATCTCCATCGCCTCGACGCCTCCCCGGCGGGCGCCGCGCAGGCTCAAGACGGAGCGCGACAGGCTGTTTGACGCCATCGAGGCCGGCGACGACTACCCGCTCGAGGCGGTGCCCATCAGGAGCGCGGACGACTTGAACGAGGCGCAGCTGAAGAAGTGCTATGAGATTCTGCACGCGTGCGGCAGCGCGACGGATCCGAACGCCAGCTTGACCAAGACGAGGCAGAGCATTGACGGGTTCTTGGACGCCGTGTTTAACGACTGGTCGAGTCGCAAGGCTGGGTCATTGCTGCGCTCGGAGCTGGATTTCTTGGTGGAGGCGGATGTTGTCGCAGGACGAGTGTGCGGTGGGTGTCTTCCTCCATTTACCTGGACTCACTCACTATTGAATTGCTATCAATTGGTCATCATGCTAATGAGGAAACGACTACAGGAAAACCTCAAGAACACGCAGACATCGCCGACTGCGACGCCGGCTCTCTCTGCGCAGCGACAGTCTCTGCCGTGGCCACCTACTGCAGCAACCCACCCATGTTCAAGCTCGAGTTCTCCATCGTCGACGAACTCTCCGGCCAGCCCGAGGCCTTCTGCCCCATCTCGCGCCGAGACGTCCGCTGGGCGGCCGGCGACTGGATCGGGGAGCTGCGCAAGGGCCTGCAAGCCAAGGTCGTGGCCAAGATCCACAAGCACAACAAGCACCTGGCGATCTGGCAGGCGCGCAAGCTCATTGGCGAGTGGGCCAAGGGGAGCTTGTCGATGGGGGAGGAGACGAAGAAGATGGGCTTCCTGGAGCGCTCGGAGGCGGACGTGGCGGTTCTTGGGCTTGGGGGGATGATGGGGGGCAAGTAGGTACCTTGTCTGAGGCGTTTGGGCATGTTTCATCGGCAGTTTCTTTTGTTTTCGGCGTTGGCATTACCATTGATTTGGAGGATATGGGATACTACAGGGCTACGATATGCGATCTATATGGGATAGGATTTATGAATCGCGTTGGGACGAGTGCCGTCATAGGATTAGGGTTTTGTTGGGACGACCGGACGAGCAAGCACGTAAATTATCGCATAGCTTGAGCGGAACGATTGATACTCACACTTCACACTTCTCTATCTCAGTGTTTCTACTTGCTGTCCCTCAAAGCATTGCTCAACCATCATACAATCATCATCCCCAACCCTCTCAAGAGACGCCCGTCAAGCAAACAGCCACACGCAATCATTAGTCATTCCTCTTCAACCAAGGCTCACACGCCTCGAGCAGCCTCTCATGCACCTCTCCCGCCCCCGTCCTCTCCAGCAACTCCCGAAACACCCCCTCATCAACACGCTTCACAAACACCAATCCTCCCACCCACACGAAATCCGCATAACTTACCTCCCTGCCCAGGAAGAACGGGCCTCCCTCAGCCTCCTTCAAAAGCTCCGTCAACTCGCTCAACGCCGGCCGAGCCGCGGCCCAGGCCTTTTCGCCGCCAAACTGGCGCTCGTACTCGTCGAGCGGCATGCCGAGCTCGCGGACATACTGGCCGACCCAGTAGTCGTAGCTCTTGTCGGGGAGGATGACCTGCGAGATCTTGTGCATGAGGAGGGGGTAGAGGGGCCTGATGGCTTCCTGTGTGAGATGCTCGATCTTGGGGAGGATCGGGGCTTCGAGGTGGATGGGGGGAAATGGGTAGCCCTGTTCGATGGCGGCTGCGATTTTGTGCGAGTCCATCATGTACGTTCCGTCTGGGAAGAGGATGGCGGGGATGGAGTATGCTCTGCCTGTTTCGTTGGGTGGGAGGCTGGTGATGGGAGTTTGTGTTAGTTGGGTTTCTGGTTGGTGATGCTTGAGTGGTTCATACTGCGGCCTGAGGCGTGGTGCGATTTCCGGGTAGTTGAGCTTGTTGTGCTGTTAGCCGTGGTTGTTGAAGGGTGCATCCATGGATGTCTGATGGTGATGTACCCATTCTGTCTTGTAGTCGAGGCCCTTGTAGGTCAAGAGCAAGCGTGCTATGGCTGCGTTGGCCCTGAGTTCAGAGGAGGAGGAGATTACATGTGAGACTCTGTATAGAAACACATGTGTGCATCAACTTGTCTCGCCAGGGACAACTCACTCTTCCACGGATTCAGAGACCATGAGGCGTTGGGCCCCTTGCTGGGCAAGTCGAACAGAGTAATTTGCTGAGAGGCCATGGCTGCTGATTCTACCGCGACAAACAATATCCCGATATCAACAACGGAAAAAAAAAGGCATACAACTCATGCCATCTTATAAGATTTCGAGATGTTGTTCAGCTTTTCCTATGATCTGCGCACATTACAAATCTCCCAATTTGAAGCTGCAAAAGCGGGCAGAACCCCGCCCCCCCAGCAAAGGGCGCAAGTAGATTGATTGTAGTAGCATTCATTGCCTTCCTTCGGCATTACTTCAAGTTCGCACAAAAGCTCGCGGGCCTGGGGAATTGGATTAGGCTTCCTTGGCCGGAATCTGTGCGTCATGTGCGGAAAGGGGGTTTTGATCCTTGTTCCTCCACGACGGATGTTTCCGTTCTTTTGATTGTTTTTAGATGGATAGATTGTGCTTTGAAGTGTATTCAGTTTGTGCTGCCTTCATGCCGCCTACTTCTTTCAGGAAGGTTTCCGCGAAAGTTGTCGGAGTCTTCCGCACGTCGAGCTGGATGCTTCCGATCGGCACTTGCATCACTGGCCTCAGGTACGGATTCGAGCCAGAGCAGCATCCAGGATGCCAATGATGCTACAATACACACCTGAATCACCTCATAACACACTTTGTACCTAATGGCCCGCCTCGTCTTCTTTTCATGTCCCTCAATGCTGCGGTTCTAATCTGAGTCATGGTGTGCATGCCAAGAAACACCTCCTGTGGAGAGAACAAGGATGGCCAGCTGGAGAATTGGGCGGCGTTTTCTTTGGCGGCTTGTCCTTTCTCCCCCGCAGATTTTCAAGATACTAAGTCTCCTGGATCCGCATGGGGGTAGCGAGGGCCGACGGTATTACGCGGCTTCCGGGAACAGGGGGGGCGCTCAAAGTTGGGGAAAAACGAGTTGGGGTGAGGAGAGCTGAGGTCAGAAGAGTTGGCGATGAGAATGAAGCAACGGTGTTGGCGATCATGGAAGAGATCCAGTAGAGAGATGGAAGAGTTACTGAAGGGACTGCGTATACAATCTCTGGAGACGACTGAAGTTGGCGGGCACAATAAGTTGGCATTGTGTATTTGTTCAAGAAACATGGGGGGAGTGGTTAAACTAGGGCCGTCATAATTTGAGGCTATTGAAGAGTCGAGGCGAGCAACAGCTACTTCATAATACATCAAGCAGCCAGATTCATACAAGGTTCAATCAATTTCTACACATTTAGCATCGTCTCATCAAAACTCTTAACTGACTATATAAAACGAAAAACATGCTCCATGAAACCTCTTTTTACAAAAAAACACTTACTTGTATGCACACGAAACCCCCTCTATTCCCAGTCATAAACAAGACTTCCCGCGCCAAGAAATCGACTCCGTTTTACCCGTCCATCCACCCCCGTCCGGGGCATCGACGATTGGGCGTCTGACTGGAGTGACGCGTAAGAAACTCCACCAGAGACGAAACCCCCTGGCCTGCTTCGTATCGATAGGCTATTCAAGCCATTGAAGTTGTAGGCGATAGGCTGATGGGTTTATTTTTTCGGACTTTAAAAACGCCATTCTCCCCCCTCCCGTGTCTCTCGGTTTTGCAGAGAGGAAATCAGATTACTTATAAGACGATAACGCCGCGTTGGATGTGAGCCGTCTCGTTGACCAGCGGCATGCACCCAAACATCTTGGTCAGGTCGTTGAGGCACTTGCTTCGCGCCTCGAGGTGGCCGGGCTTCTTGCTAATGCCCTGCGCCGGCTCATAGTTGACGTACTTTTCGCGGCCGCTGACCAGCAGAGGCCCGGTGCCGGTGAGGTACGACGCGACATAGTTGAGGGCAATATCCTCGCAGTTGAAGTGGTCGTCGACATACTTGCGCACCTGCTTCATGAGCTCGTTGTCCGACGAGTAGAAGTCGAGGAAGGACATGTGGGCGAAGCACAGGTTCGTTATGATCATCGAATAGACGTCCTGGCCCTTATCCTTGGAGCAGAAGCCGTACTTCCAGACACCGTCCTTGTCCTCATTGGCACAGCGAGGGAGAGCGCCCGTCAAGCGGAACCGACCAAACTTGCGCCAGGACTGGAAAGCAAATTCGAGGTCCTGCGGCTTATAGTACACGTCGTCGTCCGAAAGCAGCACGGCCCTGGTCTTGAAGTCCGGATCCGGCAGAAGCTTCATGTTGAGGCTGTTGCGCTCCGACACGCGGTAGCGCACGGGGACGCCCGTCTCGGACTTGAAGTTACCGGGGGGTGCCTCGTCGAGGTTGTTCCACACGATGACGATCTCATGCAGCGAGGGGATCTTTTCGGACAGCAGGACGCGCATCGTCTCTTCGAGCTCCTTAGGTCGCTTGTACGTCTGCATCGCGATTCTACAAGAGAAGGAAGGCAAAAGGCGTTAGCAATTGGTCAAACGTAAACTCCGTGCCCGGTCCCCAATGACACATCGATGTCGCATTGGGATTGGGACTCTTTGATCCCGGCACCAACTTACGTGAACTTGTCATCCATCAGCTTGTCGTATCGCTTCCGCGCCTCCTTCCACTGCTTGAGGGGCTCGGTGATGTTGTTGACATCGCAATGCTCGTAGTGGATCGGCTCGGAAGGGCCCGAAAAGCCAGGGATGTTGGGCAGCTTGGACATGTCGATGTCAGGCAGCTTGACGTCCGGAAGCTTGAGATCGTTGAGGTGCGCGGGCGGGCCGACTCGGATCAGCACGACGATGATGCTGGCCAGGACGAGGGCGGCCGCCAGCAGCGAGACGACCCGGCGGGCGAGCAGCGCCCTCAGGCCGGCGAAGTACTTGGCCACCATGGCAGAAGACGCGGTCTTTTAGGGACACGAGGGTGAACGAGCGACGAGAATTGAAGATGAGGCGGGAGCTGCCACGTCGAGGAGGGCGGATCACGGGGAGTTCTGGTGTGATGCGTTGCAGACCGAAAGGGGGCGCGGTGTTCGGGAGAATCACGTGACGGGCGCAGTGACGTTTATCGACCCCTGGATTTGACTTTTTTTCTGGCTCTTGCGAGGCCTCTTTTAGACGCATGCAGAAGGCTGTCGAAGGCTCAACCGCTGTCCGCCTCGTATTATTTCGTATCTATCTCTACATGAGCCCGATGCTGGCCTACGAAACCTAACCCATGGAAAACAGAGGGAAGAGAATCATCTAGCGAATCACTGCACTAGTCCTAAGAGTATCGAGTAAATGCACACTCTTCCCTCTCTCCATTACGGCATGCAACTCCTCGGTGACTTTGCTCGCCTCTCATTGGCGCCCTTGTCAGGGCTGCAGATGCGCGACTCTTGTCTTGCCATTGCCAAGCATTCGATCGGCGCCGATGCTCAGCCAATGGCAGTGAGGCGTCGTTTCAAGCTGGGGAGGCCTTGGGCAGTCTGCGGATAAACGCCTACAAGGAAGACCCGGCGAATGTTCCGTGATGCTGACTTTACCATGGGCAGCCTCTTATTCTTTACTAATATGAACCATGAGCAGCAGGAGACATAGTATCTGGTAGAAGGCAGATTCAATGCCGGTGTTCGTTCTGTAAACGAAGAAAAGTCTAATCCATCACAGCCATTCCCAATCACACGGTTCGAGCGCTACTGGTCGGAAGATGAGATCTACTAATTCCGAGTGGCTTCGCCTTGGCCCGACAAAGCAAGAATAGCCACGTCTAGCCCAGCGGCTCGTCACAGTCAGACTCCCCATCACAATCACCAGATATTCTCACCTTTATCCATCGTCTAGACGCCACCCATGGACTAAGGTGCTTATACGGTGGAAACGAGAGCGCAGTCGGTGGGGGCAAAGTGTTGAGACAGAGGAAGAGAGGAGAAATCTCTATCATTGACATAGCCTCGGCTATGAGCGATAGGTTCTTGCAGCATGTTCTCATCCGAGCTTGGTCTTCCATATATGTGTTGTTAGGTGCATGCCTTGACGATGCAGCAATCGACTCCATCTTCAATGACACCTACAAAAGAGCAAAGGCACATGCTCGAATGCGGCGTATGCGCCGAGGTTGCATGCGAGCCGTCTCCCTTCATTACAGGTACCACAGAAAACAGTATCGCTCGGCGCAACTCATGCAGCCACAATGCTGGGGAGATGCCATTCTTCCTGGTGCTTATCCCGAGATGAACGAGCCGAATCACGGCCGGCAAAGAAGCGGAAGAGGTATTTCGTATCGTATACTGTATGCGGCTTCCATCTGCAAACCCCGAAAAAAGTCCCGCGTAAGATCTAGAGATGAACGCCTGCGAGGCCGTGGCCCGCCTGATGTGTCGGGGACAAGGGCCCCCATCCGGGCTGTCTCGCTGAAGCTTCCCGGCACCGCGCAGGGCTTCCACAAACCCACCCGCCACATGGGAAGCAAGGAAAATCTCACATGTGCTGGCTTGAACATTGCTTCTTCGGCTCATAGCCATGACGAACGCGAGCTAGATCTTTACTAGGTATGCAGGAGCATGTGCTTAGTGCACTCGAGGACATCGGCTGTAAACAGAGCAAGAGGGTCGGACAAATTCATGGATGAGCCTCAGGCGGCTCGAGGTAGATTGAGGTGCTGATGGGCTCGTAGCGTTGGCGCTCTGCAGGCGAGTCAATTGGGACCTTTGAAGCAAGAGGTTGGGTGCATAGCCAAGAGGGTAACAATCTCGGCAACGTCCCGTCGAAGTTTCATGGGTAGCAAAAATCTGCCCCAAGACGCGAGGAATGCGAGCAGATGCTCGTCCATCGGCGTCCGCCTCATACTGTGAGGCCAAAAACTAGCACTGGATAAATTCGAAATGCTCGCTAGTCCAATTAACCAGATGCATGGCAAGACTAAACAGGCCACGCTCGTTCTGCACATGTCGGAGGAGAAGGGCGTGGGAAGCGCTGGGAGCAGAAATGAGGTGCAGGAGAGGCGCCCGTCTAGTAGTTTCACAGCTCGCTGCTGAGCTTGTTAACGTGAAACCTGCGCCGAGAAGAGTTATTTGGCCGACAGCAATAGTCGATGATTATCCTTGAAGAGATTCGAAATTGAAGGAAATGGTTCTTTTGTCTTCAATTCTCACATTAGAAAAAAGTCCCTTGAGGTTACACGTAGATCTGCTGGGGTCACAAGAAAGGAAGTAGTCGACCAGCAAGCTTATCGTGGTGCCTGCCTTCCTATCGTATCGTGACCTCATTCGATTTCGACCACTTCACTGGAAACGTTACCTTTAGCTGATGCAGTATCTTCTTCTCCTCAACAAAGAAACCACACCCTCTCCCAACATCGCCTTAACCGGCTGCAAAGTCCTTAGGGGCTTGAGTCAACCTTGACCCTGGAAGCTGCCAAACTGCCAATTTCTTCAACGTGCCGCTGTCACTTGGCCCACGACAGCTCGAGCTTTAGCCTCGACGACCGCTTCGTCCTAAGATGACCGACCACCAGCGCAAAAATCGTTGTGATTCGGACGGGTCGAGCGCCCGCTGCAGTGGCCCTAGATTGGCTCACATCCTCAGCCACAACGCTGGTCTCTTCAACGGACTGGCACGCCGGCCAAATACCAAGACAGGCCGCTATTTTCGAGTCGGCGCACGATGAACCCGGCTGTGGCCCGAACCCACGAACCACCCATGACCATGCTCGATCGGTTCAGGGCGATCGTTGGAAGCACGACCCTCAATCAGGCGATTCGCATCCCTAGCTCCGTCCCCTGACCTAGTAGTCCTTTGTCTCGAGCTGAAGCCGAGCTTCTGGACGCTAACAGTGCATCACGGAGGTACCTTGATGAGACCATGGTCAGGAGGCTCTCTATGCGTGCCCGAGAAACAGCAATAGCCGCAGGAGCAGCAGAATGTGAGCGGCATGCCGCATTTGCTGGTGATCATAGCATCAGTGCGATTATCATCTCTTGCTGTCGTTCGTGTCCCGTCCTCGACAGTGGCGGCTCAGCCGCAGTCACCCCTGGCGCAAACCAAGGGTCTGGCATCTCAGCTGGCAAGCCATCAGGGTCCAGTGAAGTGGGTTGCTTCTCGCTTGTCTCACCTTTTCCTTCATTGTTCTCCTTGGAAAAAACACAAACGGCGCCATGACACACAGATGATACGCCGTGTGGAAACTCCACGCACACTAGGTACTCGTTTTCAAGCGTCTTCCGCGCACCCGGAATCGATGCCGCCAGCACCGTATAATTGGCCACTGGCATTGCCGGGACGGCTCTCGTTGTGGAGATGCCCCTGCTCTTCCGAAGTTGCTCGCCGTCTGAGAACGATTTGTCTGGACACATGAAATAGCACGGAGATGCAGCCTTCATGCCTGTCACGATCCGTGATTGGGCTAGCGGACGTCAGCTACTTCGGGTTCCTGAGTCGTGTGCAGGCAGAGATGGGGAAGACGCTCGTTCAGGTCAGCGCCTCAACGTCAAATTAGTGCCTGTCTCCGTCGCTCTACTTTCAAGTCCTAAGAAAGCATGAGATCCATCGCTGGGCGCCCATTTCGTCAGTCATGATGTCTAGTGTCTTCAGCTCAGTCTAGAATACATACAAGATGCCCAATCGAAGCCGTCCTTCGGCAGAGGGTATTTGCGGGGAGACTTAGACAAAGTTGCCCCCCATACGACGACGGTTCATTCTTTTATACGCCATCATCTCAGCCACTCTTTTGTGGCAATTTTTCTTCTTCCTTTCCTTTTGCTGCTCTTGCCGTCGTTGGTTAACTCGTAGAGTTGGGTGCTTTGACCGGCTCAAAGTCTCCCTCCTCTTTACAACCATACAGACTGCAAACCGGCTCTCTCAACCAACATCTTCGCCTTCGAATCGTTCCAACAACAGCAACTTCTTCGCATGGCGTTGCCCACCACGATTAGCTCATCGATCTAGGACTTTTCGAGAGCAGGCAATCCTATATTCGACGGCCATGAACCTATGGCTGTTGGCCTTTGCGGCTCTGGCGGCTGTACCAACGGCCTTTAGCCAAAGCACCACATCTCCCCTGGCTGCTGTGGCCGCTCTGCCCTCATGTGCGGTATGTGCTCCTACTAGCATTTGTTCTCTGGAGATCCCAAGTCCCAGGCTAACTCACGATACAGCGCGACTGCTTCACGTTGGCTCTAGCCAAGTCACCCTGCCAGCCGACAAACACAACCTGCGTATGCACGAACCCAACGCTGCAACAGACCATGCAAGGATGTGTCTTGCAAAGCTGCACAATCAAAGACGCCCTAAGTGAGATTGACTGGTAGACACGCCTACTTTACGCAGCGGCTTCTGACAGGATCTAGCAACAATGAATCTGACGGCCACGGCCTGCGATCGACCTATCAGAGACAAGTCGCCAGAATACATCACCATCACCACCGTTTTGGGCACGGTTTCCGGCGCCTTTGTACTCCAACGACTGCTATACAAGCTCTGGGCCAAGTTGGGCCTGGGTGCTGATGATTACATGACCCTCGCCCTCATCCTATGGGGCATCCCGAGCACCGTCATCAATACCCATGCCATAACGAAGCCCGGGCTGGGTCGTGATATCTGGACCCTGACGCCCCATGAAATCACCAGATTTGGCCTCTACTTCTGGTTCTTGGAGTGGGCATATTTTGTAGAAGTCTGCATGCTCAAGCTCAGTCTTCTTCTCTTCTACATCCGCATCTTCCCGAGTCCAGGGGTACGTCGTCTACTCTGGGGAACCCTCATCTTCAGCGTCGTTTACGGTGTCATCTTCGCCTTTTTCGCAGCCTTTCAGTGTACGCCTGTCAAGTATTACTGGGAAAAGTGGGACGGGGAACATCAGGGCAAATGCTTTAATATCAACGCCATTGCCTGGTCAAACGCTGCCATCAGCATAGCGATTGACATCTGGGTGCTGGCTATTCCTTTGTGGCAGCTTAAAGGCTTGAATCTAGACTGGAGACGAAAGGTTGGCGTTGGCATCATGTTCTGCCTTGGTGCTTTGTAAGTCGTATCCCCCTTCTGCCTTTCCCCCCTTCTTGTCTGGGAAGCGTTGCTCACTAGATCCTTAGCGTTACCATCGTGAGCATCTTGCGTCTCAAATCTCTTATTCAATTCGGCACCGATAGCCTAAATCCCACGTGGGACTTCTTCGAAGTTAGCGTCTGGTCCGTCGTCGAGATCAATGTCGGACTCATCTGCGTCTGCCTGCCTGCTTTCCGCCTCCTGCTCGTCCGCATCTTCCCCAAGTTGCAGGGCTCGACGGAACGATACTACGGAAAGAACTCGAGACGGAATCGGACTGCAACAAACCACAGGTCAAGCCGACTTCCCCTGGGACATAGTGCCGGATCGCAGGTGGACAGATCACAGCCTCATCCAAATATCGAGGGCAACCGCATTGCATATCAGACTTCATACACAGTCGAGTATGGTGAGAATGATGAAGTCCAGCTGGTGTCTCTGAATGACAAATACAGCGCGAGATCAGACATACGGTCTGATGTATCATAGACAAAATCACAGCTCGCCCGGCTGTGTCCCTCTTTCATTAGCTTTTATTTTCTTTCATTTTCTCTTGCTCATCCCATGTCTCGTCTACGGACTCGATAATTCATATAAAAGGAGGGTTAATCCCGGATTTATGAGGCGCTTTTCGGTTCGTCTAATCACCAAAGACATTCAGCCGGTCGCGTGTGTCATGGCTGTTCAGCATTTACTGTTACAATATGGCGCCGGTAGATCAAAACTGATGAATTCATGATATTATATCACGAGTATCCGCGAAGCAGTGCACAAAGAAACGACTCGGGGGATGAAAACAGCATACATCAGCTGCTTTGAAAATGGGGGATTGGGCTAACTGCTGGCTTGGTCTAAGAAAATCATGCAAGATGAGCCCATGCATAACAGATTTGTCGGAAAATATCATGCAAGCTCGTCAACGGAACAGAGCACGTCTCAGCAGTAAAAGCTGCTGCTCGTTCGACCCCCAGATGTTTCGACAGTGTCCCGCCAAGAGCAAAACTGACTCGCGAGATCACCAGAGCTAGACAAAAGGCTCGGGTGGTTTTGCAAATGCCGCCATGTGGGTTGCCAACTTGCCGGGACTGATCCTATTCACAGCTCAGCCACGCGTGCAAGATGGGTCCTGGGATCTCAGTTGCCAGGGACGCTGGCTTAGCTTAGCTGAGCTGAGCGAGCTGGTTCTCACGATACGAAGCTTGTGCGCTCTTTGACTGCAATAAGTGTTGACGAAAGGGCAGCATTGAAAAGGATATCATCGGCTATTATGCCAGACTAATTGTACATAGAAGTCGATGAAAGAGCTCAGACGATGCGTGGGCTGTGATAGACAAGAAGTTGACAAAAGAGACTCGGTATTAAAGGACGAGTAGTAGCTTGGAATTGTGGGTATCCTCCTCCTTCTACATCCCCGTCCGGCTGTTGTGATTGATTAGATACAAGTAGATGTTGAAGCTAGACGATAACAGAATGTCGTCTTCTTCGTTTATGCGGTCCCGACTCTGCCAACTTTGCTCTCCCACTCGTCATTCACATCCCTAAAATCCTCCGCACCATACGGACTCGTCACCTCCGTCAGCCAACCCTTTGGCTTCCGGTGAGGATCCAGCCCGAGGTCCTTCTGCAGCAGATCGAGGTAATACACGGCATCGAATATTGTCGTCGGGGCCTTTGTCTCGGCAGGATAGCGCCACTTGCCGAAGCGGTTATGTAGCACCGTCTCGTAGCGCAGCTCTTGCATGGCGGCGTTGTCGGCCAGCGCGCGCGTGGGCAGGTCGTTGGCGAGGAGGCCGCGGAAGTAGGCGCCGATCCAGAGGCCCTGGAGGTGCGCGCAGAGGGTGTTGCTGAAGTTGCTGACGAAGCCGCAGAAGGCCGTGTCGCGGGGCCGGAGGAAGCGCTCGGAGGGCGGGATGAGGAAGTGGTAGAGCATGAAGGGCGTCTGGGGCGTGTAGGGGTTCAGGGGCTCGTCGCTGGAGACGCCCTTTTGCTTGGTCAGGGGCACGTAGTGCTTGTTCCAGACGGGCTGGTCGCGGAGGCGGGGGAAGCGGGCGGCGATGTCGGCGTCGGCGCGGCGGAGCAGGTCCTGCTGGTTGGCGAGGTCCTCGGGGGGCGCCTCGGTGTCGATGGCGTGCGGGAGGCCGAGCTCGCGGTCGATGCCGGCGGGGAGGAAGGTGATGGGCGGGGACGTCTTCCAGCCGGTGTTGCAGACGGAGGCGAAGGAGGTGCCGTCGGCGAGGTGGACGGTGCCGGGGCTGAGGTGGTCGACCTCGCCGACGTGGATCCTGATCTTGCCGGCGCGGACGAGGTCGAAGAAGTCGGCGTCGTAGTTGAGGATGCTGAAGCTGGCGGCGGTGAACATGGCGGGGATCCAGGGCTTGAGCTTGGCCGTCTCCGGGTGCGCGTCGTAGTTGTTGAGGGCGAGGACGTCGCCGCCGAGGATGGCCCAGAAGGCGTTGACGATGGCGCGGCCGACGAAGGTGCCGTGGAGGAAGCGCTGGATGCCGGTGTAGCCGGCGGCGCCGCTGTAGACGCAGGGGCTGAACCATGTGAGGAAGCGGATGTCTGGGAGGGTGACTGCTTTAGTAGCTGAGACTTGGTGGAGAGAGAGTTTGATGAGAGGATGTGGCCTTACTCGCGAGCTTCTCGATCCATTTCTTGAATGGCGTCACGTATGAAGGGGCGATCCAACAGGGGCCGTGGCCGGAGGCTGTGTGTTTGTTCAAGTCAGCGGTTGACGTTCCTCTCCAATCTTCTCCTGTATTTCCACTTGCATCGAATGACCCAATTGACCTCAACGCCGGCCATGGCGTAGCTGTAAGCGGCATCCCAGCCGAATTTCGTCCCGCCATACACGGTGATCGCCTTGGACGTCTCGAGAGTATCCCGGTTCTGCTTAAAGTACTTGCTGTGGAAGATCCTCCCGCCAAACTCCTCCTGGCCGTCAAAGTGCGGCATGAAGGGCTGGGAAGTGAGCCCCGTGGCGACAATGAGGCGCCTCGCAAACACCTTGTACTCGTGGCCCTCGTCGTTGACGACGGTGAGCGTCCATCCGCCCTCGGCCGAGTTGTCGTTGTGCTCGGCGACGGTGATCTTGGTCCGGAGGCGGAGGCACGGCCCGAGGTTGAACTTGTCCACGTACGCCTTGAGGTAGGCGTTTGTGACCTCACCTGGGATGTACTGGCCGGGCTTGACGCCGAACGTCTCGGGGTCCATGGGGAAGTCTGGGTACTCGTACGTCCCCAGGAGGTTGTTGCTCTTGACGTCTGGGTAGAGCCGCTCGTCGGCCCACGTGCCTCCGACGGTGGTCTGGGGATCGAAGATTACGAGGGAGTCATTGGGGTTGACGACGCGGTATTGCTTTGCGGCGGCGAGGCCGTACCATCCTGAGGGTTCGGGGCAATTAGCATCGTCCTTTTCTCCTTTTCTTTTTTGTTTTGCTAACGTGTGATGTGACCTGACAGGCAGAGAAGAAGAAAAGGAAGAAGAGGATAATAGTGAAACAGAAGAGGAGAAAAAAAGAAAAAGAAAGATGAGAGGTGAGCAGTAAGAAGCTCATGAACTTACCGGCACCAGCCACGACACAATCAACCGTCTCCATGATAGTAAACCTACCGCAGAATTGACTCTTGACGATGTCGCTTCTATTCCTGTTCCTTCTCCCTCTTGTCTCTTCTTTTCTTTTTGTTTTAAACTTTCCCCCTCCACTGCTACCGCGATGGGGCGCCATGTTGATCAAATACTACTCCGTAGCACAAGGCAATCAGTTGCTCTATTTAGCCAGGGCGAAGACAGGGGGGCATGTTCGTCCGCCCACCCCCCTCATCGGTCGCTTAAATTCAATCCTTGTCCGACTTCTCGTGCTTACATGGACATGGCCTGACTGCTTTGTACGGGGGCGCCCTGGCGCAGGCCTGTGTTCTGACAGGAAGAGCAAAGAGCGTTGCATCGAGTGGCCACAACCAGCAACCCGGTTAGATAGTACTATGACCCAACATGCAGGCCTGCGTGACCCGCATGCGCAGTTTGTTCGAATATGCAGTTGGCTCGGAGAGGGCTCAAGGCGTTGGCAGTTCTGTCCGTTGAAGAGGACAGTGCTGGATGAGACCAATGGGTTTCTTCATTGAACTAGACGAATGGCTACGACTATCCGGGAGAAACGATCGAGTGGAATCTTAGATCAGATTCCCGATTAACGCGAAGACAAATCAATTCGAGTCCCGACAACCAAGCCACTATCGCCATGACTGTACCTAGTCCAAGCCATCTTTCAGTAAGGTAAGCACACATGAACCTGCTTTTTATGGATCGCGCACTTCATCTCAACCGCGGCTCTCGAACTGCCTCCCCTTGCGCTAATAACGGCAGTGGAGTTGGCCGATGCAACTCATCTCCATCGAGACGGGAACACTCGCCCAGGGCCGTCGCCGTGGGCACCGGCCGGGTTGCAGTTGACCCTTGCTTGTAAGAAGTACTGCGTACAAATCTTGGCTGGCAACTTGCATCGGAAAAAGAGGTACCTGGCTGCGGAAAAGCTTGACAGGACAGGAGACGGGCTGCCAAGATAGACCAGGCGTCCTATCAGGACGACCCTATCGCCCGTGCTCTGGAGAGGTGCGAAAGGGGACCCTGCCTACTTTTGTGCCGGAGTGTGCTGACATGTTCCGATTGCAGGCAACCCGTGTGAAGATCAAGTGAAGGGGGGGTTCGCTGCCAATGAAATATGAGGGATACGCCTCGCCATTTCCTGTCCAGTTGTCGAATCATGTTGCTGTTGGCTCAGCTGGGAACTCAGAGCGGAAGCTGAGTTGTCGAGAGCCTTGAGTTACAAATCATTTGTCAGAGCCCTCGACGCTCTTCTCTCATCCCGCATACTATACTAATACCGCGCCGACGCCCACTTGCCGCTTGCCTTGCCCGTCGGAGCATTATGTCGTCGCCTGCAGCGCCTCCGCCTGATGCGGCGGCTGCAGCCGCTGCCGCTGCGGCTTTCCATCAATTTACCGTCGAGGCCTTTACTCTGTTGGGAGTCGGGATATTCGTCACCGTGCTGAGGACGGCGGCCCGTGTGAGGTTTGGGGGCTGGCGGAACCTCTACGGCGATGACTATCTTGCCTGGCTGGCGGTTCTGTTCTACATCGCCGAGACTTGTTTGGCGTATAGCGTGGGACATGCGGCGAATGGGCTTGCGAACAACGCCATGACGGACGCGCAGCGAGCGGCGCTGTCGCCTGATGATCCGGAGTACCACTTGAGGTGAGCGAACTTACAGAGGAAACAATTTGGAGGGGGCAGCAGAAACACCATGGCTAACTGTGGGTGATAGAGTGTTGGGATCCAAGATTCAGATTGCGGGTTGGTCGACATATTCGACGCTGCTCTGGACGCTCAAGGCGTCGCTGCTGATGTTTTATGTCAGGCTGACGGTACGTTGCTCGCCTCGACTTCATACTGATCACTCTCTCCTATCTGGGCAATTCATCTGATCGTCGGTTTTCTTTGATAGGATGGGTTGGCCAGACATTACCGTATCCGAATCTACGTAGGCTTCGGCCTCCTGGCAGGCAGCTACCTCACGGTTGCGATGAACCTATACTTCTCTTGCCGGCCTTTCCACAAGCTCTGGCAGATATATCCCGATCCCGGAAGTCGGTGTTTGCCCACGCTCCCATGTCCTCTTCGGCTTTCTGTTATGCTAACCACTTTGCGCAATCAGACGTCTGCTATCCTGCCGTTTCGAACCAGATCATTTGGGTTTACTGGTCATTCAACGTGCTGACCGATCTGTACATCATCTCGATTCCGCTGCCCATGCTCTGGGGGACGAGCCTGAAGCCGTGGAGGAAAGTCGGACTCATCTTCCTCTTCAGCGGCGGCCTCTTTGTCATTGTTTGTGCCACTCTTCGTTCCGCACTCATCGTCCTGGTAGGTCACTCATATGCCGTCTATCTACTGCTTAGCACACGACGCTGATAATGGGTGCAATCAGGATACTGCCAATGGAGCGCAGCTGGCTGGATCATGGGCCGTTAGAGAAACCTTTGTCGCCGTCGTCACCACGAATCTGCCAATGCTGGTCCCCATGGTCAAGGTCATGCTCGGGCCCTTTATCGGATCCATCCTCTCTTCGAGGCGCTCTACCCAAAAGCTCGACGACGGGACACCAAAGGACCTGGTCACCTTTGGAGGGAGCAGCAAGAGCTGGCGCGGGCGAGGCCCGCCAACGGCGAACCCGATCACAAACTTCACCATCAGCGAGAGCGAGGAGCGCATTGTGGAGGACGTCAGGATGCAGGACCTCAAAGTATGGAGCGACGGACGAGACCACGATCAGCAACCGAGGGCTGACGAGGAGAGCAGGGAGATCCACAAGCACGTCGAGATTGACATTGTGACGACGAGCCACCGCCCCTCGGAGGAGCAGAAGCAGATGTCGCCCGATGAGCATGCGAGGAGGCTCAGGGGGGCGTTTCCGTTTCCCGGGAGTGGCAACTGCGAGAATGGCGACGACAACAGCAACAATAGCGGCATGAACAACGGCATCAGCAGGGCGTGATGACTTCTAGTGCTTTCAAAAGTTCTTTAATAATTGCTTTTTTCCCCCTTTTGTCCTACTTGTTTTTGGACTGCATATAAGCGAAGCAAGTCTTGAAAAATAATTATAGCATGAGGTTACGAGTCATAAACTATCTGTCATTTTGGCACATTGAGCGTTTCATTGGGTGTTAATCTTTCGTTGCTTTTTCCTCTGCCGCGTTTTTGAATCCTTTCGCTCCTCGCTTCACTATCGTGTAATGATTGGTATACAGCCACCAAGTTTAGCACTTTTGTTCCAGACAAGAGACTTGTTTCGAGATGAGGACTTCTTTTGTTGTTCGGTTGTCGTCTTTCTTCCTGTATTTGACGTTGTGAAGAAGCAACCGCGTACAATGGCCGGAATCCTGCCGGCTCTCGCGCGGCGGCTCTGACAACGAGGGAGCACCATGTAACCTTGAAGCATGCCGCATGATATCTTCCGTCTGTGCTTCGTACTTTCTCCTTCTTCCCTTCATTCCTTTTGTAACTATTTAGGCTCTTGCCAGTTTGTCTTTCTTGCATACCACCCTTATTTCCTCAAGGCTTGGCACAAGCTCATTGACGATTGTACTGCAGCTTGATGGGAATTGCTAGAAGTCGTACAAGTGCAATGTGTCGGAGAATTGTCCACGTACTTCCTACAGGATCCGGCAGCCTAGAATATGAACAAGGCTGGCGAGGCCACACACACTCCGGACAGGATCCGGATCTAGCAGGATGAAGGATTCAAGTGTCTTTTATGCACTATACTACCCAACTGTCGCTTAATGAATATCGAAGCTCATGGCTATACTTAGGATGCCGCTACACCTACTCGGCCAGGCTTTCGAGTTGCACTTCGCATCTTCTTGAGACTATATCGCAACTTGAAACGGATGCTCATCCTACAGGCATTCAGGAGCATTGTCTGTTCAAGATCCATGGCGCAGGTACAAAGTCCGCGGGCTTTGCGCACGTGTCTTACTCCCTGCCGGGGGATCGTCCTTTGCGCCTCCAATTTGCGCTGATGAAACTTTTTTGAAGTGGCTGCCTTTTCCGGGGAGATGATACCAGGTGATGCTGTCGTCGATCTCTAAGCGGGAATGGGAAGTTGAAAAGTCCAGTTTCGGCATATGTCGACTGACTCGTTCCCGTTCCCGTAAAAAGTGGAATTGTTCACAACATGACAGCAGACGGAGCAGAGAGTCATCAGCCCGAATCGAGCAGGACGATTTCGAATCCTTAACCACGATAGACACGAAACAGGGAATGAACTCCCAGGAGAGCTCATTTCACGGAAATAGTCCCCGTCCAAGTGCTCCCTACACCCGATACAAGCCCTGACAGTTCGCCATTCGCGTCCAAGTTTTCGTCTCCCGGCGCTCGGATTCCTGGCCCCCATATCCTGGGCGGAAGCTCCCACATCCCTGCTCCTCCCCCCCGGCACTGACGGTGGAAGACAAAAAGAGGCAAAAGGTGACAACGTCAACAGGATGGGATCCTTACTAGCCCTCTGGTCGATACCGAAGACGCACAAGTACAAGATTCGCGTATACCGGAAGACAGAGGAAAGGGTGGGAAGGCGACTGCCAGTGCAGATAGTGTAGAGGGGGAAACATGTGATAAAACGAACGGTGTGGGTTTCAGTTGAATGTGGGCTGCCGAAATCGACGATCAATTCGTAAAGTTCTATGGATACCGAGCTTCTTTGCTCGTCTCCATATGCACAGCCACCAGGCACGAGAACACCTGTTCGCAGATGATGGACGCAGGCACAGGGCTTGGGGACACGTTTACCAGGCAAAGCGAAGCACGCACAGATCGGGGGGGCCAAAGCATGCGCTGACTGGAGACTTTCTCCATCGAGGAGGTGCATGTATTGCTACCAAAGGCAAGGGGGGAGACGGCACTTTTCTGTGCAAGTAAGGATGAGTGAGGATCATGTTACATTACACGAGGTAAGCAGGGCATGCACGGTGATATGTCCGAAGCCACTCGCCGAAGCACAACATAAGCCATCTATCACCTTCTCAATTGATGGTTGCCTTGCGTGTAATATTGCAAATTCTTACCCTGCGATGGGGAGTCGCTTGCGGGAGTATCCGACGATTCGGTTTTAGTTGGATATATTTCCTTCAAAATCCCGAAAAAACACAAAGGTCTGGTTATAGGCCTGTGGCACACATTTACACGCACCCCTCTGTCTTTTCTTATTTGCCCCCTCTTCACTGTCTACCCCGTACACCACTTGTCTCTTCTCATGGACATGGTCAAAGCATGTGCCGAGGCTGATAAGTGCCTGAACAGAAGCCGTCAAGTCTCGGCGCCAGGAACAGTATCTGCTGCCGAAGCCTGTAAATGTGCGGACAAGCGGAGTAGCTTGGGAGGCAGTCGGTCTGTGGTCTCTTGTCCTTCACCAGCTGCATCATAGGAATAGAGAGAGGCCGAAAGACAAACCAACGACAGCATAACACCTTGATAGCTCATAATACCATCAAGTCCATATCATCATCGGAGAGATTATGTCAGCCACCACGACCACCTACCAGGTTGCATCGCCGCTCGCCGGGGAGAGCATTGAGCTCGGGCATCTAGACCCGGGCGCCCCCTCCGGTCGTCAACTCGGTCCGGATACAAAGGCGGAGTCGCCGCATGTCTCGGTCGGTGACAATGACGGAGGAGAACCGCCGCCAGATGCTCTCACGGAGGCCGAGAGGTGGAACCGGCCCGTCAAGAATATCGGCCGGCTTGCGTTTGCATTTGTGTCCTTTGCCATTGCGGGGATGAATGATGCTGCTGTTGGCGTAGGGACCCTGCTTCTACCTGTTGCTCTCCTATTATGATGCTAATGCGTGGCATAGGCATTGATCCCATACGTAGGTGATGATATTGTCCATATCACGCGCACTTTTACTCACACCATCCCCACAGCTCGAAGAATACTACAACCTCTCCTACACCGTTGTCTCCCTCATCTTCCTCACCCCCTTCGTCGGCTACTCCATCGCCGCCTTCACCAATGCCCGCATCCACGTCCGGCTCGGCCAGCGCGGCGTGGCCATCATGGCGCCCATATGCCACCTCATCACCTTTGCCGTCCTTGCCTCGCACCCGCCGTATCCCGCTCTCGTGGTGTGCAATGCCATCAGCGGCTTTGGCAACGGCCTGACCGACGCATGCTTCTGCGCGTGGGTGGGTGCCATGGACAAGGCGAACACGATTCAGGGCTTTTTGCACTCGTGTTATTCGCTGGGGGCGTTGTTTTCGCCGCTGATTGCTACGTCGATGGTTGTCAAAGGCGGGTTGCCTTGGTATACATTTTATTATCTCATGGTAAGACTCTAGAGATGATATGATGCCGTGGATGGAACCCAAGCTGAATATTGGTATGCAGATCGGCATGTCTGGCCTGGAATTTGCCGGGCTTGTCATGTTCTTCTGGGACAAGACGGGCGCCGTGTATCGAACCGAGCACGCCCGCGGGAATGCAGATGCCGGGACTGCTGGAGCCGGCACTCGCGAGGCAATGAAGTCCAAGGTTACCTGGCTCTGCGCCCTGTTCTTCTTCGCCTACATGGGTGTAGAGGGTACGTGATACTGATACCCGATGAAGATTTGTACCATGATGTACTGACGCACTGCTGTAACAGTTGGTCTCGGGGGCTGGGTCGTCACATTCATGCTCCGAGTCCGTCATGCCTCCGCTTATGCCTCTGGAATCTCAGGCTCCGGCTTCTGGGCAGGCATGGCACTTGGCCGCGCCGTCTTGGGGTTCGTCACGGAGCGATTCGGCGAGAGGCTTTGTCTGGCAATCTACCTCTGCGTCTGTCTCGGCCTCCAGCTGCTGTTCTGGCTCGTGCCCCAGTTTGTTGTCTCTGCCGTTGCCGTCGCCTTTCTGGGCTTCTTTCTGGGCCCGATGTTTCCCGGGGCTGTCATGGTGACGGCCAAGCTGCTGCCCAAGCGTATCCATGTGAGCGCCATTGGGTTTGCCATGGCCATGGGAGGGACAGGAGGGACGGTGTTTCCGTTCATCATCGGTGCGATTGCGTCTCATAAAGGCGTTTCGGTGTTGCAGCCTATTATTCTGGCGCTGATTGTGGTAATCTCGGTGGTTTGGTTGAGCTTTCCTCGGATCCAAAAGCGAGACTGAGGTGCAAGCATATCTCTCAAGCCAGCGCCATGCAATTTTGGATAGCAGGGGGTTTTTTGAGCAGGATCTGTTGAGAATGATGCCGGTTTGCTCTTCTTTTGTCTCATGAACCTAATCGTACCCCCTTGGTTTGAACAACGACCTCTCACACTTCCCATGGGACTGGCAGCCAAGCAACTCCCTCCTCATATACGAGTTGGCCTCGTCTCTCCATCACATACGACCACAGCCGCCAGAGAAATCAGGATCCCGTCTGATCTCCATTAGATAAGCTGGTGAGCGCTAGATTAGTAGCTGAGTCGGAGACGATCAGCGAATCCCTGGTGTTGTATGTTTTCTTTTTGGCTTTTTGTGCGTTAATGACAGGTAGCAACGGCAAGCTCACCCAAGTTCGTTCGAAGTTGACCGGGGTGACTGGAACCGATGCAAACACAAGTTTGGACCAAACTTGAAGACTGGATGTTGCCTCGGAGGGATCCTCTTAGAGCCGCTCACACCGCGTTGATGAACAACTCTTCTTTACTAATTCTCAATCAATCAGCATTGAATGCCTTCTTTATCGTGCAAAATCTATGTAGTACTGTGCTATTGAGCTGGAAATATGGCTCATGTAAGTCGCAAAGTCGTGATAAATGATGCAATTCTCGAATCTTGGCCTAGCGTCATGTGATTGCTTCTAGAGAATTTCTAATCTTGCTTATTCTCTCCCAATCCCATCACTTGCCATACTCAACAATTTGCATCTCAAGGCTCCTTGTTTCAATCTCCTTCTTCTCAAGTCTCTCCAATATCATCTTCTCTTCACAGATCATAATTAGTTCGAGCCCAGCCTCACCAGAACATCCCGAAAATGCCTCTCGTCGACGCTGATGCCCCGCCTTCAACCAACGACACTCACTACGTCGTCTACTTTGCCTCTGGCGAACCCTCCTGGTGTCCCGACTGTCGCAATGCGCTTCCAGCTCTCCAGAGTGTTTTCGGAGCAGACTCGGCGCCTTTGGCAACCATCATCCGGGCTGGTTCTCGCGAGGAGTGGAGGGACCCGAGCAACAAGTGGCGACAGGCTCCTTACAACATCAACTGTCTCCCGACGATTGTGAGGGTAGAAAATGTAAGTTGGCTGTTCAAAAGATAGAGTGCAATCACAGAGAAGCTTACACGGCAAAACAGGGCAAGGAGGTTGCTCGACTTGGAGATGACGAGGGCCAGCAGGAGTCTGCCCTGCGCAAACTGATTGCGTAGAGTGGGACTTGATACGAGGCTCAACAGGTCTGAAATTATTGCTAAAGGGCCATTCTGTTCATTTCTCAGATAAATGAAAAGAAAAATATATCAAGAGAAAAAGATCAATCTATGTAGCTTCGTACGAATACGGAACACCCTTGTAAATGATTCTTCACCAAACGCCTTCCACAAGACTGTTGAACGTCAAACTTCGTAACCAAAAGTAGAAGAAGCCATGTCGAGAGCGATTCTTTGATTGCTCTCAAGAAGGACTCCATAAAGTGACATCCCATCAATATCTTAGGGGTAGTTCACAACATGTCCCCGTGACACCGACTTCCTGAAGACAACCTCAATATGAGCGGGGCAAGTCTCACAAAGGCTGATGACTCGGTAAAATATCCCACACTAAGTCATAACAGTTCTCACCCTCACGGCAAACAAGTTTTAGTTCCCGTAACACTCCAAACGCCCCCTCACTTTGGGTAACAATTCCGATTGTACTCAACGTGAGTTCGTCTCAGATTGCGGCTCACTCAGGTTCTTGGGTCGCTCAGATAGCCCAGAGAGCCGGACAACATGTCTCAACGAAACACGGCAAGCTCAACTGTGCCATGGGTCATCACAGTGGCAGCCGCAGCCTTTGCAATTGGCGTTGCCACCTCTGATGCCGTGAGAGACGCCGTTTCCGGGATGCAAGATATGTTGACAACTTACAGTGGAGGCAATTCCCTGCAAGGGCTGAATGGACTGCCGCCACAGGCACAAGTGATTGATCCATCAACCTTTGCCGCGATGCCGGTGGTGCCCCCGGAGAATATCGCCAACATTACTACTGTAGGTCAAATATAAGATCCATCTCTTTTCGTATAATGGCGTCTGATCAAATTGATGCATAGATCTTTATCCCGCCCGGCTCTACTATAAAGAGCTTGAAAGAACAGCCATTCCACATCTATCACCCAGATTTTGTACACATCTTGGGACCAAATCCGACTCTTACGCTCATTGCCGACGCAGGCACTGACCCGCTGTTCCATGAAGCCTTTGTGTGGTAAGATGCCTTCCGAGTCTTCTGTAACAGAATATGGCCATCTCTTACAGAGCCATAGGTATCCTCCTACGGATGAAGTCTTCTTCGCCCAGAACGCCGGAGCTCGGGCAGCTGGAACCGGCTTGGAGAAATCCAGCCTCATTCTCAAGGTATCTCTGAATGAGACCGTGGCCGTCTCGAGCGAGCGAGATGCTGTTGGTAAAGTCCAGGTCCACGTCGTTCCTACCGAGCCCCAAGTCATCAATCCCAACGGTACGTCTTGGCTTTTTTGCCCTTGAGAAAAGCTTCCACCCTGCTTCAACAGTGCAATGCCTGCTGACCATCATTAGGAGGGACAAACTACAAAGGAAACTTGCTGTTCACAGGTGAGGGAATGGGCCCGGATATTGCCCCGGCCCTCTTTGCTGTCAACCCTGTTCCGCCCTATAATTCCACTGGTGAGTGCTGTCTTCATAGGTCACAGCGCATTGTCCCGATGTCAACTGATCCATTTCCAGTGCTTGTCAACAACTACTTTGGTCGTCAATTCAACTCTCTTAATGATGTCGCCGTAAACTTCAGAAACAAGCGCATTTACTTCACAGATACGGTGTACGGCTATCTGCAGGAGTTTCGGCCCAGACCTGGTCTCCCGAACCAAGTGTATCGTTTCGACCCCGATACTAGGGCTGTTACTGTCGTAGCAGATGAGTTTGTAAACTGCAACGGTGAGTGGTAGCAGTCGTCTCATTTTGACCTCTTTCTGAACCGTGGCTAGGCATCACGTTCTCGCCCGATGGACGATACGCCTACATCACAGATACGGGAGCTGGCAAGGCATTCCGAGGTCACGACAATGCCGGGCGTTCTACCATGTAAGGGGATGGACCCTTAACTGACAAAAGTCCAGGTTTCAAATGAAAGATACCCATATTGCTAACCTGGGGCTTAGCTATCGCTACACTGTAGCTCGTGATGGAACGTTCAAGGACCGAAGGGTATTTGCCTATGCCGGAGCTGGCGTCGTGGATGGTAAGGCCCGGCTGTTTCGCACTTCTCGTGAACATCACTGATGTTTCTGCGTAGGGATCCACTGCGATACTGAAGGCAATGTCTATGCTGGCTGTGGTGATGGTGTTCACGTATGGAATCCTTCCGGGACTCTGTTGGGTAAAATCTTCCTCGGCGAAACATCTGCCAACTTTCAGTTTGCGGGTGATGGCCGAATGGTCATTGGGGCTGAAACGCACCTGTATTATGCCACTCTGGCTGGTAAAGGAGCGCCCATATCGTAGAACCCCTTGTGGGCTCAAGGGCCTCGACTTATGCTGGCCGATACTGTTTCAATCATGTCATGAATAACGAATACTGCCATACCGCTTTCACCAAAGTTCCCCTTAATTTTCGTGCGACATACCTTCCTATCATATCTCTCAAGTCCTCTACAACCATCCAGCTTTCTTCTGTTTAGGTATGCCTTTGACTCGGTTTCCTGAATAGGAAGGGTTTATCTTCTCCCCAGTACAACCTAATGCCACCTGTAAGCTTCCTCGTGCCTAACCCCCTGTCGAGTACTTGCATATCGCAATGATGGTTTCTATAACGCTGCAAACAACGTTGGATGGCAATATAACAACACTACCCCGCTCTTCTCGAATGAGGTTATCTCTTCAACGCACCTTTATATGACTCCCTTCAATGCTAAACTTTGCGGCCTGGTAGATGCACCATTGTATTTCGTATCTCAGTGCAGAAGATGGTCCTCAAACCTGAAGACTACACAGTTGCATGGTTTGCACCTTTGGAGATTGAGGCCAAGGTTGCTCGCCACATGCTGGATCACCGACATCAGGGTGTATTTGCAGTTGATCGCGGAGATGACTACGTCTTCCAGGCCGGCGACATAGCAGGGCACAACGTCGTCATCGCAACTCTGCCTGCGGGACAAGAATATGGGACGGGCTCTGCGGCTGCTCTAGCCGGCCAAGTCAAAAAGTCCTTCCCTAATCTTCGATTTGGTCTGCTGGTTGGTGTAGCAGCAGGGCTGCCGAAACTTGTCGGGGAACCGCCGCTGCGCGATATTCGGCTGGGTGATGTACTGGTTGCTTTGCCCCAAGGTGACAGTGCAGGGCTCGTTGCTTACGATCTGGGAAAAGAAACGGCCCATGGATTCGAACCTCTGAGACTGGGGCATAGCCTTGCCATGACGGAAACCATCATCAGGTCTGCAATCGGAAACATTAAGCTCGATGAACCACACGAGAGTGAGCTATTCCTTCCTTACTACGACAAGATTAAAGGACATAGATGGGTCAGTGGTGCTTCAAGTGGCAATTTCATGGACCCTGGCCAGGGAAACGACGTGCTTTACGATGGAGACACGGCAGTGCGGCGGCCGTGGAGGTTCGAATCAGAACGGACTCGTGTATGGTACGGCCCCATTGGTTCTGGGGAGAAGCTCATGAGACGTGCAGACCAGAGGAACCAGCTCCGCGACAGGTTTAACATCATTGGGCTGGAGATGGAGGCTGCAGGTACCGTGAATCGCATTCCGGTTGGGGTCATCCGGGGTGTTTGCGATTACGGAGATGAACGCAAGAACAAGGAATGGCAGCCCTATGCGGCAGCAATGGCCGGGGCATTTGGAAAGGCTGTTCTTTATCAGATCCCACCACCTCTCACAACTGCCGCTTCTCGCGTCTCTTCAGCTCCGATAAACAGCAATCCTACTCCCACGCCCCAGGTTACATTGCCGGTTAATCTCAGAACGCCCAACATGCTTCCGAATGGAACGTATGTCATTTATACCTATTTGACGGACTCGGCTGTTGTTGAAATAGAAGACGGAGATCCAGATGGCCGACTGATTATCTAGTATGTGTCACTTTTGCTCTTCTTACCTCACGATTTGATATAAACAAGGGAAGAACAGTAACCGACTGTCTAGTGAGCCAACTGGATTGCGCCGGCAAAAATGGAGAATCTATAGAGCCTATAGGAACGAATATGGGATTCAAAACGTAGAAACAAACACTTGGCTCACTGCCCCCTGTAAGTACCTTTTCACTGGCTTCCTGGTCTGCAAAAGAAACGGTCGTAAAGAGCTGCAAAATGACCAAGTGTAAGGCTGACGTTCCGGGAATTCATGTTTTAGCTCATGGAGGCGATCTATCGACATCTAGACTTGATCCAGTTATAGAGAGCAATCGAGCTAGTCGCTGGAAAGTTACCAAAACCAGCCAATGCTTCAACTTCCATAGGCAAGTGTTCACCCTGATATCTGTTGGACTCATCTAACGAATCATACGTCTTGCTGTGTAGTTTTCGCAGCTGTTTGAACCTTGACGTAGGTTTGGACCTTGCTAACGGGAATACGAAAAACGGTTCATCGGTGTTGGTATACAAGTACTATGAAACAACAAATCAGCTGTGGTTCCTACAAGATACACAAGAATAATAGACTAGTCAAAAAACATTTGTAAATGTAGGCTTTTGTCAGCAGGATATTCCAAGACGCCAAGGATCTAAACGAGAGCTCGGTAGAGGTTTGGGTGAGAGTACTGGTGATGACAGGCCATAGAACACTTGAGCAAGCAGTTCCTGTACACTGATACAGATTACTGAGCGCGTATATCAGAATAAATCGAGAGGAGATTTAGAACTTTTTGTTAAGTGGTACATCGTTTACACTCAACTAGTTTGATACCCTTCTTGGTGAATCTGAGCATTCATGCTGCCTGCTGTTGGCCAACCTCCAGGTGCTTTTGATAGTATGCGATGAGGCGTGATACAGCAGGTGTTACATATTCATGCTTGTCATACAGCCCAACGTGAGTAGCCCCTTCAACCCAGAACAGCTCCTTTGGCTCCTTTGCACGTTGATATGCTTCCTCTGCCATCCATTTGGTATCCGCTTCGGTACCGACTATCATCAGGATAGGCCGCGGAGAGATCCTGTCCACATATTGAAATCCATCAAAAGCAAATATCTTATCAACGCTACTCCATGGCATAGTCTTCGCCGAGCGAGAGTGAAAGCCGCGAGAAGTATTGTAGTATTCCCAGCCCTCGTACACATACGGCCCAAGAGCCTCTGCAGCGGACGCGTTGGGTGGGAAGATGGGGAAGCCGGATATTTCCCCGGGGTTATTGCCAGCTGCGGTTCGGGCTTTGGCCGCTTCGCGTAGCATGTTCTCTGCCACCGAGGCATCTTGCTTTCCATCGAAGCCTTGACGAAAGAATGGCCCAATATCGGCACCACTGACCGTGGCGGCTACCTTGATGCGTCTATCTACGGCCGCGGCGACGGTCACATAACCCCCGGAGGCGCAGATGCCAAGGATGGCAATGCGGCCAGGGTCAACGCGCTCGTGGTTGCTGAGGAACGTGACGGCAGATTTGATGTCTTCGACTCTCTGGGCGGGATCTTCAAGACCCCGTGGCTGGCCTTCGCTCTCTCCATTATACGCAGCATCCCAAGCTAGGGTGATGAAGCCCCCTTGGCTAACGCGGCTGGCGTAGATGGCAGCCGTCTGCTCCTTGACGCCGCTGGCTGGATGAGAGACGGCGATGGCGGGGAGACGTCCTTCGGGGGCATTGGCGGGGATGTACATGTTGGCAGCAAGCTTGAAGTTGGAGCTGGTGAACGTGACATTCTGGACGAGAGCTTGTGCTGTTGTCCCAGAGGGAGGATGAAGTGACGCAGGTTGATCCATTATGTATGCTGTCGGGCATATGCTCGCTCAGGCTTGTGTTGAGATACAAGTGTAAATACCGTGAAAGTCTTGCTGGTGCATGGAAGCCCTTTATATGTAGTCACTCAATAGCTTTATGCAGGTAGAGACTCTGCGTGGCACATGGAGGAGCTTTTAACGGACACATGAAGCTAATCTCCGGTCAAAAGATTATACCAACCCTCCACCACAATCCCCAGTAGCTACTTACAGATTAAATCAATCTGGGGTCTGTGAGACGTACGTATGCTGAAGAATGTTCGTGATCTTACTGTACAGTAACTTCAAGTCAGGGCGTAGGCTACTGCAACTGACAAAGAATTGGAGACCACATCACAAAGGCGTCACACCGCAACTCCATCTCGCACCAAGTGGGCATTTGACTGCGCTTTTGTATGCCATAATTTTAGATGTTAGACAGGTAACATGGACATCGAGCATATGAGAATTGGAGTGAAGTTAGTCGTGATACTACTGCGGCGAAAAGGGAAGCTATGATATCCGCACAGCCGTATAAGGAGTTGCGCTAATGCACCCGGCTTACATCTTGACTGCTATTGGTGTACTCAAAACCACCCCCAGGTGATATCGATGCAAAAAAAGAACCATGTTGCAAGCAGACATTGACCGGCATATCACCTCTACGCCATCAGACAAAAATGCAAAAAGAAAACAACATACAACAGCCGGTGTTCGCCAGTGGTCACCCACCTGACTACTAATCTGCCTCTCATTGGCTTGACTCTGGGAGAGCGGACGGGATCCCGTATTTTCCAATGGATATGGTCGTATGTGGTTGACAGGGCGCTGTAACAGCTCCATGAAGCTTCTCTGGAGGCATCACAAGATATTTATCAAGAACAGCAAAAAGAAAAGACATACAACAGCCGGTGTTCGCTGGTGGTCACCCACCCAACTACTAATCTGCCGGTTAGAGGCTTGTCTATGGGGGAGCAGACGGGACCCCGAATTTTCCTCTACCTATGGTCGTATGTGCTTGATTTTGGCCGCAATTGCCTCATATCGTGAGGTTGCTTTGCCCAACCATCACATGGAGTTTGTATGCTTTTACTGAGTCGGCTCAAGAGTCGTGCAAATGGCATCTGATTAAGATCGGACTAGAGTTAATATGTCTCTCTCCGTACTGATGCCCCATGCTCATTTCCCTGTTCGTCATCATTGAACCGTAGGCTGTGACAATGATGAAGCTGAGGCTGCAGTAATGCAAGCCATAAGCGTACCGTAACAATAGACAGAAGATTTTGATGCCGATGAACCATGAAGTACGAAGCGGTTTAGTTTCGATAACCTCGCATGGAAGAATAACCCAATTATCTGCAGATAGGTCTCGGTCATTTGCTTCATGGGGCTGTGGCAGCTCAGAATGATTGTAGATGACATTCATCACATGCTGCGCCTCATCCAGATGACCAAATCAGCTTATAAAACCCACGCCCATCAATGCTTACACTGGTGAGCGGCGTGAATGCGGGCTGGCCAATCCATAAACCAAAGTTTCTTAACATTTTGGAGCCATACTTGAACATCATCATAGGAGCATGTCGAGAGAACCCTAACGCCTCCCACAGTTTACATGACACCGATCGGGCAAACAGTCGCTCCTATGAGCGTCTGCGTACTCCGTACAACTGCGTCTATATATCAATTACACGCCCGTTCTATCTCTTTCTCCTCTGTCACATACTGCTAATATGCTTACCAGATGTAACAATGCTATCCACGCTTGCTCTGATTGGCGTCATTCTCACAGCCGATGCAATAGGAGCCTCGTCTCCCCATGGGCACCATGAGATACCCAAAGCGCCGTCGTTTGTCCTCGATTTTGGTGAGAGATTACCTCTTTCGCACTTCTTCTGCATCTGATTTATACTTAGGTACTAATACCTCTTCTACATCCGTAGCTCCACTGATTGCGCTGGACCAAAACGAGATCTTCTTCCCATCTGATATTGCCCAGCAGCTAGTTCACACAGTTCCCGAAGTCAACTTCACCAGGGTCGACAGAAGTGCGCATTTGACACTCGACAACCTGAATGGACTCAACAAGTTTGGCAATACTTCGGTCTTTCTCACCTCCAAGGACGACGTGACCGACCTCGCAAGGGAGCCGTCGTGGGTTCACGGTGTCAAGCCGAATGGCCGAGGTGAAACAGTGGGCGCTACTGCTGCAGCCATCATTATCTACGTTCATCCAGAAGATCACTCCATCACCGATGCTTTTTACTTTTACTTCTATGCCTTCAACGATGGCGGACACGTTGCCGGAGTTCCGGAAGACTTCCATGTTGCTGACTGGGAGCACACCATGGTCCGATTCCGTCACGGCGTACCGACTCAAATCTTCTTGTCGCAGCATACCGAGGGAGGAGAAGCCTTCTCATATAACGCACTGCAGAAGATAGGAAAGAGAGCGCTCGTGTTCTCGGCATTTGGTAGCCACGCGAATTATGCCACAAAGGGTTCTCACAACATCCCGTTTGTCATTCCCCCGCTGCCTGCAATCAACTTGAGCTCTATTTCGATCCCCGGAATACCCTCTGGTGTCCTGGACAATTTGAATTTGTCTGCAATTCTACAGGTCGTTGTCTCCTTAACCCCTCTACAAGACAAGACGTCAATGGGTCCGCTGTGGGATCCGGTTGCCAATGCCTTTGCTTACAACTACACCTTTGACTTCAATCGTCATCGCGCCGCAGAAGAGAACAACCGATTTGCTCCCTTGGCAACCACAAGCCACGCCGATCCTCCGACTAACTGGTTGACTTACTTTGGCCAGTGGGGAGACGAACAATATCCGTTGACCGACGTGCGACAGTATGAGATTCTGAATATTCCCTCGCTGGCGTACTTTCAAAGTGGGCCGAACGGACCAGTGTTTAAACATCTTATCCGATCTACGGTGTGTCCGCCGGGCGTCAGTTGCACGGTCAAGACTTCGTTGGATCAAGCCAGATGAAGTACATGGATGACATGAGACTCAAGAAGGATTCATCACGCATGAATATTGTGCTCATCACATATTACACCCGAGATCGAACAAAAGCAACGCATCGATCGGAAGGATGAAGAGTGTATCACTGAGCTATATGTTCCTTCAACCCATGAACTTGGGCAAACTGATCGCAGAGCTCAATCTGTGCAGGAGAGGATACTTATTGAGTGAACATTAACTGTACTTACCTGAATATCATAGCATCTGACAAAGTTCCCATTCCGTCCCCTTCGACCTTGGCTTGCTTGCTGATATGACTCTGAGTCAATGGATACTTGGAGTTGCTTGAACCATAGCGATTACTTACGTGCGACTGACAATTGGGTACCTGGTCCCTAACATCCTGTAATAATTCACAAAGCTGACTGTTAAACCATCAATCCTTGAACATCTTTCCCGCTTGTTCCCAGTCCACTACCAGTAGGATTCTGCGGACCCCGCCATCTCCTCCCGCAGGCAGCAGCGGCTCAAGAACAAACCCACCTCCATTGACGAAAGACTAGCAAAGGAATTCTTGTCTCCAGCTTCTATTTCTTGGTAGACACAGACGCCGTCCTTTTTACCCGCAATCGCCTTGAAGATGAAGTCACAAGAGAGAGTCAACATACGATCGCCGGCTGGAGCAGCCGCAGTGTACAAGGATGTGGCTGGGCTCGATTCACTCAAAGAAGAAATACGCGTGCTTCATCTGGAGTGCGGCTCTGGATCATCCCTTCTGCAGTGCACCCTCCATCGAGTCTCTCTTCGGTCTGATCCGCCGCCCAAATACGAAGCGCTGAGCTACACATGGGGCGATGAAAACGATAGAAGAGAGATTGCCGTCAACGGTTACATCGTTGATGTTACAGTTAATCTTTATTCAGCTCTTCGCCGGCTCAGACTGGAGAATGAAACCCGCGTCTTGTGGATCGACGCTCTATGCATCAACCAGACAGACTTGGATGAGCGCTCTCAACAGGTGCAGCTGATGCGGAGCATCTATACCATGTGCGACCGAACGGTGATTTGGGTTGGCGAGACGCCAGAAGACATGTCGCCTACTTGGGCGATGCATTGGTATGGAGACGAGAAAGACGATGAATCGATGGACTGGTTCTGGGACGAGTTTTATCCAGAAGCTGATCGCTCGAGTGTTGACGGAAACGATTTCGACCGCATCTTTCACGCATTTGCAAATATCAGGCTGTTCACTGGCGGCCATCTTTCCGACCAGCCACTCTTCACGGACCTGACAGGAGACGAGTTTTCGTACCCCATCTCATATCCAGATTATTGTCGTCAGGTCGCTGATGCTCTTGCGCCTTTCTATGAAAGTCCCTGGTGGACGAGAATCTGGGTCAGCCTCTTGAAGCATCCTCTTAATCTTTTCGGCTTCATGCTAAAACATTCAAATGCAGACTGTCCAAGAGATCATCCTCCCTCCCAAGGCAACATTCCTTTATGGACCAATCTCAATCGACATATCCCTTCTCCTTGATGCATTTGCTGCCCTCACCGCCCACATGTTTGAGTCGTGTTGTGCAGAAGTGTTCTCAAGCTGCAACTTTAGGGTCAGGAAATGCCTTCGAGAGCTGGGAAGTGCTCTGACAAACATCAAGAACATAAGAACCAGTCATGGCAAGGGCGCAAGCGTAGATCTTTGGGAGACCATGACCACCTTTCGGGCCAGATTTGCAACAGATAACCGGGATAAAGTCCATGGAGTTTTAGGTCTGGTCAACTCATGGCCTGGGCAACCGATCATTCCCAATTACAGAACGACAGCTGAGGCAATCTATTGTCAAGCCGTTATCTCAACGATTCAGGGCACAAAGTCTCTACTGCCTCTCCATTTCCCGCTTCAGAAGCATGACTGCCCTGGTCTTCCTTCATGGTGCGTGGACTGGACCGCAGCCAGTGGACTTGCTGATCAGCTCAACGTCTACCAGTGGAGCCAACAACCCTTCAGGGTCTTTCCGACTCATGAACAGGAACAATTTCGCATGATTCCTCACGCCAACAACCGTATCCTTGAAGTCAGTGGGCGTCGTGCCGATAGAGTGGCCTCAGTTGGCAGAATATGTCAGGGGAACGTACCAAGTGAGAAGCGCCAGGCTTACTGTGATTGGTTTGTACTCGCAGACCTTCATCGCAACCCATCAAAGACTAATGCTGCTGGATGTTCGAACTTTGAGGCATTTTGGAAGTGTCTTTGTTGGGACATGATTCTGCACATGCGAGAAGTTGCTGTAGCAGAATCCGCAAGGTCTACCGGCGCCCAAAGTTATGAAGCTTTTGTGGGCTATTGCCACAGTTCTCCCAAGTCAGTCTTTCACCCTCAGGGGCTGTCTCAGGCCGACCGAGAGGCTGTACTGCGGCTCGATCCAGGATTCGAGACGACAGAGGTTACGGGTTGGGGTCATTACTCGCAGCCCGACTTTCTCACGGAGCAGTGGATTAATGGTCTAACTCTGAACACGACCATGTTCGTCACAGATTCGGGATACTTTGGCCTTGGGCCCCCTGAAACACAAGTGGGAGACGAGGTTTGGTGCCTCTTTGGCGGCCAGATGCCTTTTGTACTCCGAACACTGAAGACAACACAAGAAGTAAGTCCGGGCCAAGGAGGCAAGGAGCTTCATAAGGTGTTTGGGACCTGTTATGTGCATGGCATCATGGATGGTGAAATCGCGAATGATACGAAAATTCCGGTTGAGACCTTGTTTCTAGCTTGAAAGAAGATGTTCGCTAATAACTACCTACAATAACATATTGAGGATGGACTTATGCAGAATAATACGCCAGATTACTTTTCATAGACTAGTTACGTATCCAATTTCCTTTCCAAGAGCTCCTCATTAGCGGCATCCCGACATTCGTCTCCAACAGCAGCGTCATTTCCAACACTTCCCTAGTGTTCCCTCATAGCTCTTAGCTCGACATCGTTCGATTTGTCCAGAGTGCTATAACGTTTTGCTTTCCTTCTTGGAAATAGCTGTTTCGGCTCGGGTATGTGGCTGATAACCAGAATAACAAAATAACAGATCGCAATCGTCGGTAGGGGCCACGGCGTTGGTAGGAAGTTGGAGAGAGCACCTTGGTTGTACGTGAGCAAGCTGATCAATGCAAGCCCAAAGCCCATGCCGACGGTGAACATGGCTCGAAGTATGTTGAAGACCGACCACCCGCGTTGCTTACACACAACGTGTAGAGCGGTCATCAAGATCAAGACCAGGCCGGCAGTGATGAAGGCGTAGATGAACTTGTAGTATAAGTCAGCTGAAAGAACTGCAGAGGAGACAATGGAAAGACGTACGACAGTTCCAAACTTATGCGCAGTGGCGAGATATGCGGCCTCCGCGGCAGACTGTACGTCTGTAGATTCGGGCTCATCGGCAGGTGCAGCGAGGCTGAACGACGCGAATATGCCGTTGAAGACAGTTTGGGCGAGATCCCTTGTGCCATTCAGCCAACGAACCATCTCTGGGTCGTTATTGCCCAGTCGGCCGCTCTCAGCCCAGAAGGACTTGGGAAGGCTAAGCAGGCTCTCATACGTTCTTTCGACATCGTCCCAAGCGGCAACCTCCTCTTCCGGAGGGTAAGCCTCCAAGAGCTCCGTGACCGTTTCGTTCAGTGCCCGGACTACTTCTTTGGTGGTTGGGTTACTAGGTAGCTCATGCGTAATGTCGACAATGCTTTGGGCGGCCGACTTGATCGACTGAAGCGCCTGAGACCAAGCGATGAACTGATTTGCGCCCTCCAGTAGGAGAACCAGTGCGATATGGAATGGAAGATGCCAGGAAACCCATAGCATTTGTCGCGTATGAGCCAGTTTGCCGGAATGCATCCAGTCGAAGTACATCTGGTAGACGAAGTAAATCAAGGCAACTGCACATGTGACGACTCCAATGAGAGCGGCGGCTATCAATAGTATTAGTCAAGTGCAGTAACAATGGATGAAAAGTAGTCTCGCTTACACCACATGTTGCCACTATTCTTCAAGAAGGTGTTCTTCACAACTGTCTGTATGTTCCTGGCTATGATGATGGCCCCTGTGTGGCTGGTCAGCATATGACCACTTCGGCATCGGCAGGCTCCGACTCACCTTCGCCAAGGATGATTAAAGTGAGTAGGTTCATGCGCTCGCTGAGATGAGTTTTAGACAAGCTAAGTGCCTTGATACTGGAGAGGCCGAGGTGGATGACGACCTCGGTTATTGCCCCGATATACCAGCTGACGGCAACGACTGAGCTTGCTTCATCGACAGATAAGAAAGATACAATCAGATATATTCTGCATAGACGCTGGTAAGAATCATTCAGGGTACGGCGTGGACTCTTGGCTACGTTTTTTGGGGAAGAGTAAAGGCTTCACTTACATGGCAAACAGCAGATGAAATCCTCCTGCAATCAGAAGCGGCTTTCTGCTCTCCCTGTGTTTGCGAATCTGGAAGAAAATCATGAAGTACTGAAGCGCGAGCATGAGCCTAGAGACCATAAGAAACAAACCTGTTGTTCATGGCTCTATTAGCTGAAGCCGATCAAGAAGCGAAGTGGAACTTGAACATACACATGGCCCGAAAGACGGATTTTGCTTCCTTGAAGAAGTCAAACGTCGGGCCAAGTTCTGCGAAGCCGACCATGACGGCCAAGTGCACGGCACGACAAACTCGATCCCAGACACTGTCTGTGACATAGCGGACGTCGTATAGGGTCGTTAAGAGCCAGGTTGCCCAGAGAAGCCTAGGACAAAGTTAACACGATTTCATATCGGGAAGTTTGCTCTAGCTTGGTGGTGTGCATACAAGATATATCCCACAAACGATCCAAGAGTAGAAGCATCGTTGATTTCGTGGACCTGGAAAGCATAATGCGTAAGTTTGTGCATTGATGGACTACATAGAAAGCGAACATACCGTTGAGAAAACGTTTAGGTTTGCGACAAACCAAAGGTCATAGAATAGCTGAATCTCCTGTCAGTTGATCCTTCACACAGAGGCCGGCATCAAAGTCACCTCGAGAGTGGAAGAAGTTTCATGCTACCATCTTCCAGTCAGCATTGTCTCTGCAAGAAATGGCTGGAAGCATGTACCTTGGCAAACTCCAAACCGTCATCCACATCCGTATCGGCAATGAACTGAGAATCTCCAGCATTGCCAAGCGTTGTCTCTTCGATATTCTTTCTCTCGGCTAGTGGACTTTTAATCAGTTGAAGGGTGGTGCTGGTGTAAGCGGTGGGTTCAGGGCCCTCGCCATGAGCCATAATGTTTACACAAGGAAGCTATACAAAAAAGATCAGAAAAGAAGGATTGTCGACATAGAATTACTAGAGGCTAAATTATTATGTTTTACATCAAACTTGACTTGTAGATGAGAATGTCTCTTCGTTATATAAGTACGCTCACATTACCTATACGAGGTAACTTTTGCGCTGGTTGCAATGCGCTGGAAGGATTCGACGTCAGCGTCAGAGCTGCGGCGCAGGTTGTCAGAAGCTCTGCAGTTCGCCTTATCGACTGCGTCTTGAAATCCTACCATAAGTCTGGCTGAATATCCTGATTCGGTTGTAAAATGTCAATTGCAGTCGAAATAACCAATCAAGGGCGCAAATAGGCCACCCCTATGCTACTCATCGTCGCCGAGTCCACGGTATTCTGGAGAGCAAAACCTGTAAGATCTGTAGCCATTTCAGGTTGGCATAGCCCTGACGATCCCCATTACCCGATTCGGACAACAACGCGGTAGGAAGCCAATAAGATCTGCGCCGAACTTCCGGGTCGGCTGAGTGCCTGACTCGGAAGGGTTGTTAGTTGGTAAGGCTCGATTCCTACCAGCGCTACTCGGCGGTCGCTTTTAGCTCTTCATGTATTAGAGGACTGCATTTACGGGGAGACCGTGTGGCTTATGTCGATGCTCAACCTCTCCTCGTCGAAAGAGTCCCACGCCCTCATCTGCAGAGTGCTGCATTAGCGAATGGTGATGTCGTCTACTCCGTCATGAGGGAACCGATGCGTTAGCATCAACTATAATAGAATCTTACAACTGCAGCAGTTTGAAGTGAATGGCAATGACCATGCTTTCCTGATTTGGATATTATTGCGTCCTCCTCATTCTGAGGAGGCTTGCAGTATGCTCGAGAGAGTGATATAAAGATGGCGCATTGTAGCTTCTCATCATTGTTCCAGCATTCTTCAGTTCTCCGTATCTTCCTCACCAGCGTCATCACAGCTGAACCGCTTTTTCGTCTCTTTTCTCTGTACAAGGACCATCATGTGGTTCTTCAATACGAAGCTCTGGCTTCCAGCATTGCTTGCTCTCCAAGCTAATGCGGTGAACGCCCAAGCCAATTCACCCAACTGCACAACCGAGACCCAATTCTTCACGCAGCTGGTTGACCATAACTCGACTGCAAATGGGACTTTCCAGCAACAGTATCAGATACTCAAACCGCACTTTAAACCCGGAGGTCCCATCTTCTACTATCAGCAAGCCGAAACTGGAACATTCTCCTGTTTGGTATATATATAATAGAAATAAACCTCGACCAAGTGTCCATGCTTACTTGTTATAGGAGAGAACCATTTACCCAGAATGGGCCGAAGAGATTGGTGGCATGGTGATCAGCCTCGAGCACCGCTTCTTTGGCCTTAGCGATGCATCCAACGCCACGGACCCCATCGAAAAGTACAAGTCACTGACTCTTGAGAATGTCATGTTGGATGCCGTGACATTCATCAGTCACATCAAGCATACTATCCCCGGAGCCAAGGATAGCAAGGTTATCGTATCTGGCGGCTCATACGGTGGCTTTTTGACTACGGTACTCAAGATGAACTATCCTGAGGTGTTCTTTGGAGCCATTCCCTACGCTCCTCCGCTTGGATCAATTGGAGCAAACTACCAGAATCCGAGGCGATACGACTGGTTCAACTGGGTATGTTGTCATCAAGAGAGTTGTTGTTAGATTGTATCTGCTGACAGAATGCAAAATTAGGTCAACCAGGTCTACTGGGATCTATCCGCAGCGGCGGCGAGCAAAATGAGGGATGCTTTCACTTTGCTTGCAAAGCGTTTCGAAAACTGTACGTTAAAGAGCCTCGTTACCGACTGGGTTTATCAATTGAGATTGACCTCAACTAACGTCTCGAAGTGGGCGAGGTAGAAGACATTGCGAAAGATCTCAATCTCTGCACCGTTCCAAAAACAGCAGCAGACCTTCAGCTAGTGATGGGCGTGATCACTACCAACGCAGAACTGATCCCCTTGCTCAGTTACAGCAGTCCAGACGCAAACCCTTACGGCGCTACTCCTCAGAAATTGGTCAACATAACGCTCAGCGCAAAGGACCCAATCGACATTGTCAACGCAACTCTGGCGCTGCGAAACCCGCCCGATCTGGTTCCTTGCATCTCCTGGAATTCGAACCAATCTTCGGAAGCAAGTCTGCAGAAGGCCCCTTTCAACTATCTTCTGTGCAATTACTTCCCCTTGAGCGTCAATGAGATTCTCAAAGGGAACATCTACCCTCCGACGTCTGTTCAAACAGAATCAGATCCCATGACCTGCGAAACCCTTTTCAAGCTTGTTCCCCCAACCCAAGCCGAGGTTGAGGCAAAGTGGCACATATCACGAGCCGACCTCATCCAAGCGCCTCGTATCATATTTGCCTATGCGGAGAACGATCCCACTAGTGGTGTCGGCATCCATCCATTTCCTCCCTCGCCAGACCGCAATGCCTCCAGATGGATGATGACTAGCCTGGCCGCGCATGGAGAGGAGTCTATTGCGTCTTTCAAGGGAGACAAACCCAGTGTCATCCATGTAAGCTCAGCAGAACATGACCTAAATAACCACGGCTAACAGATTCATCCAGGCCAGACGCGTACAGCTGGAGACGATCAAGGAGTGGCTTGGACTCTACTGAGAGATAGACATGTTGGCCGGTGCTCGTATGTGAGGGGGTTTGAGAGGGCACTTAAACCCATACTTCTTGTTCAATGCAGCATTCACTTTCTTGAGATCTAGTTGACTTCATTTCTTTGTTATCTAGATCTCAGTCTCGCTATACTGAGTCTTCTTGGAGGAGGTTGGAGGCCTTTTCTATCTACTTTACAGTACTCAGACTTTCTCATAGACCTTAAGTGGCACGGTTGCAGAATTAGACGTCTCGGTACAAAACGAGAGGAAATTTCATACTCTTTATTTGAGACCCTTCAAAATCATCATCGACATGGTGTCCAAGTACTCTCCAGTATATGTGACATAGAGTCCCCCAATCAATAGGTTAATCTTGTCTAGAATCCACTTCTTCACTTTCTGGTCGCTCACAGCGTATGCAACAATCAGGGGCACCTGCAAGAACTGGGCTCCCAGCGGTTTCGAAAGACTTGCATATTCGTAGCACATGCAGATCCGCCGCGCAGTGTCAGCAATGCTCAGTCGCAATCTCGGATCAGCGACAAGATTAACCAGACAAAGCTCCGTAAGTAGCAATGCCATCCACCGCCATGTATGGAATATAGCGCCCTCGTGGGAGTGGAAGTGAATGCTGAGCGGGAACTCGTCATCTAATGTCGAAGATCGATGCTCTTCAAATCCAAGATCACCCTCGAGGCTGGCAGACATTGAGCCCCGAGGCGAAGCCGCTCGTAGCTCCTGTTGCAACCTCCTCCCGATATCTGTAATGTCGTGCAGACCTAGCTCAGATACCCCAGCTTTCCAATCCACAACGTATTTAACGAGGGTGGGAATCCTGCAGATGCTCTCGAACAGGTAGTCGACGCTCGAGAATCTGATGCTCCGGCATTTCTCGGGGCAAATGTCTTGCCATCCACCCGTCAGTAAAAAGCAGTGTTCCCCTCGGAGGAGCGCTTCAAGGACCTAAGAAGATACATAAGCTCCAATGACCACAGAATTGTAAAGATTTTGCAAAACTAACGATTCGGCCTCGTTGAGTGCGAAAGAGGCTATACTCGAAACTTGTGCGTACACGCCTCGGACCGCGGACAAATATCAGTTTCGACGCACCGCCAGCATGCGCTATGTATTGGTGAGAACGTCTTTCTGGGGCCATCATCTGTGCAAGGTCAGAAAAGGGCGTTTCAACAAAAATGACCTTCTCACCTCATAGTGAGCCATCAGCATAGTGGCACAAACCGTTTCGGCAGAAGTGCCCAAAACAGGATCTGCAATCACATTCTGCAGGGTTTGTAGGGCTCTCATATACTCGGGGCTGGGCTGGGTGCTGGGCTGAGAGAATTGGATTGCTTCAAGCAATTGGGCATGGGATTGCAGAAGACATTCTACTGCAATATCGAGGGCTGGGTTGTGACCAAGGCGACTAGGTATCTCGCTCATGTATCTGCCAAGATGATGCAGCCGATAACCATACGGAGGGGCTTTGAACGAAGCGGCCAATGCTGAGGCGAGCTTCTCTCCCCGAGACAAACTGGGAGCCTTGGGTACGGAAGGGCTGGATTCCCCCGACGAAGACGGAGGCGTTGTCGACCGGTAGCGGAGCAGCTGGAACTTGTAGATCATTCCATCGTCGTCGCCTTCTCCATGAAGCAGGGTCAGCTTGGCCTTCAATTCTTCCGTCCCCGTTCTCGGAGGTGTAGGTCGCTCTCGAGCCTCGGGTGCTGCGAATCGTGTATTCGTGTCGACAAAGTGGAACTGAGGCGGATACACGCATTCCCGACCTGCTCGCAGACAGCGATCACAAATTGGGCGGTTTTCATCGCACTGCATCAAGTGACGATGTCAGCAATGCTTTCCAAAATCTACCTAGATAGACTTCATCGTTCACCTTCATCTTGATTCGCCGACAAGCCCCGCACCCAAAGCTTCTTCTCGAGCCTCGATGCATTGCTTACCAGTGCTGGTCGTAGTTGTCGAGCTCCGAGAATGTGAAACGCAATGTCTTGACTCCGGACCGTGGGGTCCTGTATGAGTGAAGAATACTTGATATGGGGAGTCGTATGGGGAGTCGTTGCAAAGCTGCGCCTTGCCTCTAATATATATGCTGAAGCTTGTCTGCTTCGCGAGCTGCTTCGCCTGGCCTTGGGTGCAACGTGCATTGCAGGGTCGACGTAAAGCAGTGCTCGCATATGTACTGTGGCGCAGGGGTAGGGTGATCTTTCGAACCGTTTTGGGCAATCAACGCGGTCGAACTACCGCAGTCCTTATGCCGGAGGATTTGGGGTCAGCCTCGACAGTGGCCATTGTGAGAAGCCGTGATGGGAATGTCATTGGATGCTGAAGTCTAGCTCAGAACCCAATCCTGCACATAAAGCTTGTGGATAATATCGATGCCATGCATCAGAAAGACTTAAAACATGGCGATTATCTTGCAGCGCGAGTATTACCGTCGCCAAACATAGACGCGCACACACTGTAGCATCCGACTATGGCATAGATATGAGCAGTATCAAATTCTCTCATGATTGTTAATGGCCAGCCGGCTATGTGCACCAACCTCCATTTAGAAACTCAGTGAGAATAGAATATCCAACGCCTTCACTCGCCGAGTAATAGCCGCTCCCAACATAGCATAAACGAAACCACCCCGGCAAACAACGTACATGTAGACGTCTGCAACCCCGCACCAACTCGGGCATCGAGTCTCGATTTCCAAGCTGTACGGACCAGTTTGGCATCTCAGTGCCGTTCATCCTACTCCCTACTATAGCATCTCAAGATGAGCTATCCCTGGGGTATTGATGGACTAGACAGGTCTCGATTTGAAGCCTATGCTAAACTCCTACGGCTGAAAAATGGCGGTCAGGTTGAGAAAGCTTCAAGCTTTTCTGAGGCGCCCGACGAAGAGACAGAAGCAGATATGCTAGACGACACTGATTCAGTCAACGCGAACGCAATTTCAATGTTTGATGAGAAAAAACTAAAGAGAGCCTTCCTTGATAGGTTGTCTGAGCTTGTTGCGAATGAGAAAGGAGGCTATCATGTCTCCTCATCTCTGATGATCGAGTGGCCAGATCGAATTGACATTCTCGTGGCAAGGAACAATGGTTTCAAGAAAGCAGATGCGACTCTCCGCATGTTGGAAACTATAACATCTAGCCTTCGAGACATCTCTAGGCTTGCTTCCTCAGGTCTGACATGTCGTGCCTATTTGAACATGGCGAGATGCTAATAGCGATGCCGTCTAGATCCTGTCGCCATTTCTGCCAAACAGAACCTTTTGGCATCATTGGTTCAATTGTACAAGCCCAGGTTGAACGATTACATGGTTCAAGCCAAACGTGCCCTGAAGGCGACTAACCGATCAGCGACGATTCATTTTGAGACCCTAACCTTGGCCGATCGCACGCCATCTCTTCCTTCACAACTCGAGGGAATTCGCTCCCTTATAGACGTTGTCACAAGTTCGCCAACGCAAGGTGGCATCGAACAGCTAATCATGAGCGCCCACGACATTTACGCCTCATACAAAGACACTGACTTTGACGAGATCACTGGCAACCATACCGACATCAAATTGCTAAGAGACGCGCTGGGATTCCTCGGCAGGTTACAGACATGCTTCAACACTTTGACGAGAAGTGCAGAGAGGCTCTCAAGCTTCCAAAATCTCCGGATACTCCCAGTGATAAATACACCGACCGGCCAAGCAAAAGGGAATATGACCGTCCGAAACAATGCCTGGTCGTTGGCAAAGACGTTCTCATCTCTGGGCCTTGCATTAGACGACATGACAGTAGAATCCATTGTCGGAACTGGGAAAAAGAAAGGGGGGTGGACAAAGAACAAACTGCTCCAAAGGTTCGACAAACTAAAGGCCGCGGTCTTCGAAGTGCACGCGGAAATGCAAGTCATGTTGGCGGCGACACAACACGACTGTACGGGTGCGGCCATATTCAAATACATCGGCTGCAGTAAGCGCAGCTGCTTTCTTTGCTCTAGGGCTGTTCAAAATTACGGGTCCTACACGACAAGAGGATGCCATGGCAAACTCTACAATCTTTGGACAGTACCAGAGCTTCCATGGCTTGCTGAGGAAGAAGCCTTGAAGCTCGTTCAGGCTATCAAGAATGTCGAGAAGGCCATGAAAGAATTCATACGCAATAGGAAGACTGACGGGCTTCTTCTCGGTCGTGAGTCTACTATCGGGGGCTCTTCGGTTGCGACCAGGCGACCGCAATTCAGCGAGAACCCTGTTATCATATCCTTCGTCTCAGATTATCTAAGAGCTCAGCGCCAAGGAATGATGTCCAACTCTGGTGAAGAAACAGGCTTTACAACCCCCGAGTAAGCGTCCAATTCTGAACTGATCACATTACAATCCTGACATGCTCTGACAGGGGATCAAGTCAGTCTTTGCCAAGCGGAGCTCAAGATGAAGCTGATAACGATGCCTTTTTGGGTGGACAAACCCAAGACGGGACCACGAGAAACATATTTGAAACCGAACAAATGCGAGGTGAATGCGAAATATGCGAAATAGAGACTGATCGTCGCTGTCAATTCTGCAGCCTGGCTTGGTTCTGTAGTAGACAGTGTCAAGATCAGATGCGATTCCGTCACCTCACTAAGTGTTCAGCTCGCTCGATAACAACTGCCGACATACTTTATGAAGACGCACTTGAAGATCGAATTCCCCAAGACCCAGAGACACTTGAGCATTATGGGTTCGCCCGGTGCCGCGATCGCAGAGAGCAATCTCACCTCCTTGGCCTCTACCAGGGTCTCGTACGTCGTTTGAGGATTGGAGCCATCCAGCTGAACGAATGGCGAGTGAGAGATATACTCGGTAGCAAAATCATCGAGACGTTTTCCAAACTACCTGCGCAGTATCGTGGGGGCTACTTCCCATGGTTCCTCCGAAATCAGCACATTCTGGATAAGTCAAGCCCGCCTCTTGATCTCCACTTCAAGGATAATCCCCTTGGACGAGCTATAACTATCGCAAAGCAATACCTCGACGAAGAGGATCGTGTCAAGGAAATAAGGCAGCTTGAGCCTCTATCGAAACGGCATTGCTTCCTGTTTTACGCCATGGCCCTGGACGGCTCGCATCCAAACCCATCTTGGGCTGGATTTGATATGTGGTACGATTTCGGCTTCGCAACTTGCCGCGGCGAAGACGACGAAAGTGGCCTTGGGCATCTATATACTTTCCTTGTAGGTGGTCATAAAACATTGAGAGATTACGACCAAAGTCTAGGGATCAAACCAAGGGACTACCCCGATCGGCCCACATGTTCATTCAACGAATTATGGGTGGCTTATGAAACCGGCAGCCTTTCGAAGCTCTTCGATCAATATGGTTTTAGCTACTCGTTACGCGCTGACTCTGGCCTGCGGGAATTTTTATCCTTCCCGCCACATCAAGACGCACTGCGCCCATCGGTTTGGAGGTTGAAGCACTTCCTGGCTCTCGATCATAACATTCCACTAGGCAATTTCCCCATGATTGAAGCAGCCGCCCGGGAATACGGATTCTTATCGCAGCTCGACCCAGTGACAAGGTTGGCTTTAAGGAACTTTTACGAGCGGCTGTTCAAGGAGATCAATCCACTCAGGGTCCATGAAGCCAAGAATCGTGGCACATTGCTCGAGTATGCGGAAAGCAGCCTTGATGTCATTGACAATGGTGTCCGGAATGTGTTGCGAAGGCTTGGCTGAGAAGGACTGCACTGGTCTGGCAGACTGATAGTATTCACAGTTCGTATGTACAACGGAAAACGAAACCTGAATAGCATTTACGATCTAAATGTATGGCTTTGACTTCTATTCAACCCGGCCTGCTTTGACTTAGGAAGTAGCTAACCAGCACCCCAACTTTGGTATCCAGCATCCCAAATTTATTGATACAGAGCATAAGACTTGTCTTAAGAACGCATGTGACAAGACTAGATGTTGATCGCGATAGTAGAAGAAAGTAGAAACCTTTCTGATATCTAGAATAGTGCTAACAGTACCTAGGTCACAGTGAAAAAAAAAAGCAGATGGGATTACTGGATAACTTAGTTGGGATGCTGGCCTGCTACTCCCTTAGATGCTCAACGTCTAACGAAACGGTTCACCAACTAGGCAACAAGTCTACAACGCCAGACGAGGTATCGAACTAAAGGTTCCCAGAAATCTCCCGAGTCACGCTGAGTGGCAGATTCCTTTGCCGCCGGGGCATTATGTATATATGTTTGCTGATCGGGGACTTTCTTTACCAGCGGCGAGTTGGGCATCGGAAATACAGGCTTCTTCTTAACTTTCAATACATGCTCAGGTTTGCATGTATAGACACAAGTTTAAACGTAGAAGTCGTCACCTGTCCATCCATAGGTTGTGCAATTTTCCCAATAGAAGAAATAGCTGCGTCAGATAATGGGATCAGCCCTTCGCATCGAGGCAACGGAATGTCTTGGAGCCACCTCTGTTTTCTTCAACCGCGAGGCCGTGATTTTAACGTGGTGAAGGCCTCACCTGTGCCCCTACTATAAGGTGGTTCGTCACCATCCCAAGCACATACGACCATAGGTAGTGGAAAACTCGGGGTCCCGTCTGCTCCCCCATAGATAAGCCACTAACCGGCAGATTAGTAGTTGGGTGGGTGACCACCAGCGAACACCGGCTGTTGTATGTTTTTTGTCTTTTTTTGCTCTTCAAAATATCTTGTAATTCTTGTGGTTGTGCCTGAAGACAGTTGTTGTGAGCTTTGTCTTTTTTTCTTGGTTTAGTAGAGGCAAGGGTTCATGTGCTGGCTCATGCAGCTACTGAAGGCGGGGTCCTTTACTGCGACTCTACAATGTACCGGTGAAATCAGACTTATGGTCCAGTGCAAGCAGATGAAAAGTCATATTGTCAACTTTCGACCTCCTCGATACTTTCTATATATAAAACGCGATCAATGGCCCATAGTGTCCTCCACGGGAAACTCAATTGCCGAACCCGGTCACAAGCTTGACAGTTTCAGCCACGCTCGTAGGCTTCAATCCCAGGAGGTCGTTGGACAAATCCTCATCCGTGGCGTAATTCGACTTCAAGCCAGGCGTGCAGCTGTAACTGGTTGCTCGAACCAGAGCATAAGCACCACTGAAGTCGCCAGCACTCAATTTCTGGATAGCGGCATCAACCTGCTCCTTGGTCGTCGTGTTGTTGACAGTCCATTTGGCACCAGTGGCATGCTCCAAAGCAGCCAAGATCTCGTTTTGGCTGGTCTCAACGGACGAGACAAAGAGATATTTGTTGGCAGTCTCCTCAGCGTTTTGCAGCACTGACGCAACGGCCTTTCCAAGGTCCTTCTCGTTGGTCAGGGTGAACCTTTTGTTCCCACCATCCCATATGGTAGCAGTCTTGTTCACGAGATCGTATTCGAGGAATCCATTTCTCAGACCCTGTGTTACCAGATCAGTTATTTTTTGGAACTTCAAAGATCCAAGTCCGACAAAACCTTGCTTACCCAGTCAAACAAGAGCGAAGTAGCAATACCCGTCCAAGAGAATGTAGCAGATTGCTTGGTCTTCAGGTACTCAATGAGTTCCAACTTCTGGCCAAAGAGCGGCAGCAGCTGAAGAACACCAGCATCCTGGCTACTCGAAGAAAACTCAGAAGGCAGGAAACGCTTGACTCCGGCACTCATTGCAGCATCAACGAGTCTCTTCTGCTCTCCAAGCCCAGCGGCTCCAACGGCGGAGATGACGACATCCTGGCCTTTGAAAGCAGACTGGAGGTCGGAGTCGGTGAAGTCTGACTTGTAGACGTTCACATCAGGTGGGAAAGTAGCCGAGCTGTCTTTGCGGGAAACGACAGTGAGGTCAAATCCACCCGCGGTGATCAGTCCTTCGAGGATGATTTTGCCGATACTACCACTGGCCTATAACAGTATCAGTAAAGGTATGGGTGACAAGGGTAGTGTCGGTATGTATGGCCACATACACCCACAATAACAACGTTCTTGTAAGTCATTCTGGACTTGTTGAGGTGAAACTTTTGTCTCCTCAAGGCAAACAAGTCAAAGAGGATGCAAAAGGAAGGGATTTGTAGTCCGCTCAAGCGATGTTTTGCTCTTGCAGTTGTGGCTAGATGCCTCGACCTTTAGAAAAGAGACGGCCAAGGAAGGGAGGATGCTCGATATTTATATCCAAGAGTAGCAGTTCCAAGAAGACCCATCCTGTTATCAAGGAGCACAGCAGCTCTGAGAAATCACTGGAAGGTAAAGCTACATCGCACTTCGAACGCTTGAGTTGTTGACCATCAGACTCAGTCACTCGGCAGTTCACTTACACCCAGTCCGCGAGTATTAACCTAGCTCCTGACACGGGACGCTAGACTGCATAAAGTGCAAGCAAAAGAATAACGATTGGTTCAAAACCCTGGCTCCGATTATCTGTGACCGACCGTCTCATCAATCTTACGCATGAACCAACAGTGATCCTGCTTAGAAATGCGGATGCGCTCCGTGATGTCCGCTCTCACCAATCGGACGCTCCTCCGCACCTCCGCCGCTGCAACTTACATACACCTCTTCCCTGCATTTCAGCTGAGCAGCAGGTATATTTGGACAGTACGATTCTCCCAGAAACTTCAATGCCCAGAGGCAACTTCGCGATCAACAACTCACGGTCTCAACAGCCTACACAGAAAACTTCGAAGCCCATGAACCGCAGGACGATTGCTCCAGGACGCTCGTGTCTTGAGTGTCGGCGGCGCAAAATAAGGTGTGACAGGTCCATGCCATGTGCATATTGCACACGCATCAAACTTCAATGCAAATATCCTTCGTCGCGACCAACCGTTGATGCTGCTGAAGATGACGACCTAGCAGCTCGAGTGCGGTCCGTTGAGCGTGCCTTACAGTCCCTCGAAGAAAAGATAACGCATATCTGCAACCTGTTGCAAGTTGGCCAAGAACCATCAAACGGGCGGCATCAGAGCACTGAACATGATTGCGGAACCCCTGTTGTGAGCAACCATCAAAAGAAGATAGCCCTGGCTCTACTCCTGTATTAATTGGCTGCTCTCTGCCTTTAGCACGCTACTCGTGAACTGCCCAGTCCAGACTTGTCTTTTGCACGAAACATTTGGCTGCCAAGTATATATCGCAACACTTCCGCAACTCAGGAGTTAATATTATTCCGCCTTTCCCAAAGCTACTCCTCGGACTGCTGGGACGAGAATTCACGCCCTCTCAAACGGCTTCATCCTTCGGCAGCAAAAGTCTCGTTCATCTGGCAGACGTACCTCGACGTAATCGATCCTCTTGTCAAGGTCTTCCACATTCCCTCTGTGCAACGATATATTATGAGCACAATCGAGGGCCGAGAAGCGGTTGACCCATGCACAAATTGCGTGGTGTTTGCCATCTACTATGCCACAGCGATATCGCTGTCGGCAGCAGAATGCCGCCATGAACTGGAGGAAGAAAGACCAGTTCTTCTACAGAGGTACGCGCCGTTGTACGACTCATTATTCCTACCGTACCTTGTTTTGACATTCGGTGTCTTAGATATCGAGAGGGGCTGGAGCTATCTCTCGACGCAGCAGACTTATCGACTTCTCAGGATATCATTGTTTTGCAGGCGTTCGTTTTGTACTTGGTAATATCCCTGGATCAAAGCATCTGAGTGACCGAAGCTCATGGCTAACTTCCCTTGTGTTCTCCAGATATGCGGGCGTCAGGATGCAAATGGCCCCGACGTCAGCAAATTACTTTTACTCGCCATTATAATGGCGGGACGCACGAAGATTCACCCCCTTTCAGATAGCACCATTGGCACATTTGAGCGCGAGATGAGACGTCGATTGTGGTGGCAGATATGCACGTTGGACGTCCAATATGCCCAAGAATCTGGCTACAAACCATTGATGAGTGGGCGGGAGTTTCCTACGGAGTTACCACTCAACGTCAACGACATTGCCTTAGGCCCTGACATGGGCGAACCGCCAATCTCACAGCTCGGTCGCAGCGAGATGCTGTTCTACCTCGTCCGATTTGAAGCGAGTAATTTTGCTCGACGAGTTCTCTTCTCAGATACCTTCTGTGACAGCAACAGCTATCAGGCAATGACTGGAGCGCAGAAAATAGAAGCTCTGGACAAGTTTAGAGAGCGAATTGAGAAGCAGTACCTCTCGCATCGCTACGCGACAGTTCTTCTAGATCGCACTATGGTCAAAAGTTGTCAGCTCATTCTCGCAAAGTTGACGATGGATGTTTACAAGCCGCATCCAAAGGGAATGCCTCTATGTACCAAGTATCGCGAAGCGTGCGAGGAAGTGATGGGGGTCGCGCAAGATCTGCGCCGGGATAGCAGAGGGCGCAAATGGCTGTGGTTCTTTGATCCATGCATTGAATGGACTGCTTTGGCGTACCTCCTGTTGGATATATGCATAACTTCGGCGTCGCCATCATCTAGCCAGCTAGCTCGCGCGGCGTGGGAGGTTGTCGATGAAACATATCACCACTGGAAGAAGAATCCTGACATTTATCGCGACCGCCGCTGGGCGGGGATTGAGGAGCTTTACGCAAATACCCTGTCTGTGAGGGAAAAGGGGAGAATAAGGATGCAAACGGCTCAAGCCAGCTCTTCTCATCTTTCACAGCGAGAGCATGGTCAGGGTCATAATGCGTCTTGTGCCGAGATGCGGCAACTGGAACAGCCCCCTCCATGGATACGGGGTGAAAGGTCCTCAAGTCTCTCTCCCGACGCTGTATCTGCTGCTCCGACTCACGGTCAAGAGAGGACAAGTACGGAAGACTTGCCTGGAACAGGGACTGCTTGTGAATGGAGCGCTTCCCTCATATATAAATATTGGGAGGTTGCCGGAGAGCGACCTCACAGTTCCGACTCGTGGTAGTACTTCCTGCTGGTTTCACATATGTTTGAAACGGCCTGCACCGCGACTATATTATCTCCAGGCCGCATACATAAATCAGGAGGCCAGATGGGACTTCATGTTCCGCCCAAGGAAGTCGGAGCCAGATCCAAGGGTCTGGAAACTTGCATGTGCTTGCGTTACATTTGCATCACTGAGACCCCGTTGGTGTCCGTGTCATCACAGACAGCCGTGGAAAGAAACAAACCTCCACTGAACATGCGGTCTCAGAGAAAACTGTGACTTATGGCACACCACTAATACTAATCATCTCTTCCGCAACAGTGCAATCCCTGACCTGAGAACCTTGTAATAGCCATGCAAACCGTTCCTCCACAGAAAATGGGGTAAAGAAAGTGCTCGTGTCACGATGCCACTCGTCGGCAGCAGGCAGCTAGCGATGGTAACCGATCTTGCATCGCAGTCGCTATTTTTAGTTGCTCTGTGAGCTGAAAAAGCAGCATCTACTGCCGAAGCTTCAAGTAAGATGAATCTTCAGTCATGGCCAAATCGTCCTCGCTTAACGGGCATGCAGCATTGGGCTCCAATGCTCTAGCCCACGAGCTGGTGGCGCGACTCGCTTCTTCAACACTCTTGCCAACAAACAGCTAGGCCCGGCCCGCAGAAGCCAGACAGTTGGAAAAGCACGTCCATGTGGGAATTGGGTTTCAGATGTAGCAAACAGGTCCAGGAGACTGAGCGGCATTCGAGTGTATTCAGAGGACAATGCCTTGTCCTCTATACAGTCCTGTCATTTGTTCAGCTCGTCTCACGATGAAATTGGTACAAATTCAAGATGAGATTTAGCTTTGATACTTCACTATTCGGAGAAAAGCTGTCAAGGAGTCAACCGTAATGCCGTAGAAAAAGATGAGCCCCCTCTAGTTCTAACTTCTAGCAGCGCTGTCATGGCGCCAAGGAAGCTGATATCAGATTTTAGCGCTGCTCTAGTATTGATCAATTAGGCATATTGGACACAATGTTTTGGGCTCGTCGAACAGCAGATCTGATCTCAGTCACATGTACATAAACATCAAGAAAGTTTCTCCTAGGAATGTCAAAGTTCCAGTTGCATCAAACACACTGATATACGGCAACTGATGGTTGCAGATTCTGATATGATCTCACAAAGGCTTTAGGACCCACTCCCCTCTGAGAGTGATACCTGAGAAGGTAGGTAGTATGAAAGATGAGTATGAAACTGCCTTAGTACACCATGAACCCCGTCAACGCAAGCTCGGACTTTGTATGCAGGGTCGACTAATCTAATAAACAATAATGGCTTCGATTCAGCCTTACCGACTAGGTACAATCCATGTCGTCGATATCTCAAGCTGGCGACTCGTAAACTTTAGCCCCGGAATTGATAACCGGGGCCACAGGCCTGTCAATTTCATCCTTGATGGGCTGAGCACAAACTACGGGGTGCGTTCCGAATGCCCTGTTGGGTAGCAATTGTATCGGTAGCAACGGAGCCAGTTTCTTCTTCATTCCCCGTCTATTTCTTAAATACCCGGCAGATGCTGGGCTCTTACGCCTTCAGACGATTCATTGCCAAGTCTGTCAACCCAACACCCAATCTTCTCTACACTCATTGACTCCTTTCTTCCCAGCTTTGAACGATCGCCACCATGTCTTCCAAAGAGGATACCAAGAGCAATGACACTACATGGGCTCACGGCCTGTTCGATTGCTGCAGCCCAGCCGGGCTTTGCTGTCTGACCTGCTTTCTTCCATGCATCACATACGGAAAGGCACAGCACCGAATGAGGCACGGCAACTTGGAAGACTACTCATGTTGCAACGCATCCGTGAGGCTTCCTCCAATCAACGCATATATAGTGTATTGCACCAGGTATACTGACAAGGCTTTGGCTATAGTGTATAGTCTACGCCCTCCTCGTCCACTGCGGCCTCGGATGCATTCCCACCACAATGCAACGAGGCGATATCCGCGACAAGTACGGCCTCAAGGGTGGCTGCTTTGGCGACTTCTGCAAGTCCTGCTGGTGCACCTGCTGTACCCTGATGCAGCACGAGAAGGAGTTGGAGCAGCGTCAGGCTCTGCTCAAGGGCTCAGCAGAGCCGTACCAGCCCAATGGCGGGATGGTGTACTCGGACCAAACGCAGCAGAATGACAACCCGGGTTATGCATGAAGAGCTGATTGGTTATCGAATTGAGGTCTCATATGCGTGTTATTGGCGCATTTTTGTTCTGTTGCAGATGTTTGGAATTCAGCTTTCGGTTGGTGGGATTACAACTGGCGGGCGGCAGTCACAAATCGATGCCTTTTGGTGGAAGACACGAGACGATACGACGGATGCTTCCGATACCCACGAGAGCCGGAGGAAACATAAGATCGTGAATTCATCGGATCTTTCTTCCCTTCAGCGTCTCTCAATTGAGGCTATCTCCACCTGCTACATGTAATTGAAGCATTGCATGCAACAAGGTGTCTCGGATGGTTGCGGTTCCCTCCAACGCTACGAATTGTTGCCGTTGGAACAGTATAAATACAGGCTCTGTGTCATTGCAGCTCATTCATAGACTGCGAGGCCAAGCACCATTCGTCAAATACCTAGTTAGCCCAGCTGCATTTTAGCACCGTCATGAGACTGATCCTGGCATCCGGGGAAGCATTCGCTTTGTCTACAAACTGTCAAAGAGTTGAGCCGACCTCTAAGCCAATTACAGCAGCCCCAAGCACTGCCTGAAAGACTGACTTTTGTTGCATTCTGGGAAACTTGACTGGGGTTAGACGACAGAGATACAGAGCCACAACTCGGCTAATACTCCTCAACCTCCTCCACATTCGGCTCACTTGGAACCAGGAAGCATGGATTTTTTAGGTCAAATGTCTCTAGAGGATTTAAGGACATTGGGGTTCCTGCAGAACCGGTATCTGGTGAACAGACTAGCAATGACCTCACAATGTCCGGGGTTGACTTAGAAAGCTTCAGTGATGATGAAGTATTCTACAATTCCTATGGCCACCCCCAGTCTTCGACTGCTTGCTCCCCCCCGCCTCTCTAGCAGCTAACGGCAGAGCGGGCTCCTCGTCGCAGGCTGAGAGAGATAGAACCTCATCCATGGAGTATCTTAGATGAAAACGATAGAGTCCGTCTATAATAGACTGGAAGATAAATAATTTTATTCAACGGATACCTGCCTACGCTAACTGTCACTGTTTAGCAGACCTTTGCTTCGGACACTGCTTTACTATAGAATACATATTAAACCTATTCTGGGGGGAGGAGAACACAGTCATTTAAGATTGATGTTTACAGACTATCGTATCTAAGGAGAGGCTTATATAGGGCTTAGACCATGATAGTACGGCTATAAGTGTCGAGAGTTCTTTCTTCAAAGGGCTCTACTTCTCGTAGTAACTAGAATAGGGTTTCCCATATAATAATATAGAATAGCAATATTACGCTGCAAAGGTCAATGCGTCATGATTTCAATGCGTCATGATTTTGAAGATGGTGGCCTATTCAGGGGTGGCGAACTCCAGTTACAGGAGTAGTGAGTTAGATAGTTGAAAAGAAAGACTAATAAGCCGTCTTCTCCAGGAGATCTGAGTCAACCTCCCTACGGCAGGTACCTAGCTACCGAATAGCAGAAATAGAATCATCCCCCTTACCCATCCCCGACCATTTCATTCATCCTCCTGAGACCTGCCGACAGTTCGACACCAGCCCCTTTCCCCTATTTCGCATGAACCACAGCCACCAACCACGGCCTTGAGACGAATCTAAGCCTCTTCCTCTATCCCCGTGCCTAGACTTGGCGCTATCAGGAAGAGCATGTTTGACCTCAGCGGCCTCGGCCGCCGTGGCGTTCACCACGCGCAGTCCGCAGTGCTGAAGATGGTCCGGTACGTGGCGTGGAAGTCGCTCTCATCGATGACCGTGGTGTTCCTTTCGAGCATGCACTTCTTCTCACCCGTGAGCCTAATGAAGTGGCCGCGCCCGTGGCCCCAGTCGATACAGAACTCCTTGACGCCCTCGACCTGGGTGGCGCCGTGGCAGCCCTCGTCGAAGTTGGAGACGTAGTACCCCTTGTTTATGTCGTCGTTCCACCAGGTCCCACGGGAGCAGCAGGTAGCGCCGACGACTTGCTCCCAGGCGACGACCCAGCGGCTAGCAGCGGCGGGCGTGACGGCGAGAAGGGCGGAGATTGCGAGCAGAGAGATATGCATATTGTGCCTAGGTTGTTGGGTGGTGGACTTCGAGGGTATGATAATGGAGATAGTGACACGTGGTGGAGCAATTCGTGATAGCTGAGAGCACAGGCGGTTCTTCAGGGCTAATTGAGCATATAAATGGTCGCTTGATGTTCCACTCCAGGTTTGCTGCGTACATACGAAGGATATAAATACTTCATGTTTGACCGTCTACTTGAGCTTACCGTAACACAGGACATCTCCGGTCAGCCCGGTGTGCGCACTCATCATCTGACTGCGCGGCTCCTGCTACGTGACAAGTACTTATTTCTTGATAAAGAGATAATAGTGAAAGGGAGACATTGAGGAGTTCGGCTACAGCGAGGAGGGTGACTTTGTCGGAAGGTCATGTTGTGTGCTCGAGGCATATGAGGACTTAGGGCGGGTTATTTGCGGACATTGTCAGTCTATCGTTAGCTAGATCTCCTCATAAGAGATGCCTCGTCAAGTTTTGAGCCCAATGGGTCATGGGTTTGCTCGTCCATAGTCCATGATTAGCGGTCCAAGCCACCCTGCTCGGTCCTTATCCGCTTCTAGCTTTCTGCATCTAAGCCAGAATCCTCGGGAGGCGCCGTGTCTACCAACAAGGTCTAAATGCGTCAATCCTTCGGTGTAGGCTATATGCGGCAAGTGTAGCAATAGATGGATTATACTCCGTGCCCAGGCGGCACTTGGCGTCACGATCTATTCAGGAAAGTGTCCGAATGGCATGACATGGTTCAAGACGGTCTCGTGGGTCCAACAATTTGAATACGCGGTCCAGGAGTGACTGACTGCATTGCGCAAGGTGGAGGTATAGCGAAACAAGATGTCATTGCGGCTGCGGTTGCCAGGAGGATCTGTCACCTGGCAATCCCTTACTGTGCGATTCTGCAAGACCCTAACCCACCGGATAATCTTGTTCCTCCCGTAAGACGGTGGGATTATAACACTCCGCAGTGAATGACAGGATGCCTGCATATTGCGTATTCCCTATTGCGTATTGCATATTGCATATGACGTATTGTGATCATCTTGCTCGTAGTTAACAAAGCCGAGCCCTCATCTTCGCATTCATCTGCTCACGAGACGAGGCCTGAGATAAACGGATGATTTTAGGGAAACCAATTTAAGAAGACGGGAAAGAGGGTCAAGGGGAAGCGGGGTATAGTACCCATCGTCCGGCCTTAATCCCGGAGCGCTTCCAACTTCCTCTCGGCGGTTAAAAGGAAGGTTCGTCCTCAGGTCTTCGGTCTCAGAAAGACGGTGGTGGAGTAAATGGGAAGCTCCACCCGCTCCGTAGGTACCTTAGGAAACGGCAGCGAGCCCGGCGGACAAGTGAAGGGCTGCGTCGGCAAAGGCTCGGCTATGTTCTATCCCTAGGGTACGGGGTCCCGTCTGCTTCCTCCATACCTTAGACAAGGGCGTTCTTCGCCGCATCCTGGATAGGGATTCTAGGAAGCATCATTGACGATGGTCTGGAGGTTCAGTTTGGTAGTTGGGTGGGTGACCAGCAGCGAACACCGGCTGTTGTATGTTCTTGCCTTTTTTTTGTGTCTTTCAGTTCTTCTCTTTTTTTTTTCCTTTTTTTTTTCCCCCTTTTTTTGCTTACCTTGTTGCTGTCCTCTCATTGGGGTGACTTGCTAACATCTTCTTCTGGTGGGTTCTGGGGGCATTGTATCGATATCTCCTTCAATTGATCCCCACTCATGATCCATCTTCTCCATCGACGTCTGTTATGCGGGTGTAGCAAGTTCTAATAGCAGGTTTCCAACCTCTTTCACTTAAACATCACATACCGTCATGCATCAAGTAAAGAACATCCCCCCTCTCCTCACATCGCACCCCAATCGTCCAAACAAGCCTCCGCCAAGCATTATACCCATAGAGCACTACCCCGGAGAGACGATCCAACCCCCTTCCCACAACTCCCCATCAATCGAACCCAAAGCCCCAGATCGATAGTCCCAAGCCACTGACACTATAATATTCTCTCCGAATCCAATCCAACCCACCAACTCCCCCAATTCAGTCACTTACCCCAACTTTCTGGATCCTTCCAGCTAGCAAAACGTCACTAGGAGGTTAAGCTTAGCCCGACAACCTTTTTGGCCAACCTTCTCCAAGTGGCGGCTCACAATTCTCGAAATGTCTTTCGGACGTCATTCTACCCCCCTTCCCCTCTCCTCAGCTGCGGCCGATAGGATTCCGATCCTGTCAAAACGGTCGAGGCGCCACTTCAATGGCCATTACGCGAGACAATGCTTGGGAATTGAGGGGTTGCATACAAGGCGTCATAGGGATGGCCTTGCAGAGCATCATGGCTCGTGGTGGTCGTGGGAGTCTGAACTATGGGAACAGGCCAAAACCGCTGCCGATACTCTAAGCAATTGTCGGCGGTCACTATGGGTAGAAGAGCAAGAGAATATAGATTGAAAAATATCAATTGGTATCATGTTTGTAAAAGTACACTCATTAACTGAAAGATTTACCGACAGCCGCATTATCATACACCATATCCATCCTGGTATATCCAAACTCAGTCATAAGTATGCAACAAAGAAAATCCATAGACGCGTTATTTACAATATGAATACATCATATTCTTAGACATGCTCCTGGTGAGACGGAACCGGGGCATCAGGAGAAGCCCGCTTTTCGTGACCATCGGTGATCGGGGTATCACTGTCGTGGTCGGCAAGGACGTCAAGATCGACGCCTGCCTTTCTGCGGATGTTGGCCATGTGCTCCGGGGGCGGGGGCACCCACTTGGAGCTCTTCCATGGGAGGACGTGCTCGAGATACATGGTGTCGATCTCCTCGAGGGTGCGGCCCTGGCCTTCGATGACGAAGAAGTAGATGATGAGGGCGCCCACAAAGTTACAGGCAGCGAAGACGTAACCATATCTATACATGTGAGGTTAGCGAGCATGCTCAATATTGTTTGGTCAG